GATCTTATTGATATATTTATATATATATTTAAAAAACTGTATAAATAAATGAATGTGCGTGTGTTACATACCTGGGAAAAGCTGATTGGTCGGAACACTGACTTGGATTTTCTTCTCAATCTTATAAGCGAGGTCCGCCTCCTCGGAGCCCCGCCTACTGGTGCAAAGCCCCGCCTCCAGAGACACGCCCTCCATGGAGTCAGACAGCTCCAGGATCTTCAGCACATCGATGGGTTCGGCCGCTAGAGACGCCACACTACAGTTACTGTAATAAACGCTAATGAACAGCCTCACACCCGCCTGTCTGTCTGTCCGTCTGTCTCTCGACACACTGACACTGATGACTGACAGCAGGGGAAAGCCGATCGCGACTGTGTGTGTGTGTGTGTGTGTGTGTGTGTGTGTGAAGGTATCTACATGCAGGTCTGGACTGGTCATGTGTCTCTTCACATGTGTAATACCTGCATCTGTGGCACACACACTCCAACACACTCAAACACACATGCTCTCACACACACACACACACACACACAAACACACACACACACAAACACACACACTCACACACAGAAACATCTCTCATCTCTCAGCACAAAATCTTAACTCATTTGGAAAAACTTTCACAACAACTTATAGATCAAAGACACAACAGCAGCTGCAGGGGAGTGTGTGTGTGTGTGAGTGTGTGTGTGTGTGTGTGTGTGTGTGTGTGTGTGTGTGTCTGGGAGCCAGATGTGAATGACGACACAAGGGTGAATTAAGAAATGCAGTCCAGACTCTCAGACATTTTACATTTGTCTTTTTATGAAGGGCTTCTCTCTCACACACACACACACACACACACAGTAAACTGCACTGGTTGTAAGACAGGTGCGTTTGCAGCGTGTCTGTAAACTCCTGTGACCCCAATGACCTTCACCTTTGACCTTTCACTTCTTTCCTGACTCAGTTTCAGAGTCACAGTAATTTCCCACTTCAACACTGAACGAGACGGAGATCTTCAGCGTTTGCTCTGACTGCAGTCGTTTAAGAGGAGTTTCTTCGTAAGAAAGCCGTTCTCATGACTCGAGGGGGAACACACGAACGAACATTTACCAGTTCCAGCTGTGGGAGATCTCTCACAGTACACCACAGCGGACAGAAACACGCTCTCACAGCGCTCTGCTCACGATCAACTGGATTTAAAATAACCTTCGAAAATTCTCTAAATCTTCAGAAACAAGATGCTAATGTCCAACTAAACGCTTCAGATCTTCCATGAACACATAAAATATCCAAAATAAACAATGTGTTCATGCTAACGTTATTAAAGACCTCTGAATTAACATCACTGGAAGAGAACTTGAGTGACCACAAGAGTCTCACAGTCTCGTGTAAACCAGCGCTGTGGGAGCCGTCCGTGACGCTAGTGTTCACCGATTGGCCGAACGCACGCAAAACATCCGCCATTTTTAAAAAGGCTGTGTAACCACAGATTATAGCCTATATATTTACTTCAGACACTAACTCTGAACTGCCCCTTTAACCTCGACACGGACGGCTAAAGAGGTCTCAACGCTTCCCATCTGACCTTCGAGGACCTACGAGAGGTCGAGGTCTGCGGAAACACAAGCGCTCAGAGGTGAAGAGTCCGGATTAAAGCTTTATCCTTCAGTCACATGATCACCCCGCTCACGGCTCAACTGCAGACCACCAACCAGCCGTCCGAACCCTCGACGCTCAACAAGAGAAACCTGACGAATCCATCCAGAACTATTCTCTGAAAGAAGAACACAAGACGACTCGTTCCTAAAGTCTCGCTGTGATGAGAATCCAGCGTTTAATGTTGTTTATGTGTGTGTGTGTGGTGTATTCAATAAGACACACTATGTGTAAGCTCATGTTTAAGTAACAGCAGAAAGCGTTCATCCACTGGAACGCCGGACAGCTTCAGACGTGTTGGGAATGTGTGGAAAAGCCCTGCTCTCGTTATTCTTCATTAATACCCGCCTGACGGGCCTGAGTATCGAGCGCCTCTGAGGATCAGCTCTATTGTAGAGCCTCAGGGAACTGGGTTTCACAGCACAATACCATCAAAGAAACAGCAACGCTCGATAGAGAAAGACACAGCACTGATTCTGTACAGACCGTCAGTTCAGCAGAGGAGGCCTGAAGATCCAGAGAGGGAATCAGGAGCAGATGCAGATGATCACATCCAGAGCACTGACCCACACTAGCACAGCACATCTATCTATCTATCTATATATCTATCTATCTATCTATCTATCTATATATCCATCCATCTATCTATTTATTTATATATCTATCTGTCTATCTATCTACCTATCTATCCTTATATCTATCTATATGTCTATCTATCTATATGTCTATCTATCTATCTATCTGTCTGTCTATCTATCTATATATATATATATATATATATATATATATATATATATATCTGTCTATCTATCTGTCTATCTATCTATCTATCTGTCTAAGAATAAGTTCATCAGTGTTTTAGAGGCATGAATCAGGATCAGAACAGGGCATAAAATCAACAAAACACGACAGGAAATCTGTTCATCACTCAAAGTAATTACTATACTCAATACTCATCGACGTCTCAAATATATCAGAACTATAATTGTAACACATCTATCTATCTATCTATCTATCTATCTATCTATCTATCTATCTATCTATCTATCTATCTATCTATCTATCTCTCTCTCTATCTATCTATCTATCTATCTATCTATCTATCTATCTATCTATCTATCGAAAATACTGTCATTATCGCGGTCTAACAGAAACAGAGCCTCGACAATACTGACAGAAACTCTTCCAGAAACTCCAGTGAGAGAACTAATCCGCTGAACTCATCTGACTGGATCACATCATAATTCGTCATCATAACGATCTTGGCGGTTGTAAAGAAAAAACTTAACCAAACAACTATCGCCCGGGTTGAGGACATCACTGTCATCTTCCACACTAACATGATTTCAGGAGAGCTGAGGAACTGTACCTGCTCGAGTCGCGTGCAGCAGGAGCAAAACCACCGCGAGTCCGGCCATCCGGGAACTGTTCTTCATCATCCTCATCTTCAGCCCGTCAGCTGCACCGGACCGCCCGGCGCTCGCGAGGTGTGTGTGTGTGTGCGCGTCGCACCTGGACCTGAAGATCCCGACCAAAAAAATCCCGGAGAACAATCCTGCAGGAACCTTCACACACACCGACCGACAGACAGACTGCTGGAGTTTATCTGCACTGTCTCACCTCACCCGTCCATCTGTGTGCGTGTGCGTGTGCGTGTGCGTGTGTGTGTGTGTGCGCGCGCGCGTCTCAGTTCTCCCGCTGAAAACTTTTGAGGTAAAACTTTGAGGTAAAACATTATGAGTTACAACTTTTGCCCATGAATAAAACAGTCTCTCTTCACGATTGGTTACGACGTTTGTTTGGTATTTCACGTCACTAATAATTATAAATATTCGTAAAGAATAATTACATTCACAAAACATAAACATTATGTGCAATTAAAACACGCATCGAGATGTAATATATATATATATATATATTTCATTGTGACAAGATTTTCAGGACAAAGAAGCATTTCAACCCAAACCCAAGCTAATTATCGTAGCCTACTGCAAAACAAGTCTCGTGTTCGTTACTGTAATGTGATTTTATTTGTTTTAATTACAATCACCGTAAACTAACCCAGTAGGCTACAACCAACACTAGGATTTAAACATTAAAATTGTTCACTTTTTAAATAACATCTCGTTGTTTTTTTGCATTACGATATTTATTATATAACTATAGCCTATATGCATGATTATACTTTCCAGAGGGCCTACATATTTAAAATCCTTTTATTTATTGATTTCATGTAATATTTTAATTTTCTGATATGTTGAATTTGGGGTTTTCATAAGCTGTAAGCCATAATCATCACAATTATAACTTTTGCAAGATATTCGAATTGTTCGAGTTCCACCTGTAGGTGCAATGCAAAACTCATAAAAGCCATAAAAGTCAAACTCTTCAAAGGCTATGATGACTGTGCCATTGCAACGAGTTTCAATTCTTTACGTAATATTTAATGAAACTTTAGGCATGTGTGTTTGATGTTGGTGTGTGTGATCATCAGATCATCTGTCCGATGACATCAGAGATATGCAGAACTCGTCATTAACAAATGACCCATTTCACAGAGAAACTACTAACTCTCCCAACCACACACACACACACACACACTTATAAACATGCTCGAACAAGATGTTGAGCTGCCCAACTAATAAAATAAAATGTGCTCTGGCAGATTCCAAATTCCTGCTTGAACTGAGCCTAAGGGCCCACACACACACACACACACACACACACACACACACACACACTCATGTTGGTGATGAATCGCTCTTTTGCAAACTTTTGACTGTTTTTTCCAAGAAATGCCAAAAGAGTGATTCTGTGAATGCAAGGGTCAAAGGTCATACCCTGCAGCTGACCATGACCTTGACCTCTGATGATGAAGCAGAATACAGAGAGAGAGAGGTGTGTGTATGTGTGTGTGTGACTGACGCTGGTATATCGTCCTGTATAATCCTGTATCGGAGGTTGAGTGACATCGGCGTGTCCCAGCAGGGCCTCTGATTCCAAGCGTAGTTTCACAAGTCCCGCCTTTCCTTCTTTCCTTCTCGTGTTCATGTTTGAAAGAGTTTCCGTAACATCCCCTAAGACAAATCATGATCTTCATCAAATGATGAACTCGCTCTTCAAATACAGTATAAGCATGAGCTCATACAGATTACTCAAATCATGCTCATTATGAAACGGAAGTATCGCTAGTGTTTTCTTGGAAAAAGAGCACATGTGGGCGGGGCTTGATTGTGAATTGATTGGATGATTGTGGTTTGCTATTGGCTGATGTCATGTGAGTGACAGGTTATAGCCCCGCCCACATCATCAGAGAAGAGAAGAGATGCTGCGAGAGGAACTGATTCTCATTCAATAATGATGTGCACTGATAAATCGTTCAGAATAAACACTGCAATAGTCCTATAATTCAAACTGAAAACATTATGTAATATTAGATACGGGCAGTACAGTAATTGGACCGCTGGGTGGCGCTAGAGTCGGTCGTGTAGTTGACACTGATGGGAAACAGGACACCTTTACTTTAGCAGACGCGTTCATCCAAAGCAAGTGAAGCATCCGACCAGCAAGAGGAAAACTGTAAACACAAAAGACCCAGTTCGTCATTGAAACGCTTTGTGTACACATAAAACATTGCATTACATTACACACATTACAATGATTAACATGGTTTCTTTCTAGCAGTTGAAGCGGCCCGTTAAACAACACCAGTGATACCGCTCTATATGATCCAGTCATGGGTCCAGAAATTGAGATTTATACATCATCTGAAAGCTGAATAAATAAGCTTTCCATTGATGAGAGAGGATAATATTTGGTCAAGAAGATACAACAATATGAAGATCTGGAATCGATCAAATATTGAAAATGTTGAATTTAGACTGCATTCTATGAAAATAAAAATAACCGTTTATGTTTTCTTCCTCTCGAAATGCAATTCTGGAAAGTCCTATATTTACGATAGGAAATATACAAAATATCTCCATGTAGGATGATCTGTACTTAATATCCAAATGATTTTTGGCATAAAAGAAAAATCGATTTAAAAATATACTTATGTCACTTGTAGCCTAACTGCTTTTGTGACCCAGGGTCACACATTGTTTCAGTAAAGCGTAGATATACAGTGTTTATAATAAGTGCTTGTGCTTTATAAAGCCGCTCACCTTCGGGCTGTGAGCTGAGCTGACAGAATCCCGCGCGCGCGTCCCCGTGACTGCGCGCCCTCGCGGTCTCCTGCACTGCTGATCTCATGAGATCTTCTGCTCTTTCGAAGCCCCGCGGAAACCATGGCGACGGAGGGCCAGCGAGTGGTGCTGATCACCGGCTGCTCGTCCGGGATCGGGATGGGCATCGCCGTGCACCTCGCGAGAGACGACAACCAGCGCTACCACGGTAAGACCCGAACCGGGAACATTAAAACAGTTTGAACTATTATAAGTTCACACAACTGACAGAACAGCCCACTAACAACCCCTCGATCTAAAACTAGAGTAGATCGATCGTTTACAAATAAACCTGAACGAGTTTTACAGCATTATAATCTTTTGCCAATCCATAATCTGCTGTCTGATCATAATAGAGTAAATAAACCATAATAGAGGAGAGCAAACCTAACCTTTCAGACTGGACCCGTTTGTGGAAACCAGAGTATATATCCCGACTCATTCATTTCACATGTCTAGTTCAATTATGTGGTTTTGTTTCATTAATACAGTGTTTATGTTTTTCTTGATTTATCCCGAAATAATGAAAGTGACGTGTGACAACTTGCCCCATAGGTGGAGCACATCATAACATGACCATATGACAGATTCAAATGCTATAATACTAAAATACTGTATCAATAAAATACAATCATTAACTTTGACATTTTTTAATAATTAAAAATAAACACATTTTTGAGTTAGACAGCAAACACAGCTATCTCAAAACATCATAATAATGAATCATTTCTGAACACTATGTCAATTTCTTAAAAAGATCCATAAAAGTTTAGGATATAATATCATAAAAATAAAGTATTAAAGACTTTAGGAAAGGCCAAAGCCAGTTTTTATGGACATTATTGGGCCTCAAAAGGGGATGGGGAAGAATCTGACAAATTGTTTAATAAATTAGTTAGAAAAGTTTGTTTTAAACATAAAAAATTAAGAATATTTTAGTAAAAGATTCATTAACTATAGCTACTAATTTGAATACACATTTTATAAATTTGTTTGATGAATTAATCCAGCTTTACACCTTAAAAGATAGACCTATTAAATACTAAGAGCTATTTTTCAGGAAGAAACTGAATCAGAAGCTAACATTACTGACGCGTCGAAAAGCTCGAAAGCAAAGGACCATGGAAATATGGAAATATTAACCTAATCAAATAAGATTCGTTAGTACGCCCCATTACACAATTGGTAAATTTCCTTTCGGGAAGCAATCCTAATTTAGATATCTGTAGATTCGGCCACTTTTGCCAGGTTGTATACCACGATTACATCCGAAATAAAATCTTCTGTGTATATATAATATGTGTGTGTGTGTACCGATTAACTAAAATAAGCTTATGTCTGCAATAAATGAAAAGCTTAGAAATATATATATAAATAAATAAAAACTAATTTTATTTTATTTATTTTTAAAAATTAAAAACTAACTTTTTAATTTTTAAAAAGTTAAACTAAAACTTATACAAATATAAAATAATTCAAGGGTGTGAATATTAATATTAAAGATTTTTACTATATTAAAGAGCATGTGTGTGTGCAGGATCAGTGTGTGTGTGTGTGAGAGACTATGTTAAAAAGCATGTGTGTGTGCAGGATCAGTGTGTGTGTGTGTGTGTGTGTGTACTGATCTGGCTTCTATCCCTGCTTAGCCTTTAGTGCTTTAATGGCATGACAGAACTGATCTCTTGTGTTTTTAGTCTTCACGCAGATATTCTTCATCCTGTGCTGAACGCACACACACACACACACATTATACCATGTCCATGACATTGGCATGACCTTTATGAATCACCTGTGCCAGATGGGTATGAGCTGTGTGTGTAAATCTCTTTAGTCATCATCTAGTACATTATGTTCATGTGTGTTCAGTAACTAGTCCTCTCTCTCTCTCTCTCTCTCTCTCTGTGTGTGTGTGTGTGTGTGTAGTGATAGCGACGATGCGGGATCTGAAGCGTAAGGACAGGTTGGTTGAGGAGGCCGGAGACGCGTACGGACGAACCCTGTCTCTGCTCGCGCTGGACGTCTGCAGTGATGAATCGGTCAAACAGTGTGTCGACAGCGTCAAAGATCGACATATAGACATACTGAGTGAGTCCACACACACACACACACACACACACTGAGCCTCATCTCCAATAGTGTTCATCCGTGCTTAGGTTTACAGGACCGCTTTAGACTAAGCAGATAATATTAGCCTTTCGTTCTCAGTTAATCTGAGCATCAGTTTGTAACTCTGACCTTGAGTTCATCCAGTGCTGATCCGTCAGCAGAAACAGGAACGGGTTCATCCTCACACACTGCCGAACCCGGACTCACTCGCCAGTCTGCTTTAGTTATCCGTGAGAAACACCGCTGAAGGGATGAACAGAAATAAGAATGATGTGGAGATAATCAACCAGTGTCTATAATACTGCTGTACTGTATTCTGCTTTTCCACTGTCAGAGTCACATGGTTTTCTCATTCATCTTTCATTGGTTTAACCAGAGAAATCCATCAAAACTTGTGTTTGAAACTTGTGTCGGACACGGAATAAAAATAAGGCAATTGCAACTTTTTATCTCACAATTCTGACTTTCTTGCTCGCAATTGCAGTTTTTTATTACTTTACACAAGTATGATCTTTTTCCTCCTAATTCTGAGTTTAGATGAATTCAGAATTGCGAGAAACAAAAAGACAAAGTTGCCTTTTTAATTTTTTTTATTTCTGTAGCAGAAACAAGCTTCCAGATAAATATCTGAAATGCTGAATATTGGTGTTGAATCCCCCGACACGTGATCCATGTGTGTGTGTAGTCAATAACGCTGGCGTGGGGCTGGTGGGGCCGGTGGAGGGGCTCAGCATGGACGACATGGCAAACGTGTTCGAGACCAACTTCTACGGCGCGGTGCGCATGATTAAAGAGGTCATGCCCGACATGAAGAGGAGACGCTCGGGACACATCGTCGTCATCAGCAGTGTGATGGGCCTGCAGGGTAAACACACACTCTTTATTCACTTCACTGGCTTATCTGCATTTAAGGGTTAATCCTAACGTACTTCCTCTACTTCAGGATTATCGTCCTGATAAGTTAAACACACGTACAGTCAAACCAAGAATTATTCTGACTTTATTTTTCACTAGTGTTTCACTATAGTTCATGTGTGTAAGTGAGGACATTACTTAAAATGTTGCTGCGGCACAATTCGCATACTATCCGTCCTAAATAGATATCGAAAATAGAATTAGTGCGTCCCAAATCGTAGTATGTTGAAATGAGTGTTTCAAAGATACCCGGATGGTCTACTTTTTTCCGGTCAGATCGATGCACACTCTAACGGCTGATATTACCCACAAACCATTGCGCGTTGGACGAGGATTCGGTTAGAACTACAAACACGAGTAAAAAGTGTTAAAAAACTACAGACACGGAGGACGCGCGAGTCCCGCGGTTATGTTGAGAGGTTTAAATAAAGAGGTTTGACTGATTAATTAACACTATCTGACCTGACGAAAATTATCATTATATTGCATCTGCAGCAGCATTGTGAACTTTAGGCATTACTTTTTAAATGCATCATTATATTAAAATTGCAAAACACGAGGAAAGTATACGAAAGACCCATGACTGGCAGATTAACGTGCTCCGATACGGTAGGAAATCAAATTAGATTGACGAGATGATTGACACGGCAGTTTACGGTGACAGGATGCACGCAGCACGCGACAGAGCCGTCCGTTAAAGATGACGTGACATTATGTCCCAAAGCTTGCCTTCTTTTTTTGCTACACACACAAAAGTATGTACTTTTTCTTCACAAAAAGAGTACATACTTTCAGGGCGTAGTATAAGTAAGCGAATTGGGCATTCACAACTCTAGAGTTATAAAAGCCGCGGTAAGAGATGTACCTCAGTGTCGGTCTCCACAGGTGTGGCGTTTAATGACGTGTACTCCGCGTCGAAGTTTGCCATCGAGGGCTTCTGCGAGAGTCTGGCCGTCCAGCTGCTCAAGTTCAACGTCACGTGAGTTTCACTCATTAATTTTCAGTTTCTAACACTCTTTTGGCTCATAACATTAGTGATCAAACATTGAAACGAGAATCACACGAGTTGTGTTGTGTGAGGGGGCCCTCTGGTGGTGTGGAGAGGCTGTTACGGGTACAAACCCAATAAAGATCACAGATCATCACAGATTCATTTTACATTGCCACTCGATGTCTCCAACTTCACACAGTTGAGATCCGCTGTTGTAGAGAATCATCTACATCCTCTTCCCAATTTCTTGTTTGGACTTTTGTGTTACTTCCTGTCCAGAGTGCTCTGTTTGTAGTTTTCTTGTTGATTAGTCTTGTGTTATGTTTATTGTTAGTGTGTGTATATAGTCCTTGTGTTTCCTTTTTTCCTTGTCAGTCGATGTTTGTGTGTATTTGATTTCCCATCTGTCTGTCTGTCTGTCATCAGCGTGTCGATGATCGAGCCCGGGCCCGTACACACCGAGTTTGAGATGAGGATGATCCAAGACATTTATAAGAAAGAGTTCCCCGGAACGGATGCCGAGACTCTCCACCACTTTAGGACCTGCTACCTGACCGGCGCGGTCAACATCTTCCAGACCCTGGGCCAAACGCCCAAGGACATCGCCAAGGTCAGAACGCGTGTGTTCACAAGCACAATAACTATAATGATAACTATAACCGTAAACTTTTAATAATCCACGGAACAACTATAACAATAACGACTGAGGAATGATATTGTTGGAATCACTTTTGGAACGATTTCCAGCTAATGAACGATTAAAACATTGACAGCCAATCACAATCAATTCTGCTTTAAAGAGCTCGAGCATTTAAAGCAGCAGAAAAAAAGTGTACACTTATATTAAACAGAACATTATCGTTGTTGTTACAGTTATGATGTAGTTATTGTTATATAGATATTGGTACTGAATATTAAAATGAAGTACTCACTCTCTGTGTTTTCGAAGGTCACTAAGAAGGTGATCGAGTCGCCTCGTCCTCCGTTCCGTAACCTGACGAACCCGCTGTACACGCCGATCGTGGCGATGAAGTACGCGGACACCAACGGCAGCCTGTCCGTCCACACCTTCTACCACATGCTGTATAACCTGGGAGGGGTCATGAGCGTCGGCGTGAGCATCATGAAGTGCCTGAGCTGTGGGTGGATACGGAGACGAACCATCTCACCAACCTGACACACACACACACACACATCTCCTGCGGATGCACACACACTTGCAGTAACACACCCTTGTGTGAACACTGTGCTTCTCTTTACAGCTGGGTTTGGTTTCTGGACTCTATCTGGATAGTTTAGCCAGACTACACCCTGAGGGTCTAATGATAAACTCCAAACACACACTCTCTCTAACTCAAGCACAGACAGATGATGTGTTTTAACTCTTGATATATTATCTTTATACAGATTAAAGTCTAGACAAGTACACCTTTCAGAGTAACTCACATAAGCTGTTTGATAGTTTAAGATAAAGCACTATTTGAGTGTATAAGTTGGTGGGACAGCACGTAGTGAAGTCAACCTAATAAAGGATGAAACCATCATTTCAGAAGAGGATGTTGTAGTGATGAAGGCAGCTCTGAAGCTCCTGAACGTCTGCGATTCATTTAGTGAAACGCTGCTAAATCTGATCTGTGTGGAAAAATAAAGAATACTATCAGGAGATGTGATTTATTGTCTGTGAATTTAACCTCTCGAAGTTCACTGATCACCCGGACTGAAATTTCTCTTTCGTGTTTTCTTGTGTTTCCATTGAGAATTAAACTAAACCTAAACCTTTTTCTGGGTTTGTTTCCATATAAGCAAAATCTTGCATTAACATTTGATATTTTAAACTTAATATTGTTTAAACAAGCATAAAAAATATCATTAAATTTCATTCTAGAAAGTAATTTTTTTGCATGATTATTTACTGATAATAAATTGACTTTAGTGATACTCTAGTACAATTTACACAAATGTAAAGAGCAACCAAATGATACGAAAAACCCCAGAGTCAGTGATGATCACATTTACCACCATAAACTTTAATTGAACCCTTCAAATCTGAGAAAAATCAAGAAATCCCTGAATACTGCACCAGAATCCATACTTCAGTGATTATGAAAAAATAGACATTTTCAACAAAACCTATAGAAATACTTCTTTTTTTAACAGTGTTTCTCTTGAAACCCTCATAAAGTCAAAATGTGCTGTTGAGAATCAGAGGAACATCTTCACTGATCGCTCACGTCTGTAATGACCATCATTATTAATCACCAGAACGTGAAATATGGACGAGTTCTTGAGCGGTTCTGTGAGATTCTGCCGTGATCATCAGGAAGCCTCGCACTTCTCTTCCTGTCCTCCGAACACTTCCTGCTGCAGTCTCTGAAGCTCCGCCCCCAGCAGGGACGCTGACTCCGCCCCTCTGCCTGGCTCCTCCCAGGGGGCGTGGCTAGTGTGCTGCAGAACGAACCGCAGCAGGTTGGGAACCGTCATGGGTGTGTTTTCTGGAAACTTGACACTCATCTGCTTCCTGCGGGAGACGGTAACGTGTGTGAGAATGTTTACACCGTACGGAAACGAGTTTTACACTTTAGGATGGGGTTTCTGAACCTGTGTCGGGGGAAGAGCAGCACGGAGGGCAGATGATCCACCATAAACTCCCAGGGCAGATCATTACGGCCAACATTCACTCTGAAAACAGTAATAAACGCTCATGATTACGACTGCGGAGCAACTGCAAGTGCTAAATATATGGTCATGTGAAGTGCTTGCAGGTGCAGTTCCACACCTGGCCACCGTGAGGGCGCCGTTGCCCTGGACCAGACGGGCCAGTTGAAGAAACACGTGATTGAGAAGCGAGCAGAAGCCACACCAGGGCGAATAATACAACAGCAGCACGTCCTGATGAGACCGAGAGAAGATCACAGTCACCGTCTGTAACGTGGACGCTAATAAAGTCATCGTTCTTGACGCTAATAAAGTCATCGTTTCTGATGCTAATAAAGTCATCGTTCTTGACGCTAATAAAGTCATCGTTCTTGACGCTAATAAAGTCATCGTTCTTGACGCTAATAAAGTCATCGTTCTTGACGCTAATAAAGTCATCGTTTCTGATGCTAATAAGGTTATAGTTCTGAACGCTAATAAAGTCATCGTTCTTGACGCTAATAAAGTCATCGTTCTTGACGCTAATAAAGTTATCGTTCTTGACGCTAATAAAGTCATCGTTTCTGATGCTAATAAAGTCATCGTTCTTGACGCTAATAAAGTCATCGTTCTTGACGCTAATAAAGTCATCGTTCTTGACGCTAATAAAGTCATCGTTTCTGATGCTAATAAGGTTATAGTTCTGAACACTAATAAAGTCATCGTTCTTGACGCTAATAAAGTCATCGTTCTTGACGCTAATAAAGTTATCGTTCTTGACGCTAATAAAGTCATCGTTTCTGATGCTAATAAAGTCATCGTTCTTGACGCTAATAAAGTTAACGTTTCTGATGCTAATAAGGTTATAGTTCTGAACGCTAATAAAGTCATCGTTCTTGACGCTAATAAAGTCATCGTTCTTGACGCTAATAAAGTCATCGTTTCTGATGCTAATAAAGTCATCGTTCTTGACGCTAATAAAGTTATCGTTTCTGATGCTAATAAGGTTATAGTTCTGAACGCTAATAAAGTCATCGTTCTCGACGCTAATAAAGTCATCGTTCTTGACGCTAATAAAGTCATCGTTTCTGATGCTAATAAAGTCATCGTTCTTGACGCTAATAAAGTTATCGTTTCTGATGCTAATAAGGTTATAGTTCTGAACGCTAATAAAGTTATCGTTCTTGGCGCTAATAAAGTCATCGTTCTCGACGCTAATAAAGTCATCGTTCTCAACGCTAATAAAGTCATCGTTCTCGACGCTAATAAAGTCATCGTTCTCGACGCTAATAAAGTCATCGTTCTCGACGCTAATAAAGTCATCGTTCTTGACGCTAATAAAGTCATCGTTCTTGACGCTAATAAAGTCATCGTTCTTGACGCTAATAAAGTCATCGTTCTTGACGCTAATAAAGTCATCGTTCTTGACGCTAATAAAGTCATCGTTCTCGACGCTAATAAAGTTATCGTTCTTGATGCTAATAAAGTCATCGTTCTTGACGCTAATAAAGTCATCGTTCTTGACGCTAATAAAGTCATCGTTCTTGACGCTAATAAAGTCATCGTTCTTGACGCTAATAAAGTCATCGTTCTCGACGCTAATAAAGTGATCGTTCTTGACGCTAATTAAGTTATCGTTCTTGACGCTAATAAAGTGATCGTTCTTGACGCTAATTAAGTTATCGTTCTCGACGCTAATTAAGTTATTGTTCTTGATGCTAATAAAGTGATCGTTCTTGACGCTAATTAAGTTATCGTTCTTGACGCTAATAAAGTTATCGTTCTCGACGCTAATTAAGTTATTGTTCTTGATGCTAATTAACTTATTGTTCTTGACGCTAGTTAACGTATTGTTCTTGACGCTAATAAAGTTATCGTTCTTGACGCTAATAAAGTCATCGTTCTTGACGCTAATAAAGTGATCGTTCTTGACGCTAATTAAGTTATCGTTCTTGACGCTAATAAAGTTATCGTTCTCGACGCTAATTAAGTTATTGTTCTTGACGCTAGTTAACTTATTGTTCTTGACGCTAATAAAGTTATCGTTCTTGACGCTAATAAAGTGATCGTTCTTGACGCTAATTAAGTTATCGTTCTTGACGCTAATTAACTTATTGTTCTTGACGCTAATTAACTTATTGTTCTTGACGCTAATAAAGTCATATATAGTCATAATATAGTCAGCGTTGTTGGTGTGAACGGACCGTTTTCTAAATAATTCATTAATTTTGCTGTATTGGGCTGGTTGTGTGCTAGATATCCCCTGTACTCTCATTAAGTTAAAGAATTAGAATAAGAGCTGATCTCACCCTCTGGGAGTCCATGACGGTCTCCAGGAAGCTGTCTGATGTCACTTCCTGTATTAGGGACTGAGTGTGCTGATGTTGTTTGTCTCCCACCAGATGTCTATGTAAAGGACTGAAAGAGATGCTGAAGTTCTGGATGAAATCTTCTGCTCCACACACACACACACACACACACACACACACAGCAATTATAGACAGCAATTATAACTGGTGCAGTGTGATGTGTGTGTGTGTGTGTGTGTGTGTGTGTGTGTGTGTGTGTACCCAGTGAGTCGGTGTGGTTGAGCACGTAGTGTGTCTCGTCTCTGAGGTTGATGATGGTGATGAAGGGTCGGCCGCTGTGATTGGTCGCTCCGAGTCTCTGTGCTAGCGTCCGGTGCAGCGCGGCGTCCAGCATGTAGAAGCGCAGCGTCTTGTTGGTTCGGCACTGGAGGCCGGTGATGGAGTCGGTGACGGGCCTCGGGACGCTCCTGCAACACACACTGACCTGACTGAGCGGACTGTACGAGCCCTGGACGCTCCTGCAGGGGGCGCTGGAGAGCTGGACAGGCTCCACACACACACCCAGAGCCCAGCAGTGAGACACACACAGCTCACACACACTCTCTTCAGCGGCGGCCGCCGGCAGGGAGCGACAGCAGCGCGGGACAGAAGACACACCGCCGTCCGAGCCGCACGAGTGATAACGCAACGCCACATCAGTCACCTGACACACACAGAACACACTGCTCATGTGACCCGCACACACATCTGCTACATCAACCACATCAACACTGATAAAGCACCAAACCAAAGACCAAAAACACGCTTTGATCAACGTGTGATCGTCAACCAGTGGATCTCTGAGTGAGTGGAGGCGGGGCTCATATGCATATTCATAGAAACACGCATACTAAATGAGGCGAGGGTGTCGAGTTACAGTCAAGCTAGTCTGTGTGAAAACGATAACCCAATCAAACCTGGACAACGTTAGCCATGGCGTTAGCGTTCGCGGAGCGTACCTGGTGGAGCAGCTGATTGGCTGAGAGCGGATTGTGTGGGAGGAAGGTGAGGAGGGCGGGGCCTTTCTGTAGCTCCGCCTCCAGCGAGTAACTCTTGGCTCCCGTTGGCTGGATCCAGTGGACGACGCTCTCTCTGTTCTCGAACACCCAATCACAGACGGCCTGAGCGGTGAAGTTCCTCTGCGCCCGCGGGAACACCTGCGTCAGAAACAGTTTCACCGAGTGTGTCATCAGGACGAGTGTGTGTGAGCATGAACTCACCAGCGAGCTGTTCAAGCGCCGGTGTAAATACACACTTTCATCCTCCGTGAGTGACACGCCCTCTGCCACCGCCTGATTGGTCACCACAGCGAAGCGCACCGCCCCCTGATGATCTGGCCAATGAGAGGGCAGCGTGTCAGAGTTGAGCACCAGTGTGTGTGTGTGTGTGTGTGTGATGGCGACAGTACCTCGTCTGAGCGCGTGCAGAGCTGAGAACAAGAAGCTGATGTAACCGGCCGGCTGAGGAGACGAGTTAAACTGGAAATAACCCACCACACCCTGCTGGAGCACACACACACACACACACACACACACACACACACACACACACACACACACACACACACACACACTAGAGATGCATCGATTGCACAAATAAATGCAAGAGAATAAAGAGACAGTATGTGTGTGTGTGTGTGTGTGTGTGTATACCTGCTGGTGTGTGAGGAAGGTGTGCAGGGCTCTGCTGGTGGGCAGGAGTGTGTGTGTGTGTGTGTGTGTGTGTACCTGCTGGTGTGTGAGGAAGGTGTGCAGGGCTCTGCTGGTGGGCAGGTATGTTAGTGGAGTAGAAACCCTCAGGATGAAGCTCTCCAGATACTCAGACTGAACCGGACCTCTGTACTCGATCGGACCGAACCTGCACACACACACACACACACGGTCATTATGTGTGTTTATGATGCTGACCACATGCTCACGTCTGTGTGTGTGTGTGTGTGTGTGTGTGTTTACCTCCAGTAGTAGAGATGAATGACTGGATACTGGAAGAAGCTCTTCTGCTTCCTGCATCTGCCCTGATACCACCAGCAATTCACAGCCACAAACTGCACCTGCACACAGGAAACGCATCATCACACACACAGGACACGCATCATCACACACACAGGACACGCATCATCACGGCACAGGACACGCATCATCACGGCACAGGACATTAAAACAGATATCGTTCACTAGCGTGCATCTCTGGTGTGTCTGAGCGGGCCTCACCTGTGCCGCGAGCCGCAGCGCCACCTGCTGGAGGACGAGCCGTGCAGAGGCGCAGTGAGCGCACCAGGGGGCGTAGTAGAGCAACACCGACACATCCGCCTCCTCCCGCAGGGCATCCGCCTCCTCCAGCTGACCCAGGAACAGGTCCCGCACCGGCCCGTCCGCGGGGAAGAAGCGACCCGGAGCCCGAGGCAACGCCACCACCGGCTTCTCCCGCCTGACACACACACACACACACACACATTTATATATGCATACACACACACACGTGCATACACACATTATATATAGGCTATTTCATATATATATATGAAGAGTTCAGATGCAAAAGCCTCTAAGTGCCATTTGAAATTTTCTTCTTTAATGATGATTTTTATCAAGCTTGTATATTTAAGTTCAGTGATTTCACTTAAATGGCAATGATAATTACCTATTAATTGTTATTTAAGTGAAATTACTGAACTTAAATATACAAGCTTGATAAAAATCATCATTAAAGAAGAAAATTTCAAATGGCATTTAGAGGCTTTTGCATCTGAACTCTTCATATACACATACACACACACACACACACACACACACACACACACACACACACAGTTATAAGCAGGATCAGAGCACAGGTGAGCAGTGTGTGTTATGATATTACAGTCAGATGTGTAGAGTGTATTTACCCGCAGGTGAATGTGATGGGCAGGATCAGAGCACAGGTGAGCAGGATCGCACCGCAGCACAACACGGGTCTTCTCGCCATCTGGTCCGACACCTGCCGGAGCTGAGCCCGAACCCGCTGCAGCATCACCGACCCCGGCCCGCTACAGGGACCCGCTCATCCCGGGACAACCGGACCGGACCGAGCCGAGGCAAAGCGCAAAACACGGCGTGTGTTCAAGCAGAGCAGAGCAGAACACACACGCACCAGCCGAGCCGCTCACACACACACACACACACGTCAGGCTTCCGGCTTCCCGGAGGGGCGGGGTCTCTGTGAGAGGGGGCGGGGCCAAGCGAGGGAGCGTCTCCAAACTACACAGACAAACGCGCCATTGTATTTGTATTTCATTTAATATAGTAGTGAAACGAGCATCTAAAATGCTTAAACAGATGATCGAGAATATGATCTTGATTTAAAACACGCCAGGCTTTCAGGGCTTTTCGAGAGGGATGCTTTCAAAACACTTTTGCGAATCTCCGAAACTTTTGTGAATCAGTGATTCGATTTTTAAGCTTGCGATTCGATTCTGAAATCAGGCACAGTAAGGAAACAAATCTCTCTAAACTAATGCTGTAAACACACATAATTATTGAAATATCATAAATCAACACATGTGTAGACTGTGCCAGATGGTAGGCTAGATGTTTAAAGATTCGTTCACTTCTATTCTGATGACATTCATCTTCAGATTATTGCCTATTACCTCTCCACACTCTTTATTTCTGTTAAACTGAGATTCATGTGATATTAACACAAGAGCCACACAACAAACCTGGAACTTTCACCTTTTTATTAATAGAGAAATATTTAAATAAAAAAAATATATATATATTATGATTTACAAATACGACCGATATATTTTCTTCACCCACATTAATAAATTAACAAAATCAAAATATAAAAATAAAATTGTCTGAATTACTGATTTAAACCTGAATGTAACATGAAAGCAGAGAGGGGATTGAAACGTGTGTTTACAGTGAGAGCATGTAGAATGTGTGTGTGTGTGTGTCAGGGCCTCTGCTGTGCATCTGTAGGCAGGAGTGTGTTCTTCACGAGCGCTGCGGTGAGGAAGGGGCTGATGTACAGCTGTGTGTAGATCTCTATATTGATGATGAACAGAGGGAGCAGCGGCCACACCAACACCAGAGGAGAAGAGTTGAACATCACCGCCAACACATGAAGCCAGAGCCTCTGGGGGAGCGTCCTGCAATCACACACACACACACACACAGAAATCATATGGGAAAATCAAGCTAACGTCAGAGTAAATAAATGTTAAAACAACTGTTAATGGTGTGTGTGTGTGTATTGATACCTCATCTCTCCTCTGGTCCACAGCGTCCAGTAGAAACTGATGTCCAACACTGACAGTAAGGTGGCGTGAGCGATGACGACGCCGGCCGTCCAGTAATGAGCGCTCACCCAGTGCCAGGCGAACGCAGCCAGCAGCTGATGCGGCAACAGGAAGTACATCACCAGAAACTCCGCCCACTGATGCCAGCCCGGCCAATCCTGCTGCGGCACAGAGAGAGAGAGAGTCACGACCCGCCTGTGAGGGTCTCACACACACACACACACTGACGCACCAGCGGCGTTTGTGCGGGGCAGGCGGTGTCGAGGAAGGGCAGGAAGGTGTGATGGTAGTCCAGCAGGTACAGGTAGAGCAGCGTCAGGCGAGGACAGCTCCTCAGACCCACCAGCAGGAACACCGTCTTCCCAGGGTACAGCTCCTACACACACACACACACACACACTTACTGTGACACACAGAAGCTTCACACTCTAAAATCATGGGTTATTTTTTCAGTGTTCATGTAACGCAGATCCTGAGTCAGACGCAACAACCCATGACACAAGAACCAAAAATCAAAGCAGTTCGTGACACAGTTCTGAGAGAAACTCGATTCTAGAGCTGCCACCATTCCTGCATTACATTCGACTTCTCGGGTTTTAATTTACCTGCGTTAATTAGAGGAGTAGTTCACTTTTGAAAAAACTTTTGCTGATAATTTACTCACCCCCATGTCATCCAAGATGTCCATGTCTTTCTTTCCTCAGTCGAAAAGAAATTAAGGTTTTTGATGAAAACATTCCAGGATTTTTCTCCATATAATGGACTTCAATGGGGTCCAAACGGTCCAAGGTCCGAAAGAGAGTTTCAGTGCAGCTTCAAATGTCTTTAAACGACACCAGACGATGAATAAGGGTCTTATCATGCGAAACGATCGCTTATTTCAAAACTTATTCCAAAAATGTAACTTTTCTAAGGACAAATGCTAGCCTTGCTCTATTCTGTGAGGCGTGTTTGTAACGTCACGTAATACGTAATTACGTTCAAAAGGTCACGGGTGACGTAGCTGAAAGTACAGAGTCAGTGTTTACAAGTTGAACGCAGGTGCAAACTAACTCAAACGCCGTTTACAAAAAAAGCAATTAAAAGGTAAAACAACGATGTCGGACGATTTTGATTCTGTACTTCCGGCTACGTCGCCCGTGACCTTTTGAACGTAATTACGTATTACGTGACGTTACAAACACGCCTCACAGAATAGAGCAAGGCTAGCATTTGTCCTTAGAAAAGTTACATTTTTGGAATAAGTTTTGAAATAAGCGATCGTTTCGCATGATAAGACCCTTATTCATCGTCTGGTGTCGTTTAAAGACATTTGATACTGCATCTGAAACTGTTATTAACTGTCTTTTCGACCTTGAACCGTTTGGTCCCCATTGAAGTCCATTATATGGAGAAAAATCCTGGAATGTTTTCATCAAAAACCTTAATTTATTTTTGACAAAGGAAAGAAAGACATGGACATCTTGGATGACACGGGGGTGAGTAAATTATCCATGAAACGCATTATTAGACAGTTTTCTACGGCTACACGTAACTGTGGCGTCACACACCTTCCCAGAACAAGCACAGGACACCGAGTCCAAACAGTGTCCAAAATGATCAAAAACTCCATCAACAAAATAACACACACACACACACACACACACCTTGTACTCCCAGAGGTTGAGTGTGACTCTCAGCTGCTGGAGTTTGTGCAGCTCCTCCAGGATGATCCGTCGGTGAGCCTGATTCTGGATCATGAACGGAGCCGCAGACAGATCTTCATCACTGAGAGCAGACAGGGATCTGACACACACACACACACACACACACACACAAGGGGTCATATTAAAAGCCTCACTGATGATCTGCTGAAGAATGTTCATGACCTCACACGACTGTAGTAATGTTAAATAGTGTGTGTGAGAGAGAGTGTTACCTGCCGTCAATCTGCTCCCTGTGGAATATTTCTTTATACTGATTGGTCCAGACCCCCAGATGCTCCACCCACAGTGTGACATCATCAGTGCTCCACCTGCGGAGAGGTTTACTGAGCAGCGTCTCATGGCTGGAGTCGGCACTGAGCGCGCGGTACACTAACAGCACCATCTACACACACACACACACACACACACACACACACGAGTGAAGAGTGTGTTGTTTTACACAACCATTGAGGAATTTTAACCAAATTTACTTAATTTTTACTTGAAGACCTTAAACAATCAACATTCCATCCCAATCCTGTTCTCATTATAATGATATGCAGATGATAGATCGGCGCAGTAAACGCCATTACATCATCACCGCAGTGCGTGACTAACCAATCAGACCTCAGGATCCACCCCAAATACAACAGAAACTGTGTGTGTGTGTGTGTGAGAGACTCACAGCGACACAGCTCAGTGCGGTCAGGACTCCAGAGTAAAACTCCCTGATGTTGATCCGCGGCGGGTTCACTGGGGCAGTGGTGTGTGTGTGTGTGTGCCGCTCCAGTCTCTTCTCGAACGCCTGGAGAACCTGCTGGAGCCACGGGTCACTCCGGACGGCCTGCCTCCGTCGGCTCACGTCAGCGGGAAACAGCTTCTCCACCGCATCCCTGTCACACACACACACGATGTAGTCCCTGTGTATAAAGTGTTTTCACTCGAGTAATAGCCGAGGTGTGTGTGAACAGAAGCAGACGTCTCTCACCGCAGGAGGATGTTGACTCTGGGTAAACCCTGCCACGCCGCTCGGCATTCTGGGCAGTGTGTGGGGAGGCCGGAGGCCCAGCAGGAGGCCAGGCAGTGTCGGCAGAAGCTGTGTCCGCAGGGCAGTGTGGTGGGCTCCAGCAGCACCTCGAAGCAGCAGTGACACGAGCACTCGTCTGCCAGCAGACCCGCCGGCGGCTCCACGCACACACACACGTCCATCACACCTGAGCACACACACACACAGACACGACACACACACATAGAGATAACACAGCTAGCAGAGAGACGACACAGGTTCAGGTTCAGTCAGGTCCTCGTCTCTCCTCAGGATGCCACAGCAGCTCTTTGGGTTTATTCATGATAAACACTCGACAGAAGAGAAAGAGAAAGCTCCACTCCCACTACACACAAAAACACACGTGATATACTGTAGGGACTTTCCGTCGACTTCCGTTGATTTTCTACTGATTTAATGGAATTTGATTTTTTAAACATTAAATTAAAACGTTATTGTTAGATGTGTTAGTGAAGCTTATTTTTTATTAAGAAGTCAATGTCAGTTGGGGTTTTCAGGTTTCCTGTTTCATCCCCAGCGCAACCACCACCAGCATAAACAAAAACACACACTTCCGTTTCACTTTCTGTGCTTTACTCACGTGACGTGAGTGACTACTCGGATTTTCTGCCAGTTTTCGCTGCAGTTTTTTCGATTATTTGCGTCAAAACAACGAATCAATTTGTGAACTTGCAAATTTTGGTATATTTGAGTTTTGAAAAGCTTCGTTTTACTATCACTTTCCCCCTTGTTTGCGGGTAAACGAGGAATCACTGGTATTTCCGCCAAATCCGACCCATGATTGATTCAATATCACTTTGTGATGCTGTGATAAGATTAACCATATTGTAAACAGCCCTTTTAATAACAATGAGTTAAATAAAAGAATAGAGGAATTTAATTAATGTTTATTATTATTATTATTATTATTATTATTATTATTTGCACATTCCCTCTTAATCGTACGCCTAATATGCCTAAAAGTGTTGATGTTTAAATTTTCTTTATGGTTATTTTCAGTTAAAAACGGCAAGTAAAGTAAAAAATAAATAAAATAAAAACTTTTTATCATATACTTTCGGTTATTTAACATTTAAGAATAAAAAAAAATAAAAAAAGCTAATAAAGACTTTTTATCTCACAATTCTGACTTTAACAGGTAATTGCACGTTTATATTTCGCAAATGACATTATAACATGCAATTATATCACACTTCTGAGAAAAAAAATCAGGATAAAAAGTTATTATTAGTGTGGGGAAATCTAGAATATACATTGATATAATATATGTAATTTAATAATTGTCATAAGATAATTGTGAGTTAAAAGCTAGTGTAATGTTTTTTGTTATTTCAGTCATTTTATTAATGGTGGTTATTTAATTAGTCAGTATGCACTTATGTTCGTGGTATACAACGATGTGAGGTGTGTCCAGTGGGTGGCGGTAAGCCAGAGGAAAAACCTAGACGAGATTATAAGTGTAGAGTGATGTTCACGCGAGATTATGACGAGATTTGAAGCGTAGAGTTATGTTGTACTGTGTTGTACTGAGCTGTTGCGAATGACGCTGCTGAATAAAAACAACCCAACCATTTACACGCTTGTTCAATCCTTCAAGTGTGCTACATTAGCTATTATTGTGATTATTAGGTTATTACAAATGTCTCTTAACATTTTAACATCTTTTAACTTTTAACAACATTTTATTCCGTGGCAGGCCCGGCTGCAGGATGAAATGACTGAGGGGGCATGTGAAATTGTTAAGGGGGCTTAACTTTATACCATCAATGATCAATCAACACACCTCGCTTTGGAACAACAGATTTTTAAATGCAGCGCTCCATAACACACTCCGTATGCAACCACTTAATAAAAAGATAAGCCAGCATAATTTTTTATTCATATATGAACTCTTTCATGCTTAAGTTTAAAATATTCTGACTTACTCCCCAGAGTGAGTTTTTATTTTAGAACGTTCCCCCTTAATGTTTCCATGGCAACGCGTCATATTTGTCACGTGACACCATAGCCACAATGAATGACAGATGTGTATCGCTTTTATTGCATTTTTCCTTTTTATTTGAAATATTCACAAACTTGCTTACCATGTCATCAACTATCTATTCCGATTGTCAAAAATGTGTAAGTGAGTGTGTTTGGTTGTTTAAAACCTTTATAAATAATCTTGATCTTTATCTATAACGTGAGACGACACCACATTTATTTGCGCCGCAGTTCAGAGAGTCCTGTCAGTCATCATCAGTTTCTCCCGAAATATATGTAAGAAAGTGGCCGGTGAACTGTGAGAAGAATAAAGTAAACTTTATAGTCATTTCCACTATTTTTGTCTGATATGAATAACACACGTTGGCAAATTATATTTGAATAGATTGTTATTGCTGCTTCCACAGACATCCGTGTGTATTTTACAAACTCCAAATGTACTGTTTTACTAGTGCTTAAAGTCCCCGTGAAATCAAAATTGAACCTATTTACTTTGTTAGCGCATATTACTAGTCTTGTGGTGAACAATTAATCCGTGCAAGTGAATATATATTAAAAAAATATTTTACCTTAGTAATCTTTAATCAAAATCTGAAAAGTTACTTCCGGTCTGGAACGGTTTCTTTTTCTGATGACGTAGGTTTCACAGTTTGGGTGGGGAAACGCTTAACCACTCCCCTCAAACCGTTAGTTTGCTATGAGCGACAGATGGAGAGGAGGAGCGCTAGAGTTAAACCCTGCCCTCTGTTCAATATTCCGTTTCACTTGTCACAGCACTGGAGAAAAATCGTTTGCAACTTCCGGTTCACGGGGACTTTAAGTGAATTTCAATGTCTGAAACCTAAAATAAACATTATGAGGTTGAAACACTGCATAGTTTTGATATATGACAGCGCTGTCCGTCCGTCTCTGGCTCAGTGCCAACCAACGCGAATCTGGTAGTGATGTCACGTCACTGAACATTATACATCCCTTATGGGACTGTACCGCTCAAAAGGTTAAACATTTCATTTGTAACTGTAACCTCTACACCCGGGTCCAACTCGACCCGCTCTGAGCGGGCCTCGAACCCGGGTCTCCGGCGTGAGAGTCAGGCGCTCTAACAAGGAGGCTAAAGAAGACTGCAGCCTCTACCGTCTGTCGCTAGAGCGCCTATTGAGATCGGGGAGTGAGGTTTACTCGCACAGCAACTACTAGCTGGCCTCCGTTACATAACCATGAATACAAAAATGAAACTGAGAGGGCACAAATGAGATCTGAGGGGGCAATGCCCCCTTTTGCCCCCTCGTGGCGCCGGGCCTGTTCCGTGGTTAAACCAAGCATTTTCCATAGTTCTCTGTGGCCACAGATGACAGATATAAATTGTAGAAAACAAATAAACATGTTTTATATTATAACAGTTGTGTCGTCAGTTGTTTTAATTATTTAACTAAGAAAACATCACATTTTTTTGGTTCATGCATTAGGGTTAAATATAAAAAAAATCTCGAAGGTGTGCATCGTACCTGCTGTCACCTACACAAACACTTGCAGTTGGTTTTGGCACTGTAATTCATTCTCTTCAAATGTTATTGAAGTTAGAAACGTGTAACCAAAGTCATATGTAAATAGATGATTGAGAGAATATCAAAAGTCCAATGTCACTCCAGCTTTATTGACGAGAATCGTGCACTCTAGCCCATAATCTGTGAGGCCGCTGCCCTATGAACACGATTATGATGACCATCATAAACCTCACACACACATGATGCAGATATACATGTTGCTCTTCACTGCGGTCAACTCAAACTTTCGGTTTGTGGGTCGTGTTGCTCTGGGATGCTTTAGGTTCGAATCCCAGTCCCTCTTATTGTTTATCTGCCGCCGGTGATATCAATTAAAATTGGAAAAATAATGAAGTATCTTATATTAAAATAAGTTGACGTGCTGATTTGGGAAATATGTTTTGTCATATCTCATTCATCTGCATTTCACCGCTGTATATGTGTGTAAAAGTCAAGCAATCGGCCTCTTATCAGAGATCATTCGTGTCGCTCCCTCCATATCTCAAGATAAACATTCATTGATGAAATATCTCATTATTAGGGATGTAACATAATATACGTGGATAATAAAGGCTAAAATTGGCATGCTCTACAATGACAGTGCAGCTTTAATCCATAAAGTAAACTAACTCAGTTTATTCAGGTCAAATGATTTTGATATAATAATTATGTTTTATAACATAACCAACACCATCAGATCACCTTTTCTATTTGTCCATCAGGCTGTTATAACTCATGTACAGCAGCCAAACACAATCTAAAGCTAACCATTTAATGGTCAAGAGGCCAACTAAATCAAACACTGATCACCATTATGGTGACTTAAAATATTTTTTTTTCCTCCTAATTTTATGTTTGTTTGTTTTTTGAAAAACATTTTGTTCATTTAACGCTCAGCTCAGAGTTTGATTTGGTTAAACTCACTAAAAATGACTTAATTCCATGATGTTGAAGTTACAAATTATGTTTGTTTAACGTAACCCAGTTATGTGGAACCTGTTGACATAAAAAAGTTAATTAGAGCCAACATATCATTTCTTTTGAGTGAATGCAATGGGGGAACATGTATGGGTCCTGATAATGCCAAACGTCTGATGTTACTGGTAAACGTGGCCTACATTATTTTAAATATCTATTCAGTGAAGGAGTGCAAGCATACAGTATTCATCTAAATAAGCCTTGCGTCACCAAGGTCAGATAAATGCCATCATCACATAGATCCTCTTTTACCTAGATCTCATATAGAGACTGTGTCTGTTCCCCGAATTAGGAAATCCCAAAAATGTTCAAACCCATAAGGTTAAAAGTTGAATTGATGTTCAACAAATACAGATGAGCAAGTGATAAAGCTTGGGTTGCTGAATATTAGATCCCTTACTTCAAAATTGCTCATGATTTCAGATTATAATCTATAGATGTGCTGTGTTTGACAGAAACCTGGCTAAAAACAAACGATTACATTACTTTAAATGAGTCCACCCCGCAAGATTACAGTTATAAACATGAACCTCGTCCGAAAGGCAAAGGGGGAGCTGTTGCTGTAATTCATAGTAATATCCTCAAAACCACTAAATATATATGAAGAGTTCAGATGCAAAAGCCTCTAAATGCCATTTGAAATTTTCTTCTTTAATGATGATTTTTATCAAGCTTGTATATTTAAGTTCAGTGATTTCACTTAAATGGCAATGATAATTACCTATTAATTGTTATTTAAGTGAAATTACTGAACTTAAATATACAAGTTTGATAAAAATCATCATTAAAGAAGAAAATTTCAAATGGCATTTAGAGGCTTTTGCATCTAATCTCTTCATATATATATATATATATATATATATATATATATATATATATATATATAGTGTAAATGATAAGTCACGTTTGAGAATTCTGCTGGCTGCTGCTTCCCCTGTACCATCAGGTTTCATAGCTGTATGACCTTTCCCACAATCCCCGGAGAACATGCCCAGACCTGCCTCGGGACGACAACAGTGCAAGCCAGGGCTGTAAAACACAACCAGACACAACCGGTCCTCCTCCTCCTCCTCTTCCTCCTCCTCCTCCTTTGTTCTCAGATTATGTGGGAAACAAATAAGCAGCTTGAATTGTGAATTGCACAATCATGCAGTTTCATGTGGGAGAAATCACTGAAACTTACTATAACATTAAAATGATTAAAAGCACACACCAATTTGAACTGAAGAGACTCAACCAGCCTGAAAACACACTGAATACGCCACATTCTGCTTCGGGCACATTAAACTTCAGGTTAAAGAGATCCTAGCATTCACACTGACATACAGACTGAATCGGTGTATAACTCATCGGGAACACTTTACAATAAGGCAACAAACTTCACTTATACTCCTTAAAACAGAATGAACATGAATGCAGATGTGCTTCGGTAACTTAAATATCACCTTACAATTTCACCTTTATGTCATCCAAACTTTATATCACTGTCAGAAATCGTGAACACCCCGTTAACTCTTGATACAAATACAGGCAAATGTCAGTTAGCATTATTAGCATCATGTAGTTCACTAAATAGAGGTGGAAAACGGGATTTTTTTCCTCCAAAATCTCGGTTGCTCACAGGGGCGTAGCCTGTATTGGGCCAGGGTGGCACTGACCCGCCCAGGCAATTTGATAAAAAATACATTTTTAGTTATTATTCAAACGTATTTAAGAAAATATACCTGATTTATTGTTGACTGCTGTGTGTGTTTAATTCGTTTCCCAAATAAAATGATAGAGCTTACAGTGTGATTGTGTCTTTACTCATTTCTCTGCATTATATTAATATAATACCGCATCTACAATAATACGTTTTAATATAAAAATGTAATGAAAATAAGTGGACATTAGTGTGATGAGAGGATACTGTACACTGAACTCTCATATCACTCGCATCACATTATGTAAACGGCATTTATGACTGTAATATCATGACAGCCTCTCGATAAACACACACACCCTTTTCCTCTGGTGCTGCGACTCACGTCCCCGTTCTGGAGGTTCAAACTGACATAACAGACTCTACAATATCTTGATCTAGAACCGAACAGAAAAAACAACAGCTCTGTGTATATAGAAAACACTAATGATCAGATTGTGCTCTTTTTGCTTTACTTACTTATTTTACTCATCTTACACAGTAAGACTACAGATGAGCTCATCTGAGAGGCATTCGCTCTCAGTGCCGCCCAACCCATCAATCGAGGAGATCATGTGATTTCTCTTTCCTCGGGGACTTCAGCTATGAGAAGTGTTCAACAATCAGAGCCTGTGATATCCGAGAGAAGAGACTGTAGGACAAAAAAACAAACACAATCGCGTGTAACAGGAGCAGAACACGTGATTATTGCAGTTGTGTGATGAATAGTCTGGTCAGAGGTTAGCTGTGTGTGTGTGTGTGTGTGACGAGGTTCTTCCTGTTTGCGTGTTCTGCATTGGTTAATGTGTAATCCAAGAGAAGAATAAAACCGCTGCTCGTCTCCGTGTGTTCCCAGTCTGAGCGTCCCAGGATCAGGAACCATGAGCTACGACCTGTTCTTCTCAGCCGAAACATGGGCTCTGCTCTCGCTGCTTGTGGCGCTTCTGGTTTTGTGAGTGATTCATGACGCTTGTTGTCTAAAATCTTTCAATCTTTACTTCTAAAATCTCAATAAAAATGAGTCATTTGAGTGCATGTCGAGATTCAGGGCTATATTCCAGTGACTGTATCAGGTGATATCTTAACAGGTTTAACAGTTAGTTGTATTATTTCCTTATTATCTCTGTAAAGCTGCTTTGAAACAATCTGTATTGTGTAAAACCCCAGCAAACAGCGAACGCTCTGTCAAGGTTCTCTCAAAGTTATGAACAAACGTTTTTCCAGTATCATTAATCATAGTTATTTGGACTATAGCTTTCCCATGATGTTTGTAGAAGGAAAAAATTGAATGTTTCCTACATGTTCACACAACCAAGACCTTTTTTAACGTAATGAGAACATTAGGAAAACATTCTCAGAGCATATTTTTATCAACTGGGATTGTTTCGTTTTAAATGGTTTTGACGTCCTTTCCAGATATGGACACTGGCCTCACAGGCAGTTCAAGAAGTTGGGAATAGCGGGTCCCAACCCCATTCCGTTCTTCGGAACGATGCTGAGATATCGAGAGGTGAGTTTATTATAAAGCAAGTCTGATATTGTGTTTAACTCACCTTTGGTCAATCTGGATCTTGATGATCGACTGGTTCTCCGTCAGTCCATCGCAGGTTTGTTGATTATCCATGCGAATGTGAACCTGTGGGTGTCAAACACACGGATGATACTATAGTCTTTCCAGTGTTTTTCTTATGACTCTTCTGAACGTGTCTTAATGTGAACTCGTCTGTTGCTGTGCTTTCAGGGGTTTCATAATTTCGATCTCGAGTGTTTCAAGAAGTATGGACGAATCTGGGGGTGAGTGTGAGACTAACGGATGACGCTTCACTGATCAATCTCAATGAATCATCTGAAAGAATCATTTCAGAACTTCTGAAACAGAAATGACTCCGCTGTGATTACAAACATGATTGAAGGTTCAACATTAAGATCTGTAACGAAGAGCCGAGGAAGATGGTCATTATGAGACCATGATAATGACAGTGAATCCTACAATTATAATGAACTGAATTATTCTTCTGAATGTAATCTTTGTGTTTCTCACAGTATCTACGATGCGAGGCAACCCGTTCTGTGCATCACGGATCAATCCATCATCAAAACCATCATGATTAAAGAATGTTACTCTCTCTTCACCAACAGAAGGGTAAAATCGCCATCTTCTTCGTCATCATTCATACAGGAAATAGTTTTGAAATACTACAGAACCCTTGAGGATATGCTGATGATAAAAAAAGAAAAGAAAGGAAAAAGTATTTTTCAATGCTTTTGCGAGAGGACACTAAGTTTCTCAGGGGTAAAGGAACGCAAAGTTTCTTTGGGAATGCAGATGGGTTTTCACAAAAGATTTGCGAGCAAACACAAAGTTTGTCTAGGGAACAGAAGTTTTGTGAGGGAACACAGAGTTTTTTGGGAACAAAAGATTTGTGAAAGAACGCAAAGTTTCTCCGGGATCAAAAGATTCATGAAAGAACGTAAAGTTTCTCCGGGTACAAAAGATTTGTGAAAGAACGTAAAGCTTCTCCGGGATCAAAAGATTCGTGAAAGAACGTAAAGTTTCTCCGGGAATAAAAGATTCGTGAAAGAACGTAAAGTTTCTCCAGGAACAAAAGATTCATGAAAGAACGTAAAGTTTCTCCGGGTACAAAAGATTCGTGAAAGAACGTAAAGTTTCTCCGGGATCAAAAGATTCGTGAAAGAACGTAAAGTTTCTCCGGGATCAAAAGATTTGGGAAAGAACGTAAAGTTTCTCCGGGATCAAAAGATTTGTGAAAGAACGTAAAGTTTCTCCGGGATCAAAAGATTCGTGAAAGAACTTAAAGTTTCTCCGGGATCAAAAGATTTGTGAAAGAACGTAAAGTTTCTCCGGGAACAAAAGATTTGTGAAAGAACGTAAAGTTTCTCCGGGATCAAAAGATTCGTGAAAGAACGTAAAGTTTCTCCGGGATCAAAAGATTTGTGAAAGAACGTAAAGTTTCTCCGGGATCAAAAGATTTGTGAAAGAACGTAAAGTTTCTCCGGGAACAAAAGATTTGTGAAAGAGCGTAAAGTTTCTCTGGGATCAAAAGATTTGTGAAAGAACGTAAAGTTTCTCCAGGAACAAAAGATTTGTGAAAGAGCGTAAAGTTTCTCCGGGAACAAAAGATTTGTGAAAGAACGTAAAGTTTCTCCGGGAAGAAAAGATTTGTGAAAGAACGTAAAGTTTCTCCGGGATCAAAAGATTTGTGAAAGAATGTTAAGTTTCTCCGGGATGAAAAGATTTGTGAAAGAACGTAAAGTTTCTCCGGGATCAAAAGATTCGTGAAAGAACGTAAAGTTTCTCCGGGAACAAAAGATTTGTGAAAGAACGTAAAGTTTCTCCGGGATGAAAAGATTTGTGAAAGAACGTAAAGTTTCTCCGGGAACAAAAGATTTGTGAAAGAACGTAAAGTTTCTCCGGGATCAAAAGATTCGTGAAAGAACGTAATGTTTCTCCGGGATGAAAAGATTTGTGAAAGAACGTAAAGTTTCTCCGGGAACAAAAGATTTGTGAAAGAACGTAAAGTTTCTCCGGGATCAAAAGATTTGTGAAAGAACGTAAAGTTTCTCCGGGATCAAAAGATTCGTGAAAGAATGTAAAGTTTCTCCGGGATGAAAAGATTTGTGAAAGAGCGTAAAGTTTCTCCGGGATCAAAAGATTTGTGAAAGAACGTAAAGTTTCTCCGGGATCAAAAGATTTGTGAAAGAACGTAAAGTCTCTCCGGGATCAAAAGATTCGTGAAAGAACGTAAAGTTTCTCCAGGATCAAAAGATTTGTGAAAGAATGTAAAGTTTCTCCGGGATGAAAAGATTCGTGAAAGAACGTAATGTTTCTCCGGGATGAAAAGATTTGTGAAAAAACGTAAAGTTTCTCCGGGAACAAAAGATTCGTGAAAGAATGTAAAGTTTCTCCGGGATCAAAAGATTTGTGAAAGAACGTAAAGTTTCTCCGGGATCAAAAGATTCGTGAAAGAACGTAAAGTTTCTCCGGGATCAAAAGATTCGTGAAAGAACGTAATGTTTCTCCGGGATCAAAAGATTTGTGAAAGAACGTAATGTTTCTCCGGGAACAAAAGATTTGTGAAAGAACGTAAAGTTTCTCCGGGAAGAAAAGATTTGTGAAAGAACGTAAAGTTTCTCCGGGATCAAAAGATTTGTGAAAGAATGTAAAGTTTCTCCGGGAACAAAAGATTTGTGAAAGAACGTAAAATTTCTCCGGGATGAAAAGATTTGTGAAAGAATGTTAAGTTTCTCCGGGATGAAAAGATTTGTGAAAGAACGTAAAGTTTCTCCGGGATCAAAAGATTCGTGAAAGAACGTAAAGTTTCTCCGGGAACAAAAGATTTGTGAAAGAACGTAAAGTTTCTCCGGGATGAAAAGATTTGTCAAAGAACGTAAAGTTTCTCCGGGAACAAAAGATTCGTGAAAGAACGTAATGTTTCTCCGGGATGAAAAGATTCGTGAAAGAACGTAATGTTTCTCCGGGATGAAAAGATTTGTGAAAGAACGTAAAGTTTCTCCGGGAACAAAAGATTTGTGAAAGAACGTAAAGTTTCTCCGGGATCAAAAGATTCGTGAAAGAATGTAAAGTTTCTCCGGGATGAAAAGATTTGTGAAAGAGCGTAAAGTTTCTCCGGGATCAAAAGATTTGTGAAAGAACGTAAAGTTTCTCCGGGATCAAAAGATTTGTGAAAGAACGTAAAGTTTCTCCGGGATCAAAAGATTTGTGAAAGAAAGTAAAGTTTCTCCGGGATCAAAAGATTCGTGAAAGAACGTAAAGTTTCTCCAGGATCAAAAGATTCGTGAAAGAATGTAAAGTTTCTCCGGGATGAAAAGATTCGTGAAAGAACGTAATGTTTCTCCGGGATCAAAAGATTTGTGAAAGAACGTAATGTTTCTCCGGGATCAAAAGATTTGTGAAAGAACGTAAAGTTTCTCCGGGAACAAAAGATTTGTGAAAGAACGTAAAGTTTCTCCGGGAACAAAAGATTTGTGAAAGAACGTAAAGTTTCTCCGGGATCAAAAGATTCGTGAAAGAACGTAAAGTTTCTCTGGGATCAAAAGATTCGTGAAAGAACGTAAAGTTTCTCCGGGATCAAAAGATTTGTGATAGATTAGCAAGAGATTGGGATATTTCTTTGGGAACGCAAAAGTATTGTGAGAGAATGCAGATTCTTAGAAATATCGTAATTCGGCCTCTCTTTTATCTCTGTAAAATATACACGGTACTTAAGTTAATAAATGTGAATTATTTTTATTAATCATTTGAATGTTTTCAGGACAGAGATTGTGCTTGTATCGTTATTCTCTCTTCACTGTCCACATTTGTCCTCCGATCCGGCAGAACTTCCGTCTGAACGGGCCGCTGTACGACGCCGTGTCCATCGTTGAAGACGACGACTGGAGGAGAATCCGCAGCGTCCTCTCGCCCTCCTTCACCAGCGGGAGGTTAAAGGAGGTCCGTGAGTCTTTATCTGGATCTTTCTCACGCAAACAGTATTTATGACATCGCTTATCAGAAGCGTTACATGTAAGCAGAGCTATTGTGCAATACTACAAACTCATTTGAACTGAACTACAGAATCATTCATGCTGAGGGTGATGTTTGAGTCTATGGTTCTCTTCATAAGCACATTACCGGTAAAGATATGATGATGATGATGATGTACTTCTGCTTCTCTCTCCAGATGTTTGGCATCATGAAGGCACACTCTCAAATTCTAGTTCAGAATCTGGGGAAATCAGCAACACGAGGAGAAAACGTGGATATTAAAGAGTGAGACATTGCATAATATCACGAGATAAGAATGAAGCCGCAGTAATATCACTATAATTACCAGAGCAAAGGTGTTCAATTTCCTCACCAATCGCCTTTAATAACCTCCCGGACAGAGGAAACATTCTCTACATGTAGAGTTGTGTGTGTTTCTCAGATGAGAATAATGATGGCTCTCTCTTGACTGCATGTGTTCAGGGTCTTCGGCACATACAGTATGGATGTGGTGACCAGCACAGCGTTCAGCGTGGACATCGACTCCCTCAACAACCCCAAAGATCCATTTGTGACCAACATAAAGAAAATGCTGAAGTTTGACTTCCTTAGCCCTGTGTTCCTGATCAGCGGTAAAGAACTCAACTAGTCCTGCCAGTTAACACACTTCAAAAGCTTTTTTCCTGGTTATGCAAATGTTTAAGGAACATTCCACTTTCTCATTTTGCAAACAATATGTGAAGGTAACCTTTGAATGTTTTGAAACAAGTAGTAACATAAAAAAAAAACGTTAGACAAATGTCCAACTAAAATGTTTCAGAAAAAAAAATCCATGAGCGATGTATAAATTATGTTTTAGCACTAACGTTTTGAGAACTTAAAAGGAACATACCATGAATGTTTATGGAAGAACATTCAAGCCAAAGACCTGATAATGATCCTTGTTAATAGATTTTACAATTTCTTCCGTAGTTTTGTTTCCTTTCACCATTCCCATCCTGGAAAAAATGGAGCTTGGCTTTTTCCCAATATCTGTGACTGATTTCTTCTACGCTGCCTTACAGAAGATCAAGTCTGAAAGAGTGGCCAATGACCACAAGAAGGTACAACAAATACTTAACATGAACAACTATAAAGCCACAGTGATTTAACCCACTCTTCCCAATTCCTGCAGAAGAGAGTTGACTTCCTGCAGCTGATGGTCGATTCTCAGACGGCAGGGAAAACTCAGCAAGGCGAGGAACACACAGAGAAAGGTGAAGCACCTCAGATGGTTAAGCGTTCTTCCATATGTGAAGACACATACCTCAATCCGTGTCCTGTGCAGGTCTGAGCGACCACGAGATCCTATCGCAGGCCATGATCTTCATCTTCGCCGGTTACGAGACCAGCAGCAGCACTCTGTCGTTCTTTTTCTACAATCTCGCAACCAACCCAGAGGCCATGAAGAAACTGCAGGAGGAGGTCGACGAGACCTTCCCAAATAAGGTACAACTCCATTGAAGCACTCATTGGGATCTCTGTGAAGAGTTTGAGATGGTAAACATTGGTTGTGTGTTGAAGGCCCCGGTGGACTACGAAGCCGTCATGAACATGGACTATCTGGACGCCGCACTGAACGAGTCCCTCCGGCTGTTCCCTGTCGCGGCTCGACTCGAACGGGTCTGCAAGAAAACGGTGGAGATCAACGGCGTCATCATCCCTAAAGACATGGTCGTCATGATCCCGACCTTCGCCCTCCACAGAGACCCGGATTACTGGAGCGACCCCGAGAGCTTCAAACCGGAGAGGTCAGGACGGGTTTCTCCTGTTTCGCTCATCATGCGGTCAGCTGCAATAAAACACAATCTGGACGTGAAAATCACATTCGTTTTCTACATAATGGAATTTATTTTAATGATAAGATTAAATACTAAATAAATCTCCACCAATCAGGGAATCAAAACAATCAAACTGCACTTAGAGAACTCTTATAATGTCAAGTTTTTTTTTATTGGTTATGCGAAAGTCCCATTCTTCAAACATTGGAAACATTTACTTTTAAAAGTTCTGAAAGAAGTAGTTACATTTAAAATGCGTTAGACGAACATCACTAAAATATTACAGGAAAACTGCTTCATGAACAATTTATAAACTATGTTTTTGTGCTTTTTGAAAACATTATTAAAGACCATATAACGTTCCATTAATGCTACTGGACGAACGCTTATTCATATCTTTAGCGCAGTTGCGGGAAGAAGGAGGCGGGAACCGGTGAACGTTCAACAATCTTTAATAACAAAAAATAAAACAAATACAAAACAAAAGTAAAAGATAGCAGCCCCTCACATACAATAAAACAAAACACAACATAAAATCTGGCCTGGTCCTCTCTCACCCTTCACTGTCGTCGCTCCTCTTTTATGCTTCCGCTCCTCCGCGAGAGATACGAGACCGGTGCGTCGCGCATGATCAATCACGCCCCTCGGCCTCGTCCTGCTCGCCACAATAACTTTGAGAGAACATCTCAGAACATTCCCAGTTAGCTGGTTGGCTTGGTTCATAGATAAAAACATCTGTAAAATTACTTCCGGACCCAAGACCACTGAAAAAGTACCGGCACTGTTGCACTAGGAACACGAGGTTGAATCTTTAGAGTAACTGTCTAAATATATACTCCAACCCTACGTGACTCTTTCCCGCTTTATTAACAGATTCACTAAAGGAAACAAGGAGGCGATCGACCCCTACATGTACATGCCCTTCGGCCTCGGCCCCAGGAACTGCATCGGGATGCGATTTGCTCAGGTGACCATGAAGCTGGCGATCGTGGAGATCCTGCAGAGGTTCGACGTGTCCGTGTGTGCGGAGACACAGGTGAGCAGACGGGTTGGTGTGTGGTCAGGAGGACGTTCGTTCGTTCGTTCATTCGTTCGCTCACCCTGACCTTCTCTTGCTCTCCACAGGTTCCTCTGAAGCTCGGCAAAAGCGGTCTACTGGCCCCCAAAGACCCCATCAATCTCAAATTCGAGCATCGGACAGCTGCAGACGTTTGCAACAACGAATCGTAACGCAGCTCGTCCGCTGCACACTTCTCTTTCAGTCCGAGGAGAAGGTTCGATGGGTCTTTTAAAATAAAAGAATAGCCGTAGTCTCTAGTCTTCCGTGAAGAGGAGGATTTGACTCGGACTGAGAGGTTTAGCATCTTTACTACAGTAGTGTATGTCAGACAGATTCTGTTGTTCCCCGAGACTCGTGTTTAAGTGTTTGACTTTGATGATTGAGAAAACGCAAGAAATCAGATCAATCTGTTAAAAAATTATATGGAAATGATAAAGTTTATCAAAGAAATAAAGTCTGCAGAAATGTATCTGATGTGTGCTTTTCATGTCTATTAAAAACACTATCACTAGCCCATATTTTCCATTGTATAGACCCTTTTACAGCCCACGTGATCAAATAGTTGCGTGCGCATTTTGGCAACGGAAGTGGTGTTGTTTCCCACTGACTGTAAGGTGTGAGCAACTCCGAAAGTTCGTTAAAACGGTTTCCCAGCTCCAAAATGTCTGGTAGTTGCGTTTACGGTTGCACTAATCAATATTCCACCAAGGGGCTTAAGTTTTATACTTCCGACAGAATCACTGGCGGCGCCTGTGGCTGCAGGCGATTAAACGTGTTGATTGGAGCGACGACATAAAAATCCGATAAAAGTCCGCTCGCGTACTTTGACCGAGCTTACTTCGCCATACTTCCGTTGCCAATAGGCACGCGCATATGTTGCCACGTCATCATTGTGTACGAACCGTAAAAGGGTCTTTTGGGGAACTAGACAGGTTGCTCTGCGAGCCATTATTATTTGACCTCAGTCGACCCAATGAGCACAATCTCGGTTTTCTTGATTACTTCATAAGTCCAGTTTCATTTCCCATATTTCTTGTTTGCACACTCACTCACACACATAAAGTCATGAGTTTTCGACTGGTTTCGAAACATTTAAGATTTCAAAAGCATTTGACAAAAATGATGTTCTTACAAGAAAAGAAAAAGCAAGTTATGATTAATAAAATAATAATTGGGATATTTTGGTATAAATGTGCAGTGGAAAAAACCATTACTGGTGTTCATCTTGAGACAAAACAATGGCACTGACATACTTTAAGATATGCTTTCAGTTAATTAAACAGGACTAGCCTAGGCCACTCTGCGAAACTAAAAGAAATAAGTTGACTTGTATTCTCATAATTGATTTAATATGTTAATTAGACCATTTCCTCATTATTGTGACTTGATATCCTGACTTAGCATCTCAAGTTTGACTTTGTGTCACAAGTGAAACTTAAGATTTAATCAATTCCGACATAAAAAGTCAAAATAATGATATACTTAGCAAGTGGATTCACTTCCATTATATGACACAGGACAAAAGTTGACCAAGAAAAGCCATGTTCTGGAAAAAGGTCTTTATTTGTGGAACAGAAGCAGGTCATATTAAAACACAAACACAATCAACAAGCGAACAGAAGCAGCGGCAGCGGCGCTCAGGCGCGGAGACACAGCTGGACCCATTTGTTCCAGTTGAGCTCGTGAGGAAAGACTCGCGCCAGCCTCAGAACACAGTCCACTGTGGGCTCGTAGAACGCCGTCCCAGCATCCCTCAGGCTGACCTCGGCCTGACCTTTGACCTGCGGCACCCCGGGCTTCGAGAAGAGCGAGGGTTTGGGCGGCTGGATGGTGAAGCGCTTCCTCACGCAGCCGAGATCGATCAGCACCTGACAATCAGAATCAACACAATACTGATCAAAACAGGCCAGTGAATCACTGAACCAACTCAGTTTGAAAAGACTCACAGAACTGAATCAAACTCACCAACTGGAACAATGTTTGCGCCTGTAAAGTCATCTTGACCCAGAAGAGATTTCCTTTCCCCCCAAAAATACTACTTAATGTTATCTCTAAAACTTACTTCATGTGACCAAACGGGGTTTAATAACTTATGTTTTGGAAAAATATTGGTCTTTTTGTTGTGCTTTTTCCCAAAAAATTGGTCAAAAATCACTCACCAATTAAAAAATTATTATAAATATTTTGTTATGCAGTATTATCACCAAACCTCAGGGTTTCTGGGGCCGTTAAATCAATCGGCTTTATCAAACCACACTTCAATAGGCCTATATTAAAATATTCAATATCAGTATTTGAATACTTCACCTGCAGCAGGTCCAGGATGACCACGGGCTGCAACACCTGACTGTAGTGCTGTAGCAGAGCGGACTCACGCAGCGCCGGGCTCGACATCACGTGCAGCAGCAGCGACTCCAGCATGCCCTTACACACCGGCCGGTTCAGCGAGCCGTCCACCACACGCCACGGCCGGCTGACGAACCGCACCGACTCCCAGCTGCGACAGAGGGACACACGGGCATCACTGCGGTGCAAACTCACCACTGCGTTAAACTACAGCCGAGGTCATGTGATTCACTCACTGCTCATCCGGATCAGCAGCTCCTTCAGCACCATCTGAAACCACAACACACTGATCAACTCACTGGTCAACACACTGACCAACACACTGGTCAACACACTGATCAACACACTGGTCAACACACTGATCAACACACTGGTCAACACACTGACCAACACACTGGTCAACACACTGACCAACACACTGACCAACACACTGGTCAAAACACTGACCAACACACTGACCAACACACTGACCAACACACTGGTCAACTCACTGGTCAAAACACTGACCAACACACCGATCAACACACTGGTCAAAACACTGGTCAACACACTGATCAACACACTGGTCAACTCACTGGTCAAAACACTGACCAACACACTGATCAACACACTGGTCAACTCACTGGTCAAAACACTGACCAACACACTGATCAACACACTGGTCAAAACACTGACCAACACACTGATCAACACACTGGTCAAAACACTGGTCAACACACTGATAAACTTACTGGTCAACACACTGGTCAACTCACTGGTCAAAACACTGACCAACACACTGGTCAACTCGGTCAACTCACTGGTCAACACACTCAACACACTGGTCAACTCACTGGTCAACACACTGGTCAACACACTGGTCAACTCACTGGTCAACTCATTGGTCAACTCACTGACCAACACACTGGTCAACACACTGGTCAACTCACTGACCAACACACTGGTCAACTCACTGGTCAACACACTGGTCAACACACTGGTCAACACACTGGTCAACTCACTGGTCAACTCACTGGTCAACACACTGGTCAACTCACTGGTCAACACACTGGTCAACACACTGGTCAACTCACTGGTCAACTCACTGGTCAACACATCAAAGTCCAAACCCTTCAGAGTCCAAACACACACCTCTGATCTGAGAGGGGGCGAGGTCTTTATTAAGCCCCACCCCTTTTACATCTGTCGTACGGACCGCCGCCTCCTCCACAGCATCCATCGGCTCAGCATCAGTCTCCGTGGTTACAGACTGATCCGTGGAGACAGGGTCCATGGCAACCGTCTGATTGACAGCTGTAGTTGTGGAGACAGGTTCCATGGCAACGCTCTGATTGACAGCTGTAGTTGTGGAGACAGGATCCATGGCAACCGTTTGATTGACAGCTGTGCTTGTGGAGGCCCCTTCCATGGCAACAGTTTCCTGGAAATCAGACTCCTTGGCCCGTCTCTTGGAAGGTGGGGGTGTGGTGTGGGCGGAGTCATGGGCGGGGCCTCTCTTCTGCTGCATCTGCTCACCCTCACACACGCTCTTCAACAGCCAATGAGACGAAGCCTCTGCACACACCAGCCTTTGAGAGAGAGCGCCCCCCTCCACCAGCTGCTCTCCGTCCACCAGATCCTACACACACACACACACACACACACACTCAAGTGAACCTGCAGTGAACTCGCGCATTATTCGTGTCTCTCTCTCTCTCTCTCTCTCTCTCTCTCACCTGTATGTACTGCAGGAGAGTTCGGCTCCGCCCCTTCTCAGGTTGCTCCAGGTGTATGAAGCGCTCAAGGAGGTCCTGTCTGTCAATGCCAAACTCCGCCCCCTCCCCCACAGCGCCTCTGATCTCCGCCACCGTCTGCACGTCCTGCGGCCCGTATCCCAGCGCGCTCACACACCGGTCCAGGAAGATCTGCGGATCGACGGCTGCCGAGCGATACACACGCGTGAACCACGGCGGGAGAGGCGGAGGAGTGGACGGACACAGAGCCGAGACGCCGTCAGCTACAGGAGACACAGAGCCAATGAGAAACCAGCGTGATTCAATAATGGATAATGTGTGTGTGTGTGTGTGAGCGCACCGTCTGCAGTGAAGAGTGTGTGTAGGGGTGTGTGTGTGTGTGTGTGTGAGCGCACCGTCTGCAGTGAAGAGTGTGTGTGTGTGTGTGTGTGAGAGCGCACCGTCTGCAGTGAAGAGTGTGTGTAGAGGTGTGTGTGTGTGTGTGTGTGTGTGTGAGCGCACCGTCTGCAGTGAAGAGTGTGTGTAGGGGTGTGTGTCTCAGCTGCAGGTGGACGCTGCAGGCGTTGACCATGATGTTGTCGGTGCTGTTGGAGGAGTGTGTTTTCTGCGAGTGCAGGATCCCGGGAGCGTAATATCCCCTCATCAGCAGGTAGTTGGTGTGAGACGCCTGTGTGGGCTTGACCTCCGGCCTCCTCTTCCTCTCGTCCTCCTCCTCGTCCTCCTCCAGCGCTTTCGTGAAGCTGAAACACACACACACACACACACACACACACACACACACACACACACGTCAGCCGTGAGAGTGTTGAGGGATGATAACTGAAGTCCACAGCGCAACTATAACAATAACGACAGATGAACCATCACTCTCAGAATGATGTTTTCCAGCGGATGAACGATAAAAACATTGCCAGCCAATCAGAATCCATCCTGCTTCCTGCATCCAGATGATAAAACGCTTAAAATAGCACCGTAATCACAGTTGTCGTTATAACTATGATTAGTTTAGGTGTGCCGGTGTTGAACGGGTCATTAGCGTGTGTATCTCACCTCTTGACCACCTCGTTGTCCACCAGAGAACTGTCCACCACCACGATCTGCTGCGGGATACTGAGGTCAAGGGTCAGCAGGCCCAGGGTCATGAGGGTGAGGCAGCAGGCGCTGGCGCCCCCTGGAGCGTCCATGGGGAACTGCAGCATGCCCTGCGTGTGAGCGTCCTGCTCCTCGACCCCGGGGTCCTCGGGGTCGGTCTGGAAGTGGAAGCGGCTGGGTCTGTCGCTGCGGTCGCCCTCGTATAAACCCGTCATCAGATCGAACCCCTCGTTGAAGACCACGCTCGGGAAACGCCACGTGAAGAACCTGCAGCACACGGACCGACCTTAGAGCTGCGGTGCGCTACGTTCACTCTAATGAAGTGTGTGTGTGTGTGTGTGAGACCTGTAGTAGTGCTGGGACAGCTGGTAGGACATGGGCAGGTGTGTGTGTGTGTGTGTGTGAGACCTGTAGTAGTGCTGGGACAGCTGGTAGGACATGGGCAGGAAGGGCAGCGAGCCGCACTTCTTCAGGTGTGCTTTGGTGATGGGCCGCCGCCGGTTCACGAGCGCTCGGCTACGACACGTCTGGAAGGCCTGGGACAAAACCTGCTCGCTGTAGAGCGTGTACAGACAGAACGTCTAGAACACACACACACACACACATCACTCATCCATGAACACAGTATAAACACCTGTGTGTGTGTGTGTGTGTGTGTGTGTGTGTGTGTGTACCTGGAAGGGTCTGTAGTTCTTCATCTGAGCGTTGGTGAGCACTAGCGTACTCTGAATTAAATTAAACAGCACCAGAACATCAATGTCCTCCTTCCTGAAACACACACAGTCATTACAGTCCAACATCCAATCACAAACTCCACCGGCAAACCATCAGACAACGGTCAACAGGAACTGGTGTGTCTTGCATTACTTTGCATTTTTATTCATATTAATAATGGTAATAAGAATAGTGTTTGATTAATAGTGTCTTGCAGAGCTCAAAGCACTATTATTATATTTATATATATATATATTAAATAAAAAATAAATAATAAACAGGATGTAAACATATAAAATAACGTGACATTATTACACACACACACCTCTTCAAGATGTCTATAGTGCGCTCAAGTGATTCGTCAATTGTGTACACCTTAAACCTGAGGAAACACACACACACACACACACACACACACATAAGACTGAAAGACTCATCTGCAGAGAATAAGATTAAGTGTTCTTATTGCTAACTAAAAATAAATACAAATATACATATCAAACTATTTAAAATATATATTTCAAAAAACATGAAAATTAGAAATGTTGCATTGGCAACTAACTAATTTATGTAATAAAACTACTAAAAGTAAACGAAGCATACATTAACCCTCTGGGGTTGTTCGTTTCAGAGTCACACTCGGGGTGTTCGGGTCCAAATAGACCCAAAGGGCGGGATTCATATTTAAAAAAACAAAAATTATGATTTTTTTTTTTTACTCGTTTTTTTATAATATTTTTTCTTTTCTTTTTTGGTGTTTTGAGAAAATTTCAAAAATAAAAAAAAAATTATAATTAGTATTAATGCAATAATTATGACAAAATTTCCCCCCATTGAACAAAATAGAAAAAATATTTTTTTTTTAAATCTGTATTTCATTTTAGAGTCAAGCTTAGGCCTCATAAAAGCAATTTTTGAAATGAGATGGATGCCATCTGGTGGACAAACTGAGCATTTTAAAAATGCAAAACACATGTATAATCTGAATTTTTTGGTGTGTTTGTGTATGTGTGTCTGGATGTGTCTGTTTTGCACTCTTGATGTTTTATAGATTCACCCCTTCACTGTTGTGTGCTTTTTTTCAAGATCGTTGCTGATTTGTAGATTGTACGCACAAAAAAAACTTTTTGCCAATTCAGATTTTTGCCAATTTCCCATTCATTTTCCATGTGGGTCCATTTGGTTTTTTTACAACCACTTAGACTACTCACATCCTGTCCCCAATTTTTTGGGGTCTTCAAATACCAAATATCAACAAAGTCACCAAATTTCGGACCATTCCGAGAAAGCTGTGATTTAAAAAAAAATTTTAGTTACATTTTTCGGGTCCATTTGGGCCGAACAACCCCAGAGGGTTAAAGCACCTAAAATTATAAAAGCACTAACATTAATTCTCAAATATAAAAATAATATAAAAATAGAAGCTCATTTGGAATAATTAAAAACTGTAATGGTAAAATAACACAGGTGTGTGTGTACTTGTGAAAGAGCTCGTCTCGCGTGTCGGGTATGATGACATCACTGGAGCCGTAGCTGGAGCTGAACTTTAACCTCAGAGCGCGTACAAACTCCTTATACTCCTCAGCACACACCTGTAACACACACACACACAATAAGATCCAACTTATGGAGTCACAATCCAATCTTAATTTTTACTGGAGAAGCGAAATGACTGAAGATAAAGTCTTGTTTTCTGACAAATGTGAGTTTGTGCTTAAAACAAGAACAAATATCAGTCAAACGAGTCAGAAAAATACTCTCTATTCAAAAGGAAAACAAGATTATTTTTTTTTACAAGATTACAGTTTTTTTTTTTTACAATTTCTGGGACCCATTAATCAGAACAATACGGGTACAAAACCTTTCACCAGTATCAGTTTTGGTGGACATTTAAATACTTGCTGAAAGGTTTCAGTTGGTAGCAAAAAGAAAACGACAATAAAAATCGCAAAAACAGAACTGATTCAGAATCGCGTCTCACCTTGGCATCGTCGTAGTCGTCCGTTCGGTTGAGGAATTTGGCCATCAGCTCTTTATCCTGATACATCTCAGCCAGACAAATCCTACAACAGAGCCATCGGATTTACACTGAGTTTCATTACGGTCAGACGCAGTGTGTGTCAGTCATTATGAAGAGCAGTGTGAGTGTATTTGGACACACACCTGTAGTTCAGGCAGGTCTGCGGGTTCTTCATGATGTAGCGTGAGCGTCGGCTGACGGACAGAGAGGTTTTATCCAGAGATAACTCAAACTCAGCATGCAGCACGTCACGAACCACTGTCCAGGGCACGAACGGCCTCTTCAGCTTCACACACACACACACACACAATATATAAATAAACCCATTCAGAAACATGGTTTATCCCATGAGTGTCATCATCTAGCTACTGGAGTGCCTCAGGGCTCAGTGCTGGGACCGCTCCTCTTCTCCATCTACATGACATCACTAGTGTCTGTCATTCAGAAACATGGTTTATCCCAGTGTTCAATGATGTCGTCACAGAAAACAGGTTATACACACACATTTTCCATCATAGTTTTGGTGTTGACGAGCACTACTGTAAGTGTGTGTACCTTGCGGTTGAGGAAGTGGCTGGCGACACGGCACAGCATCAGGAGACTGTCCTCCATGTGTGTCCACGCCACTCTCTGCCTGGTCATCTGTAGAAGAGCACGCTGGTCCGTCTCGTCCTGGGCCTGACTCTGCCTGGACGCTCGCACTGACACACACACACACACACACACTTCCTGATGAGCTGCATGACACCACCACCGTTTAATACATCATGGTTCTGTCAGCGGCCGTACCTCTCTTCTTCTTGCGTGGCGGTTTGATGCTGTCTGTCTTGGGTCTCTTGCGTTTGAGGTTTCGTCCTCCACACACCTCCTGGTTTCTGCTGGCCGGCTGCGAGGTCAGACGCACCTCCTCCTCCAGGACAACAGGGGGCGCCACCTTTGCCCCTGACCACCACACAGAGACTCATAATCGGATACAACACCAGGGCTGCGTCTGAAATCTCCCCTATACCCTTAACTATGGCACTGCCACCTGTAGCGGTGTCCGAAACCGTAGTGGACATTATTACACCGCACAAACTATGGTAAAGGGCTTCCGATGCACTCATTGTCCGAATTAACTCACTCGTTTTCATTCACTCCTTCAGTGGACTAATGTAGGGAATAGTGAACCAATCAGTGAATGAGGGTATAGGGGCCATTTCGAACACAGCACAGCTTAGACGGCTTAATGCTTGTATTGGCCAATGGGGCTTTCGCACCGGATAGTTATAGGAACGAACTCCAGGGTGGTTCCCCGAGAACTAATGGTTCCCATAGGAATATTTAAATATATAGGCTATAATCTGTGTTTAGGCAGCTTTTTTTTTTAAATGGCGGGTGCTGGTGTTTTGCACCAATCAGCGAACACTACCATCACTGATAGTTCCTGTAGCACTGGGTCAGACCGACTCTGAAGGAGGAGATCCTAGAACTAAAATCACTCCTAGTTCCTGCGATGCCAACACACCTAAACCGGGAACTTCCACCAATAGTTCTAGGAAATATGAAGAGATTCCTCCGGTGCGAAAGTCCCTATTCACAGCACAGCAACAGTTCTGAGAGTGTGTGTGTGTGTGTGTGTGTGTTACCAGTGAGCGTAGCCGGTTTGGGCGGAGGGTGTTTGGACAGCAGGTTCCTCAGTCTGACGGTGTGATGTGTTCCTGAATCTTCAGTGCTCTGACAACATCACACACACATTAACACACAGTGCAACAGTGCTGACATCACACGTGTGTGTGTGTGTGTGTGTATACCTGTTTGTTTTGGTTGATCAAGTGACTTGTCCATGACCAGTTGCGTTTCAGGTGGCTGAAAAAGCAGGAGTCCAGTCCGCCAGCGCCCTGCCCGTCGCCGGGGGTTACCCCGTCATCCACCACATCACAACTTCCCCTAGCAACCGGAAACAAAAGCAAATGAGACAGCCAATCAGGTGAAAGTCTATCCAGCCTGAGCCAATCAGAACGGCTGACTCACTGTAGAGTGTACAGCAGCCTGGTGTTGCGCTCCATTGTCATGGCGACCTCAGACTCCGCCCCCTCTGCGTTACTGTCGCCGGGGCGCGGCCGGACTACTCCTGAAACACACATTTGTGGTTACAGTACGGTTGCTCTATTCAGGTTGAGGGTTTGGCACGGTAATGTTGCGGTAGTGTTGTATTTAGGTTGAGGGTTTGGCACGGTAATGTTGCGGTAGTGTTGTATTTAGGTTGAGGGTTTGGCACGGTAATGTTGCGGTAGTGTTGTATTTAGGTTGAGGGTTTGGCACGGTAATGTTGCGGTAGTGTTGTATTTAGGTTGAGGGTTTGGCACAGTAATGTTTCGGTGGTGTTGTATTCAGGTTGAGGGTTTGGCGCAGTAATATTGCGGTAGTGTTGAATTTAGGTTGAGGGTTTGGCACGGTAATGTTGCGGTAGTGTTGTATTTAGGTTGAGGGTTTGGCACGGTAATGTTGCGGTAGTGTTGTATTTAGGTTGAGGGTTTGGCACGGTAATGTTGCGGTAGTGTTGTATTTAGGTTGAGGGTTTGGCACAGTAATGTTTCGGTGGTGTTGTATTTAGGTTGAGGGTTTGGCGCAGTAATATTGCGGTAGTGTTGAATTTAGGTTGAGGGTTTGGCGCAGTAAAGTTGCGGTAGTGTTGTATTTAGGTTGAGGGTTTGGCGCAGTAATATTGCGGTAGTGTTGTGGTAGTGTTGAATTTAGGTTGAGGGTTTGGCGCAGTAATATTGCGGTAGTGTTGAATTTAGGTTGAGGGTTTGGCGCAGTAATGTTGCGGTAGTGTTGTATTTAGGTTGATGGTTTGGCACGGTAATGTTGCGGTAGTGTTGCGTTTAGCTTGATGGTTTGGCGTGGTAATGTTGCGGTAGTGTTGCGTTTAGCTTGATGGTTTGGCGTGGTAATGTTGCGGTAGTGTTGCGTTTAGCTTGATGGTTTGGCGTGGTAATGTTGCGGTAGTGTTGTGGTAGTGTTGTATTTAGGTTGAGGGTTTGGCACAGTAATGTTGCGGTGGTGTTGTATTTAGGTTGAGGGTTTGGCACAGTAATGTTGCGGTGGTGTTGTATTTAGGCTGAAGGTTTGGCACAGTAAAGTTACGTTAATGTTGCGGTAGTGTTGTGTTTAGCTTGATGGTTTGGCGCGGTAATGTTGTGGTAGTGTTGTATTTAGGTTGAGGGTTTGGCACGGTAATGTTGCGGTAGTCTTGTGTTTAGGCTATTCACAGCAGCTGAATGAACCAACCATCGGAACTCTGACTCCACACCCATGAGTGACACCGCAGGTTGTGTGTCTGTACCTAGAGGTGTGTTGAGACACACACACAGCAGGTCGAACCAGTAGTTCTCCACGTCCTGAGCGCTCCTGAACACGTAGTGTCTCCGCTCAAATGCACGCATCGTCTCGATGGCCATGTTATAGTGCGGGTCGCACACCGTCGTGTCCACGATTTTAGCCTTCGTCTTCAGGAACACAAACACCTAATACAAACATGAATGTATTCTTGATATCACACACACACAATAAACATTTCCTGAAGTGATCACGTGACTGTGCCCTCCTGCTCACCTGATCTTTATCCATGAACTTCTCTGTGGGCCCGAACTGCAGCAAACCCATGAAACACAACCTCTGGAGATTCTCGTGGAAACTGAAGATGTACTTCCTGTGTGAGGGACATCAACATCATCACCACAACACTTTAAAGACAATCGGCATCTGACTGTGTGTGTGTGTGTGTGTGAGAGAGAGAGAGAGAGTGTGTGTGTGTGTGTGTGTGAGGGGGAGAGAGAGAGTGTGTGTGTGTGTGTGTGTGAGGGGGAGAGAGAGAGTGTGTGTGTGTGTGTGTGAGAGAGAGAGAGAGTGTGTGTGTGTGTGTGTGTGAGGGGGAGAGACAGAGAGAAAGAGAGAGAGGGAGAATGTGTGTGAGTGTCTCTGTGTGTGTGCATTTGTGTGTGTGTGTGTGTGTGTTTGCCTCCTGTGCAGCAGTTGTCTCTTTATATCCGCGGGGAGGAATCTGATCAGATAATGTTTCTTCACCGGATCGTTCAGGTACTCCTCCAAACCTGCAATCTGAACACAACACAACATTACGGATTCATTACATTAGGATTCAAAATAGTACTTTTATTTAATCATTATTCAAGTTCAAACAAATCAATCAATAAATATAACACTATTGTACAGTAAAATAAAACACTTTTATTGAGATGGAAAACGATAGGAAGCCCTAAAGCTTTTCGTCTGATAGTCTTATTGTTTCAGGCTCATATACACACACATCATCCCGGTCACATGTTCAGCGTTCATGTAAACACTGCTCTCAGATTCACGGTGTGTGTGTACCTGATAGTTGACCTGCACGACCTGCATGAACACGCTGAGTGGCAGCGACACCAGAACATCACTGATGAGGGCCCATCCCAACCCGAAGTCTTTATGCAGCGGGATGGGGGGGATGAACCTCTTCCAGGTGTTCTCCTTCACGAACACTACACACACACACACACACACACACACACACACGTGTTTCAGAGTGTCAGTCTATGGGTCGGGCTGTGTATTGGCAGGATTGGATCACACACACACACTGACCTCTGTACCCCTCAGTGTCGGGGTCAGGCTCCGGGTCAGGAAGCGGGTCGGCAGGACTGGATCTTCTCATTGGATGGCCGTAGATCAGGAACCACAGGAAGGAGTGGACGATCCGCAGACGATGCATCTTGGGCTGGAACCCCATGGAGCGCCCGAGCCCTGGAACTGAGACACACAACATCAGGCGCTCAGATGTGTGTGTGTGTACCGGGCACGGGTCTGAAGGATTTGAGTGTTGTGTATGTGTGTGTGTGTGTGTGTACCGAGCACAGGTCTGAAGGATTTGAGTGTTGTGTGTGTGTGTGTGTACCGAGCACAGGTCTGAAGGATTTGAGTGTTGTGTGTGTGTGTGTGTACCGAGCACAGGTCTGAAGGATTTGAGTGTTGTGTGTGTGTGTGTGTACCGAGCACAGGTCTGAAGGATTTGAGTGTTGTGACGCCCATCTTCTCGGACACCTTCCTCAGGCCGCTGGTGTGTGACGGGCGTGTGTGTGACGCTTTGTTCTCCTTCTTCTCCTGTGGGCTGGCCTTCACTTTCTCTGCCTGAGACACAGCGCTGAGAAAGACAACAAAACACACACGCGATCAAAAGTTAGAGGACGTTTGTTAATGTTTTTGAAAGAAATCTCTTCTGCTTTAATTAAAATAGAATCTGTAACATTATAAATATCTTAGTCACTTTGATCAGTTTAACGCACCCTTGATGAACAGCAGTCTTGATTACTCCAATGACTGTGGTGAAGCAGACGACAGGGGTGTGTGTGTGTGTGTGTGTGTGTGTGTACTCACCGAGCTGCAGAGGCCGAGCTGGACATGCGCATGCGGATCTGCTCTATCGCACTCTTGAGCAGCGGATCGTCAGGCGAAACAGAGGGATGAACCACGAACTCAACCTGAGACACACGAGTGTGTTAGCTGAGGTGTGTGTGAGTGTGTGTGTGTGTGTGTGTGTGGCGCACCTTCTTCTGCACTCCGTCCTGTATGACGATGGTACTGAAGAGTTTGAGTAAACGCTCTCGAGACAGCGAGCGGATCAGCCTCACCACACTCTTCTTACACACTTTAGTGCTCACGCCATCCTTCTTCTCCTCCTCCGTCAGCAGCTTCTGCAGCCTGACACACACACACACACACACACACACGTGTTCAGCGGACACGCCACAGCGCTGAGCGCTCATCAGAGAGAGAGGCTTACGAGTAGAAGCCCTCGATGATCTTGCTGCAGCGGACGGCCTCGATGATCATGTTCTTGCGTTTCAGCAGCCGATACGTCTCGTGAATCTCCACCTTCTTCGCCTTCTGCGGAGAAACACCATCATCACGCCAGAATCACTTACAGTTCGTTACAGTTATTATCATTAACATAACTCGTTATAGTCCTTATAGTTATCGCTAAAGTTATCATTAAAGTTAATGTTACCGTTATCATTTACATACTCCTTGTTATAGTTATCGGTACAGTTATCATTATCGTAACTATCAGTATAGGTTTCTTTAGTTATCATTATCGTAACTATCATTATAGTTATCGTTATCGCAACTATCGTTATTGTTATCATTATTGCAACTATCGTTATTGTTATCGTTACAGTTATCATTATCGTAACTATCATTATAGTTATCGTTATCGCAACTATCGTTATTGTTATCATTATTGCAACTATCGTTATTGTTATCGTTACAGTTATCATTAACGTAACTATCATTATAGTTATCGCAACTATCGATATTGTTATCATTAGTTATCATTATCGCAACTATCGTTATTGTTATCATTACAGTTATCATTATCGCAACTATCGTTATTGTTATCATTACAGTTATCATTATCGCAACTATCGTTATTGTTATCATTACAGTTATCATTATCGCAACTATCGTTATTGTTATCGTTACAGTTATCATTATCGTAACTATAAGTATACTATATTTATCGATACAGTTATCATTATTGTAACTAACGTTATAGTTATCGTTACAGTTATCATTATCGTAACTATCAGTATAGGTTTCGTTAGTTATCATTATCGTAACTAACGTTATAGTTATCGTTACAGTTATCATTATCGTAACTAACGTTATAGTTATCGGTACAGTTATCATTATCGTAACTATTGTTATAGTTATCGTTACCAGTTATCATTACCGTAACTATCAGTATATTTATCGCTACAGTTATCATTATCGTAACTATCAGTATAGGTTTCGTTAGTTATCATTATCGTAACTAACGTTAGTTATCGTTACAGTTATCATTATCGTAACTAACGTTATAGTTATCGGCACAGTTATTATTATCGTAACTATTGTTATAGTTATCGTTACAGTTATCATTATCATAACTATCAGTATAGGTTTCGTTAGTTATCATTATCGTAACTAACGTTATAGTTATAGTTATCGTTACAGTTATCATTATCGTAACTATCAGTATAGGTTTCGTTAGTTATCATTATCGTAACTAACGTTAGTTATCGTTACAGTTATCATTATCGTAACTAACTTTATAGTTATCGGCACAGTTATTATTATCGTAACTATTGTTATATTTATCGTTACAGTTATCATTATCGTAACTATCAGTATAGGTTTCGTTAGTTATCATTATCGTAACTAACGTTATATTTATCGTTACAGTTATCATTATCATAAATATCGATATAGTTATCATAACAAAATTATCATACTCCTCGTTATTGTTATGGTTAACATCGTTGTCATCCTGAACCCACACTGACCTCCGTCAGCACCTCCACGATCTCCGGCACCGGTTCCTCTACGTGCTGTGATTGGCTGGCTCTTGTGCTGGGGGCGTGGCCAGCTTCCTCTGTGTTCTGTCCATCTGCAGTCGTCTGAGAGGCTTTAGCCCCGCCCCCTCGCGCAGACGGCTTCTCTGAACACAAACACGCGTGAAGAACAAACTCATATCAGTATGTGGCAGAGGCCCAAACCCGACCCGAGCCCGATCCGAAACTCATGGGGTCAAAACAGCTTTGTTAAATGGTACATGAATCATTTTTATTTGATCATAATTTTACAAAACTGTTTTGCACGTGTGTGTGTGCGCTATATCAGCCTCAACAGCAGCCAGAGGAGGACGGCGGACACCGACTCTTCCTTCAGAACTCTTGTAGTACTCATGAAGTTTAATGTTTGCGTTCCACGGGAATTTGTGAGTGTTTTCGCCTGTTCAACCATAGCAGAGTTCGTCTTTGCGTTTTTTTCTCCATTTGTTCCTCGTGTGTGCCTTGGTGAAACGCTGTTTGAACATGTATTTGTTTAATTATCGACGCAAGCATGTTTAAAAAAAGGTGTTTACTGTGAGAAACGAACCTCGGGTTCGTTTCGGGCTTAATATATAACCGTTAAGGTCGGGTCGGGTTAAATGATTTGGGGTTCGGGCCCATGTGCAGACCATACGTGTGTCGGGATTGGCCACTCACTTTTAAGGGGCGTGGCCTTCTTGCTGAAGCTGAGTTTGGCCTGTTTGAGCTTTGTGTCCTTTGCTCCCTCCTCAGGGACACCTGCGGGGGGATCCGGCTCGGGTTCGGGCTCCGGCTCGGGTTCTGGGTCCAGCTCGGGCTCGGGTTCGGTCAGGTGTGTGACGCGCAGGTGTCGGCTACGCTGCTGCTCCTTCGTGAACTGCAGGCTGAGTTTGCTCTGCTCCACGAAGAGTTTGCTGATGTACTTGGTGGTTCTCTGCCGCCCCTCGTCCTCCATGAAGCCCTGAGAGACGCACACGTGAGACGGCGACCCCTGACCCTGTCATGCTCGTGCCGGGGTCAAAGGTCACACTGATGTTATTACCTTGATCATTTGGATTCGCTCCAGCAGTCGACAGATCATTCGTCCCTCTAGTTTCCCGACGTTGAGTCTCGCTCTGAGGACCGACTGAGAGATTCCCCTGGTCCCGGTCGACACCACTGCGGCAGCCAATCACAGCACAGAGATCACAGTCATGAGAACCAGAGCTTCAGGTGCACAGATTAACTACTTGTGGCCCCTGACTGATCATTTTAGGGGCACAAGCAGAACATTTAGGGGACACACCTCAAACCAGTTCGAACTGCAACTCTTCACATTTTTCCCCACAATAACTATTACTGACAAACGCTTTGATAATCAATAGACTTAACATATAGAAATGATCCGTTACGTTTTAAGCTCACAGGACTCCAGTGTAGATAAAAGTAACTTTAATTATCATCATTAATAATATCATAATATAAATTCAAAAGCAAAATGAGTGAAAATGTTGATATTAGGGAGTAAAAATAGCCAATAATAAAAGAGTCCTCTGCTGCCACCTACTGGCTACAATGCTCATTTAATCTTTTAAATTTATAAATAAGTGTGAGTTTCACAAAAACTTCTAGTTTTAAAATCTCGAAACTTTTAGTTTTATAAATGGGGACAATCTTTGAAGCATGAACCAAAAATGATGTGGGTATCATATTAAAAATAACAATGGAGTCATTCTTGGTTTTAATAATCGCTGCACATATCGATATCATTACCGTTATAGTGATCACAGATATGATCAGAGTTACAGTAATTAGAGTCATGTGACGTGTCTGACCGATGTCGTAGGCTTGAGTGAGCACGTCGCGCTCGATGTAGCGAGGCTCCGCGAGGACGTTCCTCTTGGCGGACGCTTCTCCCTCTTCATCGTTGTTCTCGTCGTCGTCCTCCTCCTCCTCCTTCTGCCCGTACGGCTTCAGCAGCTTCAGACAGCGCACGAACACGTCAGTGCCTAACAGCCAATCAGAGCACAGAGAGAGCAGTCAGCGGCGCCCGGGGCCCGTGGCGTCATGCGCGGCCGGCGTGACCTCTGACCTCGCAGGGTTTTGAAGGGGCCTCCGGTGGGGTCGAGCTCCTTCAGAGGGATCTTCACCAGCGTCACCATCTTAGCGGCGGTCATGTACTGATACGCACGCTTGAAGGTGCGCTCGCACACACGCTGCAGAACACAACACACACACACACACGCGTTACGACAGAAGCACACACACTCCCATGAGGAGATCAGACCCGTTCCTCACCAGCTGCTCTCGGATCTTCATCATCACGCCGGTCTTATTCGGCAGATCAGAGAGGATGTTGGACGTCGACTCCATCAGGATATCATACTTGCTCCTCCTGACACACACACACACACACACACACACACAGAGACTTGTTTATTACATTAGTCATTACATTTGTGTATATGTAAGAAAAGGAGAGTGAGTGTGAGAGAGAGAGAGTGAGTGTGTGTGTGTGTGTGTGTGTACCGGTCCACGTGGAAGCGTCTGAGCAGCAGCAGCAGGGAGTGTTGTTGAGCTCCTGACGGCAGGCGAGCGACGTGTGACTGAAGTGTGATCAGCCCGTTCCTGTCCAGAGTCCTCCTCAGATAGTGCATCTTACCTGCGTCCATCCTGACCAATCACAGCACATCACCACATCATCATCATCATCATCAGCTGTGTTCAGAACACGAGTGCAGTAGATCTGATGAACAGTGTGTGTGTACCTGAAGATGCGAGTGTGCAGGTCTCTCTGCAGCTCCCCCTGCCAGCGCGCTCGGCCCAGTCTCTCCAGGATACAGTAGCACAGATCCGGCAGCTTGAGCTCCGGGTTTCCCTCGGGTCCGATCAGCGCACGGTAGCGGAGCTCAGCAGACGCCACCATCACCAGCCGCTCGCCCCAGCTGAGGAAGCAGAGAGACGGGTCAGAGTGTGTGTGTGTGTGTGCCAACATCACCAGCCGCTCGCCCCAGCTGAGGAAGCAGAGAGACGGATCAGAGTGTGTGTGTGTGCCAACATCACCAGCCGCTCGCCCCAGCTGAGGAAGCAGAGAGACGGATCAGAGTGTGTGTGTGTGTGTGTGTGCCAACATCACCAGCCGCTCGCCCCAGCTGAGGAAGCAGAGAGACGGGTCAGAGTGTGTGTGTGTGTGCCAACATCACCAGCCGCTCGCCCCAGCTGAGGAAGCAGAGAGACGGGTCAGAGTGTGTGTGTGTGTGTGTGTGCCACCATCACCAGCCGCTCGCCCCAGCTGAGGAAGCAGAGAGACGGGTCAGAGTGTGTGTGTGTGTGTGTGTGTGCCAACATCACCAGCCGCTCGCCCCAGCTGAGGAAGCAGAGAGACGGATCAGTGTGTGTGTGTGTGTGTGTGTCCCTCACCGCGTCTGCACCTCCTCCAGCGTCAGCGGCGCGCGGATCTGCTCACACACGTCGACCCGCTCGTTGAAGAACACACAGGAGCCCTGCAGGCCGCGCGGGTCTTCCGTCAGCACACACACCGGGTACGCGTCCTGCGCCTCGACCTGGCGCATCTCGTGGATGCCCGTGTTGCGGTCCACCTCCACAAACCTGCGACACACACACACTACTTATGATTGTTTAACTAAATTATTACACTTCCCAGATAGCAAACTGACATTGAATCAACGTGGAAACATGACATCGAAACAACGTTGATCTGACATTTTTTTTGCTCATGACGTTGAACCAACGTCAGACGCGTCATTCTTTCAAAACTAACGGAAAATCAACTTGAAATCAACGCGTTGTTTCAACGTTATGAAAGCAAACCAATTTTCGATTTCATTTAGCTTTGAAGAATGCCGCGTCTGACGTTGGTTCAACGTTAATTCGATGAGCAAAATCAACGTTGTTTCGATGTCATGAGAGACGTCGTTTCCACGTTGATTCAATGTCAGTTTGCTGTCTGGGGAGCCTCTAAACAGGCCTAAAATACTTAATAATACGTCTAATCAAGGATAAAAACACCTCTAACGTAATAAATCAAAACATGATTCATACTGCTCGTATTATAGAGTTCAGAGATAACACAGTGTGTCACTGCAGTAGGAGTGTGTGGTAAAGAAGAGCGGGAAATGACTGCTAACGGTCGTGTAACACTGAGTAACTGCAGGACTGAAGGCGGTACCGGACCGGTCGTGTTAGTCAGTCCACACTCTTACTACAGGACCACTGGTAAAGCAGCCGGGTACGAGTGTGGTGAAGGCGGTACCGGTCGTGTAGGGTGACGGTTCTCCGGCTCTCCGGCAGCAGGTAGAAGCGGATCTCCTCGCTTCGGATCAAGCAGCTCCAGATGAACTGCTGACTGAGCGGATCCAGACTCAACCCGAACTCGGGCTGGCGGGTGCGAAGCCTCAACCAGAGCGTCTGAATGCTGATCCCGTCCAAACCTTCCAGAGCCACCTCATCCAGAACCGCGTCCAGCGGGTCCATCGTCGCTGTCTATCAGTCAGCAGATGACTAACTGAACTGACACCACAACAACCGAACTCTACTGAACTTCTTCTTCTACTGCTGCTGCTGAATCCGGTGCACTGACACCCGCCGGCCGCCTCCGGTACTACAACAACACAACAGCGCGCTTCACGGGGCAAATACAATCAACATGTACAAATCATTTAATAAAATATAACCTTAGCATTAAGAAACGACAACATTTAAAACGAGATATACAACAGAAAAGCCAAGTTAAATAAAAGCTAACTATGGTAACACTGTACAATAAGGTTCATTATTTAACAACCTTAGTTAGCATGAAAGCAAGAATGAGCTAAACTTTAGCATTATTACTCTTAGTTAATATTAATTTCAACATTTAATAATACTTTATTAAAATCTTGCTAAAATCAGTTACAACTAACATGAACAAACAATGAACAGCGGTATAGATTTAACTAACGTTAACAAAGATTATAAAAAGCGTAATAAATGTGCTAGTTCATGTTAGTTTATACATTAACTAATAATGAACCGTAAAGTGTCACTGTATGTTTTACACTTAGTTTTAAAAAACACATTTTTAATATCAACTGTTAGAGATCTCCATAGTTTAAGAGCATAAGAGACACAAATCCACACTTTAAGAATACCACATAAAAAGGTTTTGACTAAAATAGCATGTGGGTTCGTTCCCTTTATTGTTTAAACCGCTGAATAACACTATAATACCTGAAGAAACTATGATTAAAAACAATTCAAACAGAGTTTCCAAGAACGACTGTTTATTCAAAGGCAGAGCAGATGATAACTCATAACTCCTCATGCGATGACGGCTGGACCTGATGGAGTCTGTGTTCAGATCAGGCCCGGCTCAGCGGCTCTCTCCACCCGGGCCGTGATCGTCCCCTCAAACACGGGCAGAGCGGCTTCGTCCTGCAGCACCTCCTCGTACACCGCCCCGCACGCCACCTCCCCGCTCGCCCGCTTGAAGAAGAACCTGCGAGAACCAGAGGATTTTTACGTTTGTCTGGATTTTTGTTTTAGATTCCGTCACTCACAGTTGAAGAGTACCTATGATCAAAATTACACACTTCTACATGCTTTGTAAGTGGGAAAGCCTGCAAAATCGGCAATGTATCAAATACTTGTTCTCCCCACTGTGTATATAGATATATATATATATTATTTATTATTATTATTTTATTTTATTTTTTTGGTGATCCGAAAAAATGATCGGATCCGTGGCTCAAAAACCGCAAATGATCGGGCCGTGAGTTCTGTGATCGCTGCTCCGGTAACTGGAGTCTCACCTGAAGGGGCCTGTGCGCGTCAGCAGGGCTTTAAAGCGGCCCAGGGTCACGGCAGGGTCACACCGCACACACGTCCGGTACGGGATCTCGTCTCCACTGTAGTAATACACCACTGTAACACACCTGTAACACACATCAGTTCGTGTGCGGTGAAGGAGAATCAGCAGTAAAGACAGACTCTGCAGTGAACACTGACCTCTCAACGTCACTGTCTGCCATCAACGAGGAGCCACTGGAATCGGTTTCCTCTTCCTGTCAGAACAGGAAGTGATGCGATTACTCGCACAGGCTGTGTTCAACACTATTCCTGCAGTATGTGTAGTGTGAACACTGCGTTTGGTACAATGCACTGCACATAGATACTGTATCTCACAATGCAATGAGCTCAAATTGCCCTTCCATGTCCAGTGTGATGATAACTGGACTTTCCTGACTGAATTAGGCCTGTTCTGTAGGCCAGTATACGGTATGCAGTGAACACACTGTGTGGCAGTAACTCACTCTGTGTCTCGGCACTCGAGGGTTTTGAGTGTGTGTCTGCAGCTCCTGCAAACGCCTCGTCAGTTCAGCTGCGAAAGTGTGTGGCGTCATCTTCACCTGTTACACACACGAGAAGACGAGCACATATCACACACGTCTGCTAATATAATGAACACAATCCCATTCTTAAAATACAAACATTTTGTTTATTTCTGAATCGGTTATATTGATACATGACTCCACTCACTGGTGTGTGTGGGAGGTGTGTGTGTCTCTGGTCTCTTTCTCGTGTTCTGTGGTGTCGATGACACACGGGATGCTCCTGTCTGCAGAGGGAACACATGTCAGTGAACATGACGACTGCATGGAGCTCGTCTCACCTGTATCTCACTGTATCTCACCTGTATCTCACTGCATCTCACTGCATCTTACCTGTATCTCACTGTAGTAGTAAAAAAAATCTCACTGCGTCTTACCTGTATCTCACTGCATCTCATATTTCACTGCATCTCACTGGGTCTTACCTGTATCTCACTGTATCTCATATCTCACTGCATCTCACTGCATCGGACTAGTATCTCACTGCGTCTCACCTGACTTTGTTCTTATTTGAAACAAAGAAAAGGCACCGTGAATGAATTTTAATTTTAAAAGTAGCTAGACGAAGATTTATAAATGCCCGGGGGTTTTTTTTTTTTTTTTTTCTGGTGTGTGTAATGTCTGTGATGTTTTGCTGTTTTTGTGAGGTTGAAGCTACTTAAATTGCCCTGTAAAGGGACAAATAAAGATTTTACTACTACTACTGTATCTCACTGCATCTCACTGCGTCTTACCTGTATCTCACTGTATCTCGCTACATCTCATATTTCACTGCATCTCACTGCGTCTTACCTGTATCTCACTGTATCTCGCTGCATCTCATATTTCACTGCATCTCACTGCGTCTTACCTGTATCTCACTGTATCTCACATCTCACTGCATCTCATATCTCACTGCATCTCATATCTCACTGCATCTCACTCCATCGGACCTGTATCTCACTGCATCTCATATTTCACTGCATCTCACTGCGTCTTACCTATATCTCACTGTATCTCATATCTCACTGCATCTCACGTATATCTTACTGCACTCACTGCATCTCATATCTCACTGCATCTCACTGCGTCTTACCTGTATCTCACTAAATCTCACCTGTATCTCACTGTATCTCACTGCACTCACTGCATCTCATATCTCACTGCATCTCACTGCGTCTTACCTGTATCTCACTAAATCTCACCTGTATCTCACCTGCACTCACTGCATCTCATATCTCACTGCATCTCACCTGCACTGCCGATCATTTAGACGCTTCTGATTGGCTGGATTTTGAGGAGGGAGTGTCTCTTTCTCAGGCTCCACCCCTTCCGAGGGCATGGCCTGGCATCCTTGCAGTGTCGTTTTGAGGTTTCCTGGTGTTTGGACAGTCTGAGAGTGTTTCAGATACACGTCTGACCTGAGAAACAGCGGGAAGAGGCTGTCCTGCAGCACGGCCTGCACCTGCGCATGCGCCTGCGCAAACAGGCTTGAGTCAAGCTGCAGCTGCTGGATGGCGTCTCGCACGGCACCTCTGGTCTCAGCCGCGATCTTGCGGGACACGATGCCGCCGCTGCGCTCGCACAGGTAGCAGCGGTAAATGGCTCTGGCCAGTTTGAGGCGCCGGCCCGTCGCGAACTCTGGAACTTTCTGGAACCCGCAGCAGGCGAACCAGAACTCGAGCAGCGCCGCGCAGCCCAGCGTGCGCAGGAAGAGCAGGAACAGCGCAGTACCATCGCGGTCGTCCAGCAGCGTCAGGAGCGTCTCGGCCCAGGGCTCGTACGGGCCGTCCGGTGGAGCGCTGCCCTCAGGCTCGAACCCCAGACCCAGATCAGAGCGGCGCGGTATGAGCGCCGGAGACTCCGACCAATCAGACGCAGTCTTGCTGGAGAAGCGCCCGCCCTCACGGCCCTCTTCACCCGGCACTGGCGGCCGAGGCGCATCACTGCGGTAACTCATGATGTCATCTGGGACTCCTGAGGAGCAGGAGAATGTTCAGACCATGTATTATAAAAAAAAAAATTAATACATATTATGATCTTTGCATGTCAGTCAAAAAATAACAACAAGAAAAAATTATTTCAATGAAATTAATGTAGGCCTACTACGTTTTAGTTATAATGTTTTATAATAATGTTTTTTTTAGAGGATTTTATAGTACTAAATTATATTGACACTTTTTATAATTATAGTATAATTATATTAAATTATATTTATAATCAGTTTATTCACTTTTTTGAGCATATACTTTGCACCTAAAAAATTACATTTCCGACTTAAACTGTGGAAATCTTGAATGCTTTAGAGCGACAGACTTTGTTTGATCTCTATTTAGAGACGACACTTGCCAGATTATTGCTGAAGTGACTAAAGTTTAAAAAGTTAAATTAAAAAAGTACAGAATTTTGTTTATTGTTATGAAAAATGTGCAAAAAAATATTTTCAATTTTGATGTCATTGGAGAGTCCCGAGGAGCAAGAGAAAATCATATCAAATATAACAAAAAATATAAAATATGTATAGGTCTACATTTAATAAATTAAATTATCATTGCTAAAACAATCCATAGGAACATACAAAAATGAGATTTCAGAACAAACTTATTTTGTCATTGTTTGCTATACTCTCCGTCATTTTTTTTTATTTTAAATTTATTTTATTACTGTTTTGTATTATTTTGTTTATTATTTGTAATTATGGTTCTTCATTTTTGTTTGTTATTCTTCATATATTTTTCTAGTAGATTGAGTGCTCACAGTTTTATTTTGTTCTTCATTATATTTATTTTGTACCATCACTACAAATCTAAATTACAAAATACACAATATCGTTGTTTTAATTGACAGTCTGAGATATAAATGTATAAATAATTCCTGTCAGAAATCAGGTTTTGTGAATTATTGTTTTTATCATAAAAATCGTTAAGTTGAAGAGGATATGATACATCAGAAATATTCACGATTATTACACGACATTATATGTTCAACATTTTCCTCCGTGACCGTCTCATTAGTCCGCGCGCGCGCTTCATTAAAGTTTATTCGACGGAAGACAGGAAATAAAATAACGCTTCCTCCTATTGAATAATGAAAATATCCGATTCAAATATTGACAGTAAATGTTTTAGGAGTTTAAAGTAATGATGTTTTTACCTGACAGGAGTTGGAGTCGCGCGCAGCTGCTGATCCTCAAGCTGTCTCACGGGCACGAGCACGTCAGTCAACTTCATCGTCACTGCCTCTCACTCACACTTTCATACTTCTCACTATTATTGTGCAGCTTATTTCGTTTATTTACTTTTATTACGTTTGTTTGAGGTGCGTTTATGTTGCAGACTACTATTTCATTTGAAAGCCTATTAGAAATATAGCCTATTTAACCTATTTTCTACTATTTTCGCATTGAGTTATGGTTTCCGTTCCCTCATTCTTCAACATTATTGGAACGCCCTTGAATGTTTTGTGACGTTAAACCATTAGTAACATTTATAAAAAATAGACTAAATAAATAAATAAAAAGAATAATTTAATAATAACATAACAATATATATTTTATGAGCAATATTTGAAAAAAAAAAACAAAAAAAAAACGAGAACATTATTAAAGACCAGATAACCTTGAACTTTTTTTTATGCTACTGGAATAATTTGATCATAACTTTGAGAGAAGATCTGTTATCGCACGTTATCAAAAATAGTATTTAGAGTTCATAAATAATAAGAATTCATGTTCTGCAGTGGTTAATTGGATGTTTTCTAGCAACTCTTGCATCAGTTCATTCCCAGAATGCATCAAGATCCGGTTAGTGTCTCTGCTTAAACTTCAGTGTCACAGATGGATCTTCTGGAAATCTGTCCATCTGAAGGAGGAGGATGTGAAAGGTCACGCCACACGCCATCTGACACACTGTAGGAGCCCGACCTGGGCTTACACACACACACACACACACACACTGGTTTAAATAAAGAAACAATAAAGACAACTCAATTCAGCTAAACACAGCGACTCGCATCCGTATGTAAATGCTCCTGCAGGTGTTACTTTACCCTGATGAAACATGTTGATATTAGTGTGTGTGTGTGTGTGTTTGAGACTGGCCTGCGCGTCTCACCTGCTGTGACCTTTGTCTCCCGCGAGCTGAAAGGTCACGCGGTGAATGCTAATCCTCGTCTCCAGGGAGCGACACGGCTAATCACTGTTGTTTCACAACGCCGTGACCTTTAACACAACGACACTGACCCAGAGACACCCCGCAGTCAGAGACCTCGACACACACACACACACACACACACACACACACACACACACACACACACACACATTCATCTGAAGAGTCATGATGAACTGATGAACGCAGGAGTGTTTCTGGAGATCTGATGCTAATAAAGGGAAGCTTTTATTCTCAGATTTTAAAAAATAAATAAAATATCTCTAAGAGTCTCACAATTCTGACTATTTCCTCTGAATTCTAATTTTATCTCTTATTTTAGATCTCACAATTTAGGCTTTTCCCCTCAGAATTTCGCTTCTATATTCAGACTTTTTCCGCTTCCATAGAAACGCTCTCTGAAAACCCGTTTACTTGTGTGTAGTGAACGTGATATAATAACATATATATTCCGCACGCTCACCTGAGATGTACAGTGGCTCGTATTAAACACACACATTGGTAGCGGTAAACACGTGACTTCAGTTTTCTTTATTTCGTATGTCCAGAGGACGCGTGTTGACGGTAACACAAGAGTTCCAGACTTACAGTAAAATCAAACGTTACAGTGTGAAATCCTGATAAAAAACAAAACAACAAACGCAAACGATGTAGCGCTGCTTTAAAACGCCGCGTGTGCGCAGCTAATTCACTCAGGCTCCGCCTCCTTGCCCCCGTCACCGCCCTCTGCCGCCGCCTGCGTCTGATTGGCTGCGCTCTGATTGGCGGGCTCCTTCGCCACTTCCTGTTCTTGCGTCTGATTGGCGGGCTCCTTCGCCACCTCCTGCAGGTTGTACTTGCGGAAGAGCATGTAGTCGGACACGACGCTGACGCAGCACACGCTCTTGATGATCTCGATGATGATGCTCAGCTCAGGGTTGCTCAGGTCCACCTTATGCAGTGGGTTCATCTTATCCACCAAACCTGGAGAAACATTCCTGTTACAGAGACAGAAGCTAACGCTACAGCTAACGCTCCAGTGATGATGATGAAGGGGACGTACCAGCGACGGCTTTGATGACGTCGTCCCTCTTGCTGTGGCTGCTGTTGCGGGCTTTGAAGCAGATCTGGTACGTGACCCGCAGCGGCGCCTTGAACCAGCGCTCCAGATACCCGCTCAGGAACTTCTCCATGTCCTCCGGGAACGCGCGGCACGTGCCGCTCACGGGCAGCATGCGCAGGATCACGCGGGACTTCCTCTTCTTGGTGCGGTGCAGGTCCGACAGGATGTGGTGAACCAGCTCCTCTGGGTCTGGGGGAGAGAGAGTGTGTGTGTGTTATCACCTGTTCAGGCGGAGATCACGTGACTCTCTGATCCGACTCTCACCGACTCCATGCGTGCGGATGAACACGACGTTATTGGCTCCGCTGTCGACCGCGCTGAACCTCTGCTGACGCGTCTTCATCGACGACTGAATCTGACACACTTCCTTCTTCAGCGCAGCCTCTGCGTCTTCATCACCCTCCTCATCCTCACTGAGGCAGTCTGTGGACTACAACACACACTACTGTAACACATCTCTATTCCACTATACTACAGTAACACATCTCTGACGTCATGCTGCTCACCTGCTCAGGGCCGTAGAGCGCGTCCGCGTACTCGTTGAGGAGGCTGTAGGCTTCGCTCGTGCACTTGCGCTCGTTCATGTTGCAGGTGACGAGCACCCCCTGCGCTCCCACCTCCAGCTCGCGGGAACCCTTGTGTCTCTTGTGCGCGTGTCCGCCGAAGCGCTTCCTGGTCCTCTTGCGCGTGTCAGACATGTCTAGCTTTATCAAACAAATCTCCTTGAGATTAAAAAGTGATGAAGAAACTCTGAGGGTACAAACGCGCTCCGGACACACGCGTGTGTGTGTGTGTTTGTGTCAGTCGCGCTTCAAGCGTTCCTCGGCACGCGTCATACAGAGCCACGAAAGGGACATTTGATTACGAAACGCGTTTTGGCACAGTTTCAAACCAGAAGTTCCATAAATATATATCACACGAGCGCGTTCATGAAAAAGATAATGGCATTTTTGTATAAATAAAAAGTTTTGGTCAACACTTGAAGCATTTATGTATTAACAATGCATTTGTAATATACATGTTGCAATGCATTACGCAATTTGTAATCAAAAGTTAAAATGCATTACTGTAATATGTGCAGATTCATGTTATATATAAAATGTTTTTATCATGTTTTTAATGGATTATTCGGTACGGCTTAACAATAAGGTTCATTAGTATTAATGTATGACCTCACAATACACCTGTTACAGCACTTTTTAATCTTTGTTAATATTAGAATTATATATAGAATATTAGAATTACAATTGTGTATTAACTGTGCAGTTTTATCATACAACACCGGTGCATTACAAGGCATGATCAATAATCATTTTTAATGCATTAGATATAGACTTCATGTAAAGTGTTATCATAATGTACAGAACTGCTTATTTACAAAAGCAGTGAATATTAAAAACAATACTTCTGTGTAGTGAATTTCATTCATAGAGAGAGTCTGAACTGGAACACATCATCACTACACACACACACACACACACAGTGACTGCTCATCTGAGGGCAGTGGATCTGCAGGCCGTGATTGGCCCAGACTCCCACTGGAAGAAGCCGCAGCGGTGGCGTGTGACGGGGCAGCAGAAGAACACACGCCCGTGGTTCGGGCCCCCGTTCCCCACCGTCAGGCGCCGGGCCCTGCGGCCACACACACACAGAGGAGCCGTGCGCTTCCCACAGACACTGGCAGCAGAGGGGCCAGGGGGGCGGGGCCTCAGGGCGGGCGGGGCTTTGAGAGCACTGGGGGGAGGGGCTTCGTTAATGCAGAGGGGCGTGTCTCTGGGAACACTGGAAGCAGGGGGGCGGGGCCTCAGGGCGGGCGGGGCTTTGTGAGCGCAGGGAGGAGGGGCTTTGTGGCCATTGAGGGGCGGGGCTCTGTGAACGCTGAGGGGCGTGTCTCTGGGAACACTGGGGGGCTGGGCTTTGTGGACGCTGGGGGATGTGTCTCTGTGAATGCTGAAGGGGGCGTGGCCTAAGAAGCGAGAGAGCGGCCCGTACGGGTCTGTGTGTGTGTGTGAGTGTGTGTGTGTCAGTGTGTGAGGGACCGGTCTGGGTGTTTTAAAGAGACGGGTGGAGACGGTGGGTTTGAGCCGGTCTGATGTGGTTTCGTTGGGTCTGTTCTCGTCAGGCTCCTCCCCTAGAGCAACAGGCTCCTCCCCCAGAGCAACAAGCTCCTCCCCTAGAGCAACAGGCTCCTCCCCCTCTTCGGTCAGCAGGACTCCGTCGCTCCAGCAGTCGTCTGGGGTCTCGGGGTCGTAGGTCGTGTCGGAGAGCCCAGTCAGCGCGGTGTTGCTCGTCCTCTGGAGGTTTCCCAGCGGTGTGTTTGTGCTGGAGAGAACGGTGACCGGCGACACCAGCGCTCGACACACACTCGTCTGCAGCTCGTCACACACACTCGGAACGGAGCGACACACACTCGTCTGCGGCTCGTCACACACACTCGGCGCTGCACAGATGATCCCCCGCTGAGGTCTGGGCTTCACCGGCGCCTGAGAGAGAGAGAGATGCTGCTATAATAACCCTCAGCGCTGGCTGCTGATTGGCTGTGATGTCATGCAGGGGGCGGAGTCACTCACCCGCTGCAGAGTCCTGGTGAGGGTCATGAAACAGCCGTCACACACCATCCTCCACGCCAGCAGAGCCGTGTTCCTCGCGTCCACCAGACCTGCGCACAGAGAGTGTGTGTGTGTGTGTGTGTGTGTGTGAGATGATTCTGGAATCCACTGTAGATTTACTGATTATAATCTTGATTAAGGAAGCTCTAAAAAAATGTCAGAGGACTGTAAAATGAGCCGAAGTATTTTGTTGAGCAAATAGAATAAAACACTAACAATCTTCATATATTTACACTATATCCTATTGTGTGTGTGTGTGTGTGTGTGTGTACCGGAGTGCTCTCGGCCGGTGAACTGGATGCCGAGGTCCAGCAGAGCTCCTCTCAGACCCTTGGGCTTCCTGTTATAGAACAGCTGACACACACACACACACACACACACACACTTTACTGCTCTATTCAATGATCTCATGCAATAAACAGTGGAGAAGACCATGAACCAAACCACAGCGATTTCTAGCCTGTGCCAGAGAGCTGTGTGTGTGAGAGAGTGTATAAGTGAGTGTGTGTGTGTTCGTGTAAGTGTGTGTGTTGGTATAAGTGTGTGTGTTACCCTGTATGTGGCGCGCAGGTCGATCCAGCTCTTCAGAGCTTCAGGAACTCTCAGCTGCTTCCTCTTACACTCGTACAGCAAACACACACCCAGATCCCAGTCTACATCAACACACACACACACGTTACACATGAACCTCCTACATCAACACACACACACACGAGTCGTGAGCGAGTGATTCTCACCTGACCATGTGACGAAAGCGCAGGCGTGTCCTGAGGGGGCGGGGCCAGAGCTGTCCGTCTCGTAGGCCACGCCCCTCTCCTGCTGGAGGCCCTGCAGCCAGCGCACGAACCTGGACAGGCAGATGTGGAGCGGGGGGGCGGAGTCCACCTGATCCTGTCAACCAATCACACGTCAGACACACACTCTCTATCTCTGTCACACACACACACACACACACCTGTGTGATGCCCGTGAGCTGCGAGCAGAAGTCTGACAGCAGCGGGTGTTCCTGCGGCTGGACGAACGAGTGGAACTCCGACTCCACGGATCCGTCACACAGATTCAGCAGAACCGCCGGAAACTCGACTGAGGAGAAACACAGAGCCCACGAGTCAGAGTGTGTGTGTGTGTGTGTGTGTGTGTGGAAGAGTGTGTGTACTCACTGATCTCCGGCCTGAAGCTGTTCTTCTCTCTCCAGCACGTCGACTCAAAGTCAATGATGATGAGGAAGGAGAAGCGCTGCTCTGAGGAACACACACACAACAGGGTTATCACACACACACACACACACTCTCTCTCTCTCTTTCTCTCACACACACACTTACTGCGGAGAGAGCGATGAGCTCCTGATGACTGACTGCGCCTCCGGATCAGACCCAGCTCTCTGAGGACACACACAATACAGCACACACACACATTATATAGTTATGTATTATATATAATATTATTATTATATATTATATATAGTATTATATTTTATATATAACATTTAATATCAATGTACATTGTTTTTTTATAATAATAATATAATGTGTGTACTAGTGTTTGTGTTTCTTACTTCGCCAGACTCTTTGTTGACATGTTGTTCAGCACACTCGCGTTAAACACACACACACACATCTGCTGAATTACTTAATAAACGTTAAACATCTCAAACATGATTAGAGTTAATCGTCACAGCTCAAATTAAAACCCTAAAAACACTCGCGCAGTTTTGAATTACCCGCACATTTCCGTTGTTATGCTGCACTTCCGGTTTCGCATGCTCGCTGTTGTGACACGTGTTCTCAGCGGAGCCTGTGATTGGTCGAAAGCGGAAGCAGTCGCACAAAGATCAGTGGATCTTAATCGATGTCAGAGCTATAGATCAGTCGAGTCAACACACGTGCTGTCTCCGTCATGTATTTACATTGTTATATCATTGTATTTAGTACAGACTGACGTCATGGCGTTTTAAATTAAACACTGTGTGTTTTAGTTATCCGTTAATATAATCGCGTGTTGATCAGACTGTTTTGTCAATGAAGATGAGCTGTAGAAGAGTATTTCTCATCATCATCAGTGGATTATTGTGACAGAAGAGATGAAGATCGAAACACCGGCTGATCCACAGTCTTCCTCATCCTCATCCTCGAGCTGTAAGAGGAAGGCAGAGGACAGCCTGATCTCACACTCGTGTCAGAAGAGACTGAAACTACAGCAAATCCCACAGGTTTGATTCATCAGTGGTCCTGTCAACACCTGTCCCAGAAGCCTCTGCGTGGAGTTCATAGAGCCAGTGTTGTGTTGGTTTATTCATTAACACTGTGTGTGTGTGTGTGTGTGTGTGTGTGTGTGTTTAGGATGTGCTGACGGTGAAGGATGTGTGTGATCTGATCAAGTATGTCACACTCAGACGCTCTCACAGTGTGAAGAAGCCCAGGTACACACACACACACACACACACACACACACACACACGATTGTGATTGGCAGGTGACTGTGTGTTTGTGTGTTCAGCTGGTTCAGCGTCAGTGATGATGCGCGTGTGTCCCGCGTGAGCGTGATGATCCTGGACGGACTGACGCAGAGTCACTTCTACAGATACTTCAGTCACTTCACACACCTCAGCAGCCGATACAGCTCAGTGAGTCACACACACACACACACACACACAAACACACACACACACACACACACCTCAGCAGCCGATACAGCTCAGTGAGTCACACACACACACACACACACACACACACCTCAGCAGCCGATACAGCTCAGTGAGTCACACACACACACACACACACACACACACCTCAGCAGATACAGCTCAGTGAGTCACACACACACACACACACACACACAAACACACACACACACACACACACACCTCAGCAGCCGATACAGCTCAGTGAGTCACACACACACACACACACACACACACACCTCAGCAGCCGATACAGCTCAGTGAGTCACACACACACACACACACACACACACACACACACACACACACACCTCAGCAGCAGATACAGCTCAGTGAGTCACACACACACACACACACACACACACACACACACACCTCAGCAGCCGATACAGCTCAGTGAGTCACACACACACACACACACACACACACACACACACACACACACACACACACACGTGTGTAAAGGGTTTGAAGGGAGTTGCTAAATGGAGAACATCTGTGAGAGTAGCCAATCACAGTTGAGTATGCAGATATTGCTGTGACATCATCACCGGCTCTTGTGGGAGATCGTAAGCGTTAATCTTCAGTCTGATGGTAATGACGAGTGCGGACGTGTTTGTGTTTCTCAGAGATGGACTCTGACGCCCTCGTCATGTGACCCGCTGACCTCTGACCTCCTCAGCAGTGAGGTCGCAGTAGATGCGCGCGCGCCACTGCCAGGTGAGTGGTTAGTTTCTCTCTGATCTGTGATTCGCTGATGAATGCGGTCACATGACCTGCGGTGTGTCGTGCAGCTGCGCTGATGTGGCATCCTGTGATTCGCCGCTTCGGTTCGAGCGTTACGGGGCTGAGCAACTTCCTGTTGACCAAGCAGGAAATGATCAAACACAACTTCCCTTCGAAGGGTGAGACACACACACACACACACACACACATGAGATGTACAACTGACGCACACTCACCGGCTCTCCTGTTCCCATGATGCCGTGCAGGTGGGCGGGGCTGTGAGGGGTTCGTGAGCACCGAGAGCGACGGGTGTGTGACCGACGGGAGTCCTCTGTTCGGCCTGGACTGTGAGATGGTGCGTGTCTGCGCTATTGTGTGTGTGTGTGGGGTTAGAGGTCACGCTTGTGTGTGTGTTTCAGTGTCTGACGTGTGTGGGGTTAGAGGTCACGCGTGTGGCGCTGGTGGATGAAGCTGGACACTGTGTGCTGGATGAGCTCGTCAAACCACCAAACCCCATCATCGACTACTGCACCAGGTACACACACACACACACACACACACACTCTCAAACTTTGAAGAATGACATCACAATAGTTTGTTCAGAGAGTGTGTGTGTGTGTGTGTTAGGTTCTCCGGCATCACTCACCGGGCCCTGGCGCCGGTCTCCACGGTTCTGTCAGATGTTCAGGAGAAGCTCCTGCAGATTCTGCCGTGTGACGCCGTGCTGGTCGGACACTCTCTGGAAGCAGACCTGCGCGCCTTACACGTACACACTACACACTACACACTACACATCAGAGTCAGTGAACACACTCGCACAGGGGTTCAGGTGTGTGTGTGTGTGTGTGTGTGTGTTTCTGCAGATGATCCATCCTCACGTCATCGACACGTCTCTGCTGTACCGGCAAGACTTCGGCCGCAGGTTCAAACTCAAGATCCTGGCTCAGGTCATCCTGGAGTGAGTCTGAACACACACACACACACACACACACACACACACACACACAGATCCAAACTCAAGTCATCCTGGAGTGAGTCTGAACACACACACACACACACACACACACACACACACACACACACACACAGATCCAAACTCAAGTCATCCTGGAGTGAGTCTGAACACACACGGCTCAGCTGAGCTTCAGATTCAGTGTGTGTGTGTGTGTGTGTGTGCAGCCGGGAGATCCAGTCGGAGAACCGCAGAGGTCACGACCCCTGTGAGGATGCTCTGGCCGCTCTTCATCTGGCTCAACACTTCATCAGGAAGGGACCCCGAGAGGTGAGTAGAACACACACACACACACACACACACACACACACTGACCCCGGTCAAAACATCAAATCTGACTTTTGGCAATAATGTAATAAATGGATGTTTCTGCTGATTTGTCTGGACATGTTAAGAGGTAAGTCCACTGGGGGGAGTACTGGTTTATTATGGGCCAGTGGGATAATGGTGGGCCTCCTCCACTTCCTGTGGTCTGCACTGGGGAACAGCTGGGGGGTCTTGCTGGAGGAGGTGTCTGCTCAAACAGTTCATCACTTCTTTATCCTCTCTCTCTCTCTCTCTCTTGTCGAGTCCAGTCTCACTGATTGTCTCTCTCTCTCATGTTGAGTCTCACTGATTGTCTCTCTCTCTCTCTCTGAGTCTCACTGATTGTCTCTCTCTCTCTCTCTCTGAGTCTCAGTGATGGTCTCTCTCTCTCTCTCTCTCTCTGAGTCTCAGTGATTGTCTCTCTCTCTCTCTCTCTCTCTGAGTCTCAGTGATTGTCTCTCTCTCTCTCTCTCTGAGTCTCAGTGATGGTCTCTCTCTCTCTCTCTCTCTCTGAGTCTCAGTGATTGTCTCTCTCTCTCTCTCTCTCTCTGAGTCTCAGTGATTGTCTCTCTCTCTCTCTCTCTCTGAGTCTCAGTGATGGTCTCTCTCTCTCTCTCTCTCTCTCTCTGAGTCTCACTGATTGTCTCTCTCTCTCTCTCTCTGAGTCTCAGTGATGGTCTCTCTCTCTCTCTCTCTCTCTGAGTCTCAGTGATTGTCTCTCTCTCTCTCTCTCTGAGTCTCAGTGATTGTCTCTCTCTCTCTCTCTCTGAGTCTCAGTGATGGTCTCTCTCTCTCTGTCTGTCAGGTGGTTGAGGGTCATCTGGATGACCTGTGGGATGTTCCTGAGGTCGATGTCTCGGATCAGCAGGTCTCGTCTGATCATCGCTTCAGGTACTCGACTCTATATCTGACGCGTGACTCTCTGAAGACGTTCCCTTCTGACGCTCTCTCTGTCCAATCAGCTCTCTCCGCTTCGGCCACGCCCTCTACGGCTCCGGCCAATCAGCAGTGTTCCTGGGCGGAGCTGTGGAGACCAGCGGCTCAGCGGCCAATCAGTGCAGGAGACAGCAGTGCTCCAGTGACCGAGAGGTGTGTGTGTGTGTGTGTGTGAGAGAGTGAGTGTGTGTGTGTATAGGTGGTGTGTATTCATCTGTATCTCTGTGTGTGTGTGTGTGTGTAGGTGGTGTGTGTGTTCAGACGGCTGGTTCAGTTGTACTCGCTCAGTGTGCTTCGGTTATCATCATTCAGCAACACACTGAATCAAACGACAGCGGCGGGACGACACGAGCACCTGGAGCAGGTACACACACACACACACACACACACACACACTCGACTGTATGACGCTGACGTGAGTGTGTTCCAGGTGTGTGAGGGTCTGAGGCAGATGTGTGTGTTATATGTCGGCCCACTGCCCGCCGACAGCACAGAGAGAGACGTACACACACTCCTGAAGCACTGCGGACGCCTGCGGACCATACGCCTGCTGCAACACACACACGGGGTAACACACACACACACACACACACACACACACACACTCACACACGGGGTAACACACACACACACGGGGTAACACACACACACACGGGGTAACACACACACACACGGGGTAACACACACACACACACACACACACACGGGGTAACACACACACACGGGGTAACACACACACTCAAACGATCACTGAAAGTAGTTGCCAGTCTCTCCCTCTGTGTGTGTGTGTGTGTGTGTGTAGGTTGATGCTGAGGTGGTGTTTGAGCATCTTGAAGGAGCTCAGCTCGCACTACAACTTCTGAATGGACACCAGATCAACGGCTGCACTATCAAGGTTACACACACTCACACTCGCACACACACACACACACACACACACACTCACACACACACACACACACACACACACTCACACTCACACACACACACACACACACTCAGTTCTGAGGTTCTGCTGTGATGGGCAGGTCCGGCGGCCCGTACACGAGCTCTGTCTGGATCTGGACCAGCGTGTCTCTGAGCGTCAGGACGACCCTCTCAACGGTCACATGATCTACGTGTGTAACCTGTCCACTAAACCCCGTCGCCATGACGACCAGCTCCAGACCTTCACACAGTTCGGCCCCGTTCAGCAGATCAGCAGCGCCGCGGTGCATGCTGGGAAACGCCCCAGACACGCCCTCATCAGTGCGTATATTATCCTGATCGAGTGTATCAACATCATCCTGCTTTAACCAATGTCCTCATGTGTGTGTGTGTGTGTGTGTGTGTGTGTGTGTGTGTGTGTGTGTGTGTAGAGTTCGCGTGTGCTGACAGCGCTCAGGCCTCAGTGGGCGTCGCCCTTCAGATCCGCAACAGGAAGCTGTCAGTCTGTCACGCTCTGACTCCGCCCCACATGACCTCATGGACACACACACACCCCGTTACTACGGAAACCAGCCCAGAGCAGGGGGAGGAGTGTGAGGTGAGTGACAGCTGTCAGTCAAGCGGAAACGCCTCTGCTGTTCCTGCTAGTGACGAGCTGAAAGTGTCATGTGACCCGCAGGAGTCATGTGACCTCCAGGAGGCGGTGCTGGAGCGCCGGATGAAGAAGCTGGACGGGAGAGTGGGGAAAGTGTATCGGGCGCTGGAGAGAAACTGCCTGAGCATCGTCATCCTGCCTGGAGCCAGGAGGTACACACACACACACACACACACACACAGTCGTGTTTGAGTTTGTGTATCAGTGTGACTCATGTTATGGTGTGTGTGTGTGTGTGCAGTGCGGGAGTGGATCACCTCGGCCTCTGCTTCCTTCAGATCAAACAGACGTGACTCCGCCCAGCTCGCCTGTGATTGGCTGAAGGGATTTGTGCTTTTATATCACACTTTTACTGTTTAAATACTGCTGAGAATAAAGAGTTTTACACACTTCTCCTGGAGAACACACTCCCGACCTCTGACCTCTGTTCGAGACAGACATGAGTTCTTAAACATCAATAACCTCGGACGACTGACACACACACGGCAGCTTTGAAGAGCTTGGGGTCGGTGATTTGATTAATAATACAGTAAAACAGTGCAAATCAGCTGTTCGCTGTGTGAATATACAGTAAAGTGTCATTTATAGACCATTTCACAAGATGTAAACAACACTGGTCCAGAAGCACTTCCTGTTTCAGTTTTTTAACTCTACATAAAAGCTGGGATAAAATACAACCAACAGAACATTTAAAACTGAATCAAAAAGTTAAACAAACATCTTTAAGATGTGAAATAAAGAAAACAGTTACAAACTGAAACAGGAAGTGCTTCTGGACCAGTGTTGTTTACATCTTGTGAAATGGTCTATATCCTTCATCATGAGTCACATGACCCTTCAGAAATCACTCTAATGATCAATGAACAGTTATGATGATTATTAGTGTTGGAAATGAGACAAAAATAAAAGCATTTTTTGCACTGTAAGATTCAAGAGAATGAACATATCACAGATTCCTGATCGTAGAAGTAAACGCAAAAAACAAATTATCAGAGGTTATAAAATGTCAAATAAACAGAGAATTAGTTCCCAGTACGGCACACACACACACACACACACACACACACATCCCACATCTACACCACACATAACCTGACAGAGATGGAAACTTGGTGTGAGAAATCTACATAACGCCGTATAGTTTCCTCTCGGTTACTGGGACCGTGTGTTACCCGCTATCAGGGATGTGTTATCATCATATGCAGTATTACAGGTACAGGTTTCTATTGTGTCTTTAAAAATAAAATATTTGTAATTATTTTTTGTTTTTAATTCCAAAAGAAAAAATATATTTTATGCATTAGGTCAAATTCCTGAATAACTGGCCACAGGACCTGTGTGTGACCGCCGCTCCAGTAACACAGAAACCCCGTTTCACAAGACCACGCATGTGCATCTCCTCACAAATCAACACAAACTCATAAACTGGCAAATATAAGGCGACTACAATTCAACATGAACAGGAGCACAGACCTGAGAGAAGGATCAGGTGTGCAAAAACCACTCAAACAAACAACGAGACACAACTCGTGCACGCATGCCGGTTATAAATACATCTTTTTTAGGTATCTGTAATTTACTGTACAAATAAATCCAGTGGCATTTATCTAATGTGCATTAACTGCTTTAGAAAAATTACAAAACAACTCGTCCAACAAAAGGTGCACGTCTTTTTGACTTTTAGATGCTCATTTTTAAACTGGATAACAATGTTGGAAATGTTTGAGGTTAGCTCGAGACACTTACGAGAAGCATGGTGTGTTTTCCGACACTCACCATCTCACACAACCACAACCACACACAGTTTCAGGTCAGACGCTACAGCCACAACTGGGCTTTCATGCGTCGGCCAATGCTGAGATCAGAAAACACACTTTTACAAAAACATCCTCTGTACACTTTGACCTGTATCTTTTAGACTATTTTATGTATGCGTCTGTAGATTTCATTGACTAAATTCTATATTTACAGAGGGTTTAGTATATATATCATTTTCCTGATTTCCTTAACATTTTATTTTTTTACACTGAGGGAGCATCTCTACACTAGAGTGGAAATACACCATTCTTGTTCAATCCTAAAGCATAAACTATTATGATGTTGACAGTTTGTAGTTAAAGGGTTAGTTAAAGATTCTTTTTTCATGTGGCAAATCCTTTGTTATAAATTGTACAACTGTTGGCATTTCCTTATTTAGCTTCACTTTTCCATTAACTGACAAACCTAAGTTCATATTTCATAACCTATCAACTAGTTTAATTATGACACGGTTAATCGGGGGAGTTCTGCTGAAGCCCCGCCCCTTCTAGTCAGCCATAAAACAGCCAGTGATTTCTTCTTCACAGTACTTTACTGGTGTATAGAGATGGGTCTGCAGGCCTCAGTCCTCCTCCTCCTCACTCTGCTCATGGCGGGGTTCGACACCGGTCGAGCGTGCGGTCAAGCGGAGCACAGACACGACTCATATCAGCACTCTCGCCTGTGTTACGAGTGCGCCGGCGTGGGGAATTACTGTCCCAGCAAACTGGTCATGTGTCCCAGTGGATCCTCACACTGCATGAGTTCAACCATCGTACTGGACATCGGTAAGGCCAATGTGATGGACTGAAATTCACTCTTATGTGTCACAGATGGAGAATTTGAAAGTCTAAAAATGTCGCTGTATGTAAAGTTGTACAATGATAATAAATCTATCTATCTGTCACAAATTCAATCTGCTATTTAATTCTTTCCCTCAGATAGTTAAAGTAATACAGTAAATTTGTATTTGAAAAATGCTACATTTGGTCTTCTCTTCTGATGTAATGTACCAGTGCTAAAATATATGTAACTAACACAAAATGGCTTATTTTCTGAGAAGAAAATAAGAAGAACTTATTTTCTGGCGGAAATTCAATTCAATCACAGAATTGGCAGTGAAAATGAACTTTTGCTTTGCTGTTATTATATGACACATTATCAGAAAGACTCTCAATGCTTCTTTCTAATGTGAAATGTTCATAAACTCATTTCCCATCCAAACACTGCATTAACTACTCTCTCCGGTATCATTGATGTTTCTAGGTGGAACGAGTTTGAAAATAAAGAAAAAGGAATGTATTGATGACTGTCAGAATGGATCCATCAACTTGGGCTTAAAAAAGACGTCCTTTTCCTGCTGCGGCACTGACTTCTGTAACACCGAGGACGCTCCAGGTACTGTCCTTCCCTGACCGTCTTCCGCACACCGAGTCCGAGACATTCGCTCGTTAAAAAATAAATACGACCTCACGTTGTGTCCATCACGTTTACACACTGCCAACGAAACTTTCGTTTGTCATTAAAAAATACGGAGCAGATAATTTATTTTTATTGTTTTCCCGCATCCGTAGCAAGAATTTTTAGCATTTTCAGAGCCAACGTACAAGCGAATGAATGACAAAAAAACCCTGTCAATACGGAAAAACAAAACGCTAAACACAAAATGCCTTTCCTGAGGTAACAGTGACATTGTTAAACTATTTGATTGACATTTCGGCGTTTGAGACTCATTTGGACGATTTTGTGAGACATTTTTTAAAAATTATATTATGTTCCTTTCCACATACCTTCTGATGTTCATCCATTCGGTAAAGATCGAACTCTCCTTCATCTCTATGCAACCTCAGGATTGGATGGACTCAATATTTCCCCTTTCCTTTTCTCTGTTTAAGAAGAGAGAGGAACACAACATCATTCTCACTATAGATATCCACAATAAAGGCTAGATGTCTCGTCCACACTGGCGCCATCTTGCCACAGTCAGCTCGCTGTACTTGGTACAAATTTAAAAAGTACATGGTGCATGTACTTTTTAAATTTCCATAACTTGCTCAATTTTCAAACGGTTTGGTTTGTTATAAACATCAGAGATGTGGTTATGACACTGCATAATAATGAATAACAAGTGTATCAATAATTATAGCCGCGTTAATAAAGTTTGTAAGAAACCAAATCGTTTGTAAATCCGTCAAGATTTCAGCGAGGTAAGAGTATTTGTTCGTGCTGATCACTCATCTTATACCAGGAAGAGCCCACCAGAAAGCTTGCCTGTGACAAGATGGCCGCCAGTGATGACGACAGAGACTCCGCCGTGATACATCTAGCCTTTATTATGGATAACTATGATTCTCAATGCTTGAAGACTCCATTTTGTTTTGCGATTTTTTTCATTAATACGCATCGGACGAATATTTAGGGTGACGAATATGAAAAAACGCATATGAAAACTTTGGACTCAAGAAGTGTTACATGGAGGGTGTGACATGACTGTAGAATTGTTAGATAATTAGATAAATAGATCATTAGATGTTATATTTGTTGAGATGATGAAAGTTTTCCTCCGTCAGATCCCAGAATTAGCGCTCCCAACGGAAGGAGGTGTCATTACTGTGATGGACAGAGCTGCTCGAACACCGTGAGCTGCTCCGGGACTGAAGACAGCTGCATCACCGCAACCGGTGAGACATTATTAATTATCGGTATCAGCCAAAGTTTTCATATCGGTGCATCCCTTACTTATTTTTAAACGTTTTAAACTTTGGATACCAACTCAGTCTGACTAAACCTTTGCTTTCTCTCTTTTCACCAGTAACCAACAGTGGCCAGTCAATGCTTTTAAAAGGCTGTATCACTAAATCTGTTTGTGGTCTCCTAAAATGTTCATTTATTCAGGACCTCTCGTGTTGTGAGGGGAACCTGTGTAACACTGATAAGGGTCTCAACCTAAGCGTCACACATAAGGGTGACACCTATAGGTCCCTGTATGAGGGTGCTAAGAAGAGCGACACCTATAGGTCCCTGTATGAGGGTGCTAAGAAGAGCGACACCTATAGGTCCCTGTATGAGGGTGCTAAGAAGAGCGACAGCTATAGGTCCCTGTATAAGGGTGCTGAGAAGAGCGACACCCAGAGGTCCCCGTCTAACGGCGCTACGAGCGTCACCCACAGCTTCCTGTTCTCTGCTCTCCTACTTCCTGCTGCACTGATTCTACAAGACTCAGATTACTGAATATATACAGTACCGCCAAAAATTATTCAGACAGCAGATATCATTTTTTCTCTCTAGTGTGATCAGGACACTTTAGTTCATTTGTGTAAGTCAGAAAATAAAATAAAGTAAACTGTGACATATTATACCCATTCTTCAGTGATGACCAGTAAGATTTATAACAATTATTATTCCTCCACTTTGAGCTGATGATGTTTTACTGAAGTGTGTTTTCTGTAATTGCTAATGCTCTTTTTACACACACACTGAACAACATGAAGCATTTCTTGGTCACTGGTTGAGCTAAACTGGTATCATCTAATTGTGTAGTTAAATTTAACAGATATTCAACATAATTCATGTGTGAGAGTCGAACAGAAGGACGGACAAAACCAGTTCTTGTTATATTTTATTACCATTTTCTAATCTATAGCGAATAAACTGATAATGTGAGAAATGTTGAATGTGTCTGAATAAATTTTGGTTTGACTGTATGCATATTTTCATATCTTTGTTGGCTTTCTGATGTGTCATTTTATTAAATGAAATACTACATCACCTGTATCCTGCTGTAAGTCCAAAAGATAGCCTATACTGCAGTAATAAAAAATATATATGTTTGACAAACAAAAAAAAAATCTCATCTGTTTGGTTTTTCATGAGTTTGTATTATTGGATTTCCATCAGGCTTTCACTTCAGTTACAGATCACAAAAGCAAAAAGAGAAATTATCAGTATAGGTAAGAACTCAACTAATGCTACACAATCCCTTTCAACTTGGTACTTTGCAAATTTTAACTTTTAATATTACTCTAGAGCCCCAACTATCAAATTCCATATAGCTATTTCATTTTCAGGAAAAAAATGACCAATGTTAAATTACACATAAGGCCAGTTAAAGAGCCCATAAACTCCCTAAACAGACTCTGAATAAAGCCATCACAACAATACTGCAGTAATTCACTATAGACTGGATTCATTATGAGTCACTGCATCGAAACACATTTTTAATTTTATGTAGAGTTAATTCATTGTCTAAAAATAATAATTGTATTATAACATCAATAAATGTTGGTTGACTATCAACACAAAATCAGACATGACGGACAGGTAACAAGTTAAGATAAATTAAAGAATCATACATTATATGATAACAATATATCGACAAGAGTTAGTTTTTCTAAGTAACACGCAACACCTAATGCCTTTACTGAGGTAAACATAACGTTTGTTTGACGCGTTTCCGCGAAATAGTGACTCTAGTAGCCGATTTCGCGAGACATGTGTTAAATTATGTTTCTACATACCTTCTTACGTTCCTCCATTCGTGTGGTAACGATCAGTAAAGATTATCGGTTCACTCGCGCTCAGCGAGCCGTTGCACCCAGGGAGCCGTTAAAATGACTGTTATTATTTGAATTTTTGCAAAGATTTAACGGAAATCAAGGAGCGCTCAAAAAAGTAAACTGGTAATAATAATAAGAAGGAGAAGGAGAAGAAGAAGAAGAAATCAGGCCTTTTGTTGAAAGCCTAATAAATAAATAAATAAAGTACATGTCTAGGCCACTTGGTTGTGTGACTGGGTCATGTTGATAGTTCATGCGATTCTGCACTGTACTTGAATAGACTTCATACAACCACTACAAATCAAAGTTTATTCCCATAGAAGCTCCAGCATCATTCGAGGAACAGACGACATGATTGGTTTGACTATTAGCATCTATTGCAGAAAGTTATTTTTGATCTCCAAACATTTGGAGCCACTGAACTCTAACGATGATGCAGGAAAAAACTTTATTGTTTAGGCAGAGAATCTTTCAAAAAAAAAAAAAAAATCATATTCTAATATAAAATGACAGAATTAAAGAATAACTTAAATTAATGACAAGCAAGATCAACTTCTGATGGTCAAAGAGCCTGATCTGATGAGATGATCTTGTACTTGTACTGAGTCACATGACTACATTAGTTCTGGACCCGTTTCATGAATCTGCTGAAGAATCATGTTCACGTCAGACACTGAGAATGACGGCACCATAATCACAGATCTGAATCCTGTGCTGGAATGAACAGCCCGACACAGACGTACTAAGAAAGACTTTAATTTCATCTTCCCTGGAAAAGGGACCATTTGAACATTTCATACAAAAAATACAAGGATATGAACAAGACATTCATGATCACAATTAAACATTCTTTGACACATTAAGTTTCTTTTTTTTTCTCTCACTGTTAATCTGTAGGAACTAAAGACGAAGGAACCCTCACGAGGAATAAATAAACATTGCAGGACACGTCAACATTTAAAATGAGGGAACGCTCCGGGAAACCGCGGTAAAATACTCACACACACACACACACACACACTCTCTCTCTGACAGTAAATGGCTCAGTAACTCCAGCACCTTTAAAACGCTCTGAACTTCGCCCACATAAGGAGAGGTCACGGGAGGTTAAGTGCAGTCTTCTGATTGGCTGTCGGACACGCCTGGGCTAAGCGAGGCTCCCGATTGGCCGCCGAGCTCTCGCTACCAAACCTTAGGGACGTCGAAGAGCGTCGGCGGTGACGTTTCAGAAGCTGCGAGAGAGAAAACGGTCAAACGCTCGTGTTCAGCTCAACAAGGCAAACCTCGAGAACAACGCTCACCGTCTGAGTTCCTCTTCTTGTGCTTGCGGCTCCGTTTACCTTGACTCTGATTGGCCGAGGACTTCTCAGGCTCCGCCTCCTCATGCACTGGGCTCACAGAGGCTCCGCCTTCAGGCCTGAACAAACAGCAGACAATCAGACTATGGGTCATCATGACATCATCTGAGTGAGTTAAAGGGGCAGGCACTTACTGCAGTCTGGGCCAATCACAGGACCCCTCTGAATCAGCCACATTAACATACGTTTGTGAGGAGCCTCCTGTGAATGTGACGGAGAAAGTTAGCCAAACATGTTCACTGCAAGACTGAAGTTAACCGTTCAAACTCAAGAACACCAAAGTCCACATCAGTGGAAACACTTTCAGAAGGAGCTGTCTGGATTCTGATTGGCTGTCACAGTGGCGGATGACTAAACTGCAGTGCTTAGAGCGATTAGCATTAGCATTTCAGCTGTAGTTATGGCTATTATAGCACTTTATTGTGGACGACATTCAAGTGATCGTTCCCATTATAGTTCTAGTTCGTCGTTGTGATGTTAAAAGTGAGCGTTACTGTAATAGTAGTCTGCCGTGGACGTTAATACAGTGATCGCTACGGTTTGGTTATAGTTGTTGTGATTGTGACACACACCGTCAGTCTTCATCTTCTTGCCGCTGCTGTAGTGAGTCCAGCCGCTGTCGGAATAATGATTCTGCTCCTCTAGAGACGGACTGATGCTCCTCTTAACCGCGTGCAGCCTGAACACACACACACACAGGGTCACATGACGGCCGTCGCCGTCCTCAGTCTCTCTCACACACACACACACTCACTCACCGGCTGGCGTCTGCAGTGTCGGGCGTGTCGGCCCAGCCGTCGGCGGCCCATCTTCTGCTGGACGTGTTCTTCTGCCGGCCCTGAAGGTACGCCGCGTACGTCTGGATGCGGTAGCTCTCCGCGTACTGGCTGGTGTTCATAGCTACACACACACACACACCAGGACATGAACACCACACACACACACACATCAGGACATGAACACCACACACACACACATCAGGACATGAACACCACACACACACGGCTCTGATTCTTACCGATCTGAACCTGCTCCGTCTGACTGAGGGACACGAACGCTGACGTGTCGTCGATCCACGACACCTGGATGTTGCCTGAGACACGACACACACACAGATCAGCACACACACACCGGTCACAGAGAGAGACAGAGAGAGAGAGTGTGTGTGTGTGTGTTACCGAAGGCGCTGAAGAGCTGGTACAGGTCACTGGTCTTCCACTCTTTAGGGAAGGTGACGTACAGCACGTGATCTCTCTTGGGCTGCACTAGATGGACAGATACAACTGGTCAGTAGATACACAGGTGTGTGTGTGTGTGTGTGTGTGTGTGTTTTCATTCTTACGGTCCGGGCCACTCATGTTCAGGTAGGGAATGTCAATGACCCTCATCAGGAATAACCTGGAAAACACATGAACTAAATCAGACCAAGATCAGATCAGTGTGTGTGAGAGAGAGAGAGAGAGAGAGAGAGAGAGAGAGAGTGAGAACAGGTGTGTGTGTGTGTGTGTGAATCTCACTTGTTGTAGAAGGGTTCCAGGAGTTTGGAGCGAGCAGAGATGTGACTCTTTGGAGGAGTGAGGAACGTCCCTGAGGAGACACCAGCACGAGTCATTAAACAGGCTATCGAGAGACCGTTCCGAGCTCTGATTGGATGAGCTGGTCTGAAGCCACACACACACACACACACACTCACCCAGGTAGTTTGCCATGGAGATGAAGCACAGTCCTGTGATGAAGGCGTCGTACCCGGCTTCATGAAGCTGCTCCGTGGAGGTGTCGTAACTCCTGAGGCCTTCAGGACACTCTGAACACACACACGGAGAACATGTGAGAGAGTGTGTGACGCCTCCTGAGGCCTTCATGTGAGTGTGTGTGTGTGTGTGTACCAGTGACGGGCGATCGGAAGGGTTTCGCTCTCAGCTGTTTGTGCAGTTCAGCCAATGACGTGTTGCCGATGATCTCCTGCCACACAAACACTCATTAAACACACACACACACACAGCGGCTCCGGGTCATGACCCAACACACACACACACACGTGCCACACCTTGAAGGGCTGCGTGGACGCCATCAGCTTGGTGTCCAAAAGCCTGAAACACACACAGAGTGTGAGAAACACACACTAGCAGACACACGAGTGATGATCATATGGTCAGTTTACCTGGGAAACACAGACATGGCCACCTCCTTGAAGTCATCCAGCTCCTGCACACACACACACACACACACACACCTCATCAGACGGCCACACATCACTCAATCCCACAATCCTCCAGGGCGGGTCAGGTTACCTCGGGCAGCGGCGCACAGAACTGATGGATGGTGTGCATGACGTCCAGCAGCATGTTGTGGCCCACCACCAGCTTACCCTGCCACACACACACACACACACACACACACACACATCAGAAGAGGCCAAGAACACTGCGGTCAGTGCCTCTACCATCTCAGTTATTAGTGTGTGTGTGTGTGTGTGTGTGTGTGACTCACAGATTTGGAGATGGCTCTAATAACCCTGGAGAAACCCACGGCGTCGTTCAGCTCTTCCTGTAACAGATCAACGAGCTGATGATGTCATGAAGTCAGACAGCAGGTCATGTGACACAGGCAGCACATCAGTACATGAGCCGAGTGTGTGTTTGCCCACAGACACACACACACACACACACACACCTGCTCTCGCTGCTGTTTCTGCTGCTCTCTCCTCCTCCTCTCCTCATCGTCCACTTTGCTGATCTGGATGAAACGCTCCTTCTGACACACACACACACACACACACACACATATCAGAGTGTGTTGTTTGATTTAATGTTTCTGAAAGTGTGTGTTTGTACCTTCTCCGTCTCCAGCGTCTCCACATGCAGTTTAGGAAACCTGAAACACCAGATTAATCAGACATTGAGCAGATAAATCTCACACACACACACACACACACACACACACTCAAGACTTACTTTGAGTTGAGCGTCTGATAGATGAGCTTCCTCTGAAACCTGACAGACACACACACACACACACACACACACACACACACACACACACACACACACACACACACACACACACACACACACACACACGCACAGAGAGAGGGTATGAACACTCATGTTCAGATGAGATCTGCTCTACATGATAAGTGTGTGAGCCTGACCCGGTGCACGGCTCCAGATCCAGAGTCTGATCACAGCTGTTCTGGAGAGAGTCCACCTTCTGCCTGAACACACACACACACACACTTCAGCATCTGCAACATTATCATCAGGTGTGTGTGTGTGTGTGAGAGACTCACTCCACGCTCCTGATGAAGTCTCTCTGGTCCTCAGGCACACTGCAGGCTCCTCCTCCCGAGGGGGGCGTGTACGACACCGGCCCCGCCCCATTCATCTGGCCCCGCCTCTCCTCATACTGCTCCCTCAGCTGAGACTCCTCCTCCCGCGTCAGGTATGCAATCCCTACGGCAACACACCTGTCAGTCACACTCACACACAAAGTCACATGACAGGAAGTGAGCTCACGTACCGCTGCGGAACACCTTGTTGAAGTCGAAGCCCTGGCTGGCCAGGAAGTCAATGCTGGAGCTCTAGAGGAACAGGAAGGGGAGGAGTCAGAACAGGAAGGGGAGGAGTCACAATCGCAAGCATTTTTATTAATGAAACTCTCTCCAGTGTCTGAAACTGAAAAGGATGTTTCCAGTTGTAGCGCCGTCTCTCAAAACAGAGGCATTCAAAAACGATGGCGTGAGTTTAGTCATGTGACACATACTGATGTTTATAGCGGTATTGAGATGTGACTGATATGTTCCTTCACACACTCTTCATATCACAGTCCTGCACACACTCGCATCAGACGGACATGTAGAGGTGAGCGAGCCGGACCGCATGTACGCCGCCTCCAGGGGGCGAGTTTAAAGGCTTTTCAGGGATGTGGGCGTGGCCTGAGGGGGCGAGCGACAGCACCGCTCTCTCACCTGACAGATGAACTTGACGTCCGGAGACGTGCGGCTGAAGGGCTTGGGGAAGATGTAGAAGTTGAAGGCCTTCGTGATGTACCTGCGGGACACACACAGAGTCACACACACACACACACACACACACACACACGGCTGTAACACGGAGGGGGAGAGCTGGCTCACGTGGACTGGTTCTGCTCGTATCGGAAGGTGCAGATGCCGAACTGGAAGAGCAGGAAGTCCATGGAGTGCTGGAGGAAGAGGAGACAAGAGTCTTCAGACAAACAGATGAACATCAGAAGGAACGCAGCGCCGCATGCATTTATTATACACAGATTTTCAGGAACTGTAATCAAATGGAATTACACTGCACTTAATGAAGAAATATACATGAGAAATAGAGTTACAGAACGAGCCTCAGTCTCCTGTAGATTATAGAGACGGCAGGAATATGAGCGCTGTCACTTTAAGATGTGCGTGTCCAATACACTGATACACACGAGGACAGAACACACACTCACTCGCACACACTGAAATACTCAGAGGAATCGAAATTAGTTTTCCAACAAGTATCGGATTCCCAACCCCATCGGTCATCTACTAACTTACTAAACCAGCACTTAAACAATATCTTTATAATCTCGATTACATGTTCATCTTTCCTCGAATGACGGATTTCTGGAATCTGATGCTCCACTTCACAGAGACTAGCGCTGTTCCTTATTCAAATAATTTTTTTTTCCATGAATAGATGATTGACCTGAAGAATGAAAGTTATATTATATACACTTATGATAAACTTCATAGCAAGCGCATGTGAAATAGGTCTACATCTCAGACGGCTGCAGCTTAAATTTAAGGAAAATATTGTATTTTATTCATATTTACAAGGGTTTTCCAGGACCCGCATTTCAAAACGTCAAATTCAAGAACTTCAAGCTTGTACGAACCCTGCGATTGGTCAGATCGCTTGTCAATCAAACTCCAGACGTAGGGAAAGAAACCAAAGGCATTTATAAAGAAGTAAACGGCAGTAGTTTTGACTGTGTGAACTGAGACTGGACGAATATGGGGAATATACACACAGAATCCCCATTTACACAGCACTACAAGTCAGCGATTGGCTCTTATTTAGGAGGCGGGGCTTATTCCACCATATAGAGCATCACAGTCCCGCCCACAGCCGGTGCCGGAAGTGAAAATTCAATACAATTTCTCCATTGACATTTGAGATTTAAGCCATAAAAACGTAACCATACATGGTAGACTTAACCCTTATGCTGCATTAGGGACATTTTTGGTCTTTTGCAGTTTAATTTCTTTGACCATTTTGGCTGTTTTAATGCAAATGGTATGAAATTTGGCAAAATTGTGACTTTTTGGATACATGTAAAAAATGTGATCCCATTTTGCAAAATATGTATAACACACACTGTGTAGATCAAATAGTAACACTCAGCACCATAAAGACCAAAAATGGCCCATTGAAACCCATTAAAACGTTGTTTAAATCTGAGGCTGTCAGTAATACATGAAACATGATTTTTGCACAAACATCCTTTCATTTTGAAGCAAAAGCATTATATTTGCATTATATAGTGTATTCCACCAGATGACGTCACTACATATTTATTTCCTATGGGTGGAAATGCACCTTATTTTAGGCAATAGGCAATGTTTAATAGGTGGCCATTTTTGGTCTCTAACGCGCTAAGTGGGATTTTTTGCAAAGTGGGACTGTGATAATCCAAATCTAAAGTTTTCTCTTTGCATTTAGTTTATTGAAAATAATTGAATTTTTGTGTGTTTTCCTCTTATACAAATCGATGGTTTCGCAAACAAAACTGGTAATTAAAGGGTTAAAATCCTGAAATTGAATACATTTTTGGTAGTTATGATGAGGACTGATGCTGGTTAAAAGATTTAACTTGGTAAAAGTGGAAAATAATAATAATATATAATATTTTAGGCAATGTTTAATATGTGGCCATTTTTGGTCCTTAATGCACTCAACGGTGTTAAAAATCTAATGCAGCACAAGGGTTAAACCAGCTACGGCTGTACTAAGCCATTGTATGTGCTCATATAAACGGCAAAAGTTCATGGGGCACTAACCTTGTTTTAAGATAAATGCCTATAATCTCTAATCGCGATGTCTTGGATAAGTACTTCATTACCCACAATCCTAAACAATCCCACAATCCAACAGTGATGCATCTGATTGGTGGAAGTCGTGTCACGTGTCTGAAACCCCGCGAAGGTACGTGAAGACTGAAGATTGCGTGATGACGTAGGGCTAAGTTCATTGGAGACGCCCGCGCGCCATTGGATGTGCAGTTGCCACAGCTTAGCCTATGAGCGAGCCAGATACTCAATGTTTTTGCATGTTGAGCTGCAAATGCGTTTGCTTCAGTAAATCGAGGAAAAGGGGTTTCCCTGCACATTCACTATATAAAATTCACTGGAGGAAAAAGTTCACGTGCCCGTCGTCAGATTTGGAAGTCGCTCTTTCACGGTGGCTTTCAGATGACTACAGTGAGGCGCGGTGGATTATGGGAGGAGTAGTTCCTTTGCTCGGAAACGAAAACATGTACACAGGCTTGTACCCGTGACTTTTTTTGTATTTTCTCTTCGTTTTTTCACTGGAAATGATGTGCTGTATGCTTATGAGTTCAGCCGTAGCTGGTTATCCTCAGACATGCTCTAATACACTTTAGATATGGATTTTACTAAATGTCAATGGGAGAAATGAATGGGAAATTTACTTCCGGCACCAGCGCTCTCTCGGGCTGTGGGCGGGACTGTGATGCTCTATTGTCCTGCCCATGGACAGTAATATGAGTAACTGTCTTTATCTTTGGATGAGATTAAACAGAAACAAGTGTGTTTGTGTGTGTGTGTGGTGTGTGTGTGTGTGAGAGAGAGAGATGTATTACCTTCCTCAGTTTGGTGTACCTCTCCTCCGGTGTGTCCAGTCCATTGGTCAGAGCACTGACTGACGGCCCATCACTGATTCCTACGACAATAACAAACACAGTATTAACACACACACACACACACACACACACACACACACACACACACACACACACACACACACGCACACACACACACACTCGCGTTTATGAAACACTGACCTGTGAACTCTCCGTCTATAGAGATGAAGTCCGCCTCTTGCACCGCGTTACACACCTCTGGAAGAACCTCCTTAAAATCTGCACCACACAAGATTAACACACATCAACACACACAAATAAATACAGTCGCGCGCACACACACCGTCGCATTAGCGCGCGCTCTCGCGAGTAAATGTCTATCCGTGGATCAGGGTGACGTTTTACACTGATGTATTTTGATAATTTGATGGTCTTACTCTGTCTCGTGACCTCCATCCTCTAAAACAGCGAAATAGAAATACACACAAACACACACACACTGGAAGCTTTAACCCCTGCCACCGGAAAAACTCCCTTACACTTCCGGTCCCTGTCTGTGCATGCAGGGGGCGCTGTGAGGCCCACTGAGTCTGACTTCTGTAATTATTTTCATACATTCATCCAACTAATTCAGTCATAAGCTAGAAATGAAAAACTGTTCCAGTGATTTAATTTTTGATAAATAATTAAATGGAAATCATCCAGTAATCGCCTGGCTGTGATTGGTTCATATCCTGCTCGCGCAGAGCATTGCTCTGGCGCAGAGTAACTGCAACTCTTTTTTACATTAAAAATACACAGTGATTATTTCAACAGACTAATTATTATTTATACCCATCTTACAATTAACCCCAGTAACCATGGTGATCTAATGATTTGAGATATTTCAAATCAAAGGAGGCGCGCTTTACTATTCGAATTACTCCAGCGCGCTCCCGTTTAACGGTCGAGTGTGAGGAGCTGCCTTGAATTTTTTGGTGATTGAGTGCCATTTTTTCTTTGCCTATATTGCTGTCAATTATTTGAATGAATATTATAAATCTAAATGAAGAGCATGACACCTACAGTACATTAACACTTTTCAGTTGTTTTTATGAATGCAAGTCATTCTGTTCAAATGATATTGAGCTTTATATGTTGTATTAGCCCCTACAGCAGTGAAAATAATTCTCTTTAAATGCTCCTGTGCAAAAGGCTAAGCTTTAATGACGCTGGTGCCCTCTGCTGGACATTTAATTTGTTGCACTTTAGTATATTCTTATTATTTCGACAGCTCCCTCAGACTCAATGTCGAATGCAAATTTACAGACGCTTCCTAAATCTGCATAGGTCTCCTTCCACGGCCATTGTATTGCCAAAAACTGTGTGATATGTCCGATATATCTGTTTGGAAATAACTTTGGAAGCCTGGAAGGGATTAGACACTGCAGGAGATCAGTGAATAAGGGAATGAACGGTGAATGCTGGTTCCTCCAGGGCAGCAGAGGGCGCTGTGAGCGCATGACCCGGCGGAACATCGAGTCCTCGCGGCTGCAACGCTCCGCTGGTGTGTGTTTACTCTATTTATCTGCTTATTATCTTCTACTATGATTGATGTTTTTGCCATTTTAGTGCTTTAAACGATGCATGCATCTCGCTGTTATTGTATCACTGTTTCATTTACAGTTTCAGGAGAAATGAGCAGAAGTCTGTTTAATTTCTCACACACATTAAGTTATTAAATCCTGAACATAAATGTGTTAAATGAATAAGGCAAAACTGTAGAAGAGTCCTGGGCTAGCTGTCACTGACAGATATATGACGATTAAGTCCAAATTAACTTTAGTCCAAATTAATTTGGGGTATTTGTATGTGTGTGACGTGATTTGTTAATGTTTACGACTCATTTATGTAACGATGGTAAATTTTAACAGAAACTTTGAACTTTGTTTCTTATGGTGAGGGTATTTATTTCCCCCCTAAAAGTCACGTGACAACCCCGGCGAACACGGAACGTTTCCAACAACGTTATGTAAATGTTATGTTAAGATAAAATGTTCTAAAATAACAACGTTCTTACAACATTATTTATATTTGGTCTCTTGATGTTAAGAGAGAACATTCGTCTTTATGATGGTTTTACTTGAAAACTCTCTCATAAGGTTGAGAGAACTATTTGTAGTTGATGAACGTTCTCATAATTTATTCATAATTTAACGAACGTTAATGTACTTAGAATATTACAAATACATGCTCAAAGAATGATATATGTGAGTAAAAAACAAGGTTATGGGAATGTTGTGTTAACATTTTTTAAAAGAATGTTCTTACATTTTAGAAACATTGCAAATCACTGTTTCCACAAAAAAAAAAAAAAAACTTAAAAAAAAAAATTTAACTTAAGTTAAAGTAAGTTACAATCCACTAATATTTAACAACTCTTTCCAATTGAAGATCATGTAAAGGTTTTGTAAGACATTGGGACGTTTTGCACTAGTTAGGAGGCAGGTTAAGTCCTCTGCGGACTGGGTTGAACTGGTTTTCGTTGTGTCTGTTAAGTGGCGGCAGGACTGGGGTCACATGACGACTCTGAAGACCAGCTGAAGACTGACGGACACAGAGAGGCTCACACACACAAAGGTACGCAATTATTGGTGGGCGATGTGATCAAAGTCTTATTTCACAATATTAAATATCAGTGAAATTTCTTCAAGTTAACTGGTCCTTAAAATGCATCAGACCGGTCAGCCAGACCATAAGAACTAAGCAACGAATTACAAATAAGTACAAGAGAACGAAAATACAAATGAAGGGTTTTAAGTTTTCCAGGAAGCTGTGCTAACAGTGTATTAGGATGGCGCTTTGCAATCAAATACGATTTTAAATAGACTCATTGAAAATAAAGAAACTCAATGTGTGGCGGTCAGTGTTGATATTGTCACAAATAAACAAACGTATGGGAAACCCTGCTGTTTAATATAGTTAGCATGACAGTTTAGCATCTGGATTCTACAGCGCTCAGCTCGGCTGATTTGGATGGTAAGTTTGGCTCAGGAATGCTGTGAAGGAAAAGTCGCACAATAATCGCTTTACCTCGATTATCTTGTTTAAATCGCTGGAAGCCGAAATCGAAAATCGCTCAGTCCTATGTCTGACTCTCTGTAAGGAATTACGAATTGTGAAATAGTCCAGAAAGTCCAGTATGTTTAACTTTTGTATTATTAGTGTTCATGAAAAATGAGTCGTTTGTTCCTTTTCAGACGCCATCATGGTGAGAACGTATAAGCGGAAGACGACCCGGGCGAGCACGGCGCCGGAGACCATGCTGAAGGCCGTCCGGCAGGTGCTGGTGTTCAAGAAGACCATCCGCGGAGCCGCGGAGGAGTTCGGGATCAACTACCGCACGCTCGCCCGCTACTGCACCAAAATCCCGCGGGAGGAGGTGGAGGGAGCCGCGGAGCATCCCAGCTGCAGCGTGGGCTTCATCGCCGCCAGACAGGTCTTCAGCGCGGCGCTAGAGGCGGAGCTGGTCTCCTACGTCCTAATGGCGACCGACGTTTATCACACGCTCCCGCCGAAGGCCATCCGGAAACTCTCGTACCAGCTCGCTGAAGGCCAGCAGCTGCACATGCCTCCGTCGTGGCGGGAGAACAAACAGGCCAGCGTCGACTGGTTCGCCGCGTTTATAAAGCGGCACCCGCTGTTGTCCGCGAGTCTAGCGAGCGTGTTTAACAAAGAGATGTTCTACGTGAAGCTGAAGGCGCTGATGGAGCGCCACTCTTTCAAGCCCGAGGACATCTGGGTCATGGAGGAGACGGGCATCACGACGGCTCAGAGGCCGGATCGAGTGGTGTCCAGGAGGCAGCCGGGGTCATCCGTGACGGCTCCCGACCGCGGGCCCCTCGTGAGCGTCGCCGCCACCGTCTCGGCCAGCGGCGCCGTCATCCCGCCCTACTTCGTCTTCCCTCGGGTGCAGTTCCGGGAGCACTTCCTCACAGGCGCGCCCGCGGGCAGCTCCGGCGGCGCGCACATCAGCGGATGGATGCGGGAGGAGCAGTTCCTCCACTTCCTGCAGCATCTGGTGCGACAGACCCGGTGCTCCCCGGAGAAACCCTGCCTCCTGCTCCTGGACGTCCACCTGTCGCACCTGTCCATCGACGGCCTCAACTTCGCCAAAGCTAACGGCGTGGTCGCGCTGTCCTTCCCGCCGCACCTCGAACGCTCGGTTTGCGGCCCGTTCCAGAAATGCATCAACGCGGCCATCGACTGCTGGACGCTGGGAAGCCCGGGCAGGAGCGTCACCATCCATCATATCCCGGGGATCGTGGCGACGGCGCTGCCACAGGCCGCCACTGCGGACAACATCACGGCGGGGTTCGAAGCCTGTGGGGTTTTCCCACTCAACTCCAGCGCTTCCGGACAACAGGGTTCGGTTACGGACTGTGCGGTCGCTCCGGCGTCCACCGGCTCGTGTCCGTCAGATAAACCCACTCTGGAGACGGAGGTCCTGCTTCGAGCCAGTCGAGTCGGCAGCCGTCCGTCTCAGACATGAACTCCTCTTGTCTTTTATGGTCACACACACTCTGCTGTCTTTACACCGTTCGCTTTTAATCCTTTTTGTTACTTTTTCCTGTTTCATGAATTGCTTTTGTTTCACTGCTGTAATATTGCTGACGCTAATTAAATATGATACATTTTACACGCACACATTGTGGAAGATGCTCTTTTTTGCTACTCTAGATAGTGTTCTTCTCTAGTTAGTGTCTTTAAACTAGCCACGGTTGTGACAACATGCCCCACGGTGGGTCAAAAGAGTCTCTTCTGCTCTCCAAGGCTGCATTTATTTGATTAATAATACTAACAGTGTAAATCATGAATATACAGTAAAGTGTCATTTATTCCTGTGATTTTCATCATCATTACTCCAGTCTTCAGTGTCACATGATCCTTCAGAAATCACTCTAATATGAGGATCTGATGATCAGGATTCATTTATTGAATTTTTTTATTTTTTTATCAATGTTGGAAACAGTTCATACATTTTTTTGTGATGCATTTTTTCATAGAATAGAAAGTTCAAAAGTACAGCATTTATTTGAAATGTAAAGTCATTTTATTTATTAGCAGATCATTTCTGTCCTCATTTTGAGTTTGATCAGTCTTGTAATAATGATGATGTGTTTGTCTCCAGATGTTGACCATGAGGATGGATGTGAACTGCTGTAAATCAGTAGGAACGGATCTGTCCATGCTGGATATTGAGGATTTCATCACTGAAATCTGTCAGCTGAAGAAAGAGGTGGCGTCACTGGAGGCAAAGCTGAGAGAAAGAGGAGACAAACCTGACAGAGAGGTTTGAGCAGCTCATCATTTCATCCTTCAGCTCAATCAAATCAAAGTTGTGTTAGCTTCTCACTTCTTATGCACATCTCTAATTAATCCAGCAGCAAAACATGCTAACTAATCAATATAACCTGAGTAATGAGGCTAAAATCAACAGGTTGTTCTTTGTTTATCTATTTTTGTCAGGTTTCAGTGTGTGTGACTGATGGGACAGAAGCTCAGGATTCAGTCTGGAGATCCAGAGACACACAGGACTCAGAGCTCAGCCTCACTTTACTGTGTTATACTGACGCTCAGGATCATGGATCCGCTGATCAAACCTCTGACTGTAACGCTGGAGAACTGCAGATGAAGATGTGCTCCGTCAAACTGGAGGACTACAGGAACCTGATAGAGAGACGAGGAGAAGAAACCACAGCAGAGAAGGATTTGGATATATCAAAATTGTCTTCCATTGTGATTTCCTGTATATCTAAATATGTTTAGATCTTCACAGTGAAAAGTAAAACTTCCGAAATGTCCACAGGAGACTCATCACTTCATTCAGAATATACTGGAGAGACTTGATGTGACTCTGATGTCTGGAGGAGCAAATCCACTGATACTAAAGCTTTTACCTGGAGAAACAAGAGCACTTCTCATTTCTCTCATGTAGACTTATAGCTGATCTCTCAATCTTTTGATCTTCACAATATTTAGTTGATATTCTTCAACTCCACTAACTTATTGTAAGGCTATCTATATATAAACTAAGCTCTCTGGAAGCACTTGTTAAACCAGCATAATAGAACTTAAATACTCTTATTTCTCAGAATACCATTAAGCTTCAAATTAAATATTCATTAAGCATTATTGTAAGAAAGCTGTAATGAACGCTATTTTAATAATAATTTTGAGTTAGTAAAATGTGATATTGGAAAATTGATGAGAAAGTAAGTAAGTAAAACTGAGGAAAAAGAAATTAATGAAACTTCTGCTCTTATGATCACAGACTCCTGGAAATCTCAGATGATCAAACTGTTTGCTTCATAAATGATAAACCAGCTTGATGATATTTACAGATGTAAAGCTGAAGATCGGAGCAAGATGAACAAAACTCTGCATGATTCTTCAGCTGAGAGAAGTCTAATTATAGTTATTATTATTATAATATACAGCATTTCTGAACTTAGAGAATGAGGAAGTCATGATGTTACACTCTATGTATACAGTAGGAGGCGCTAAACTTCCGTCAACACAGAATTAAACCCGCCAGAACACTAAATGAAGGCCTCTGCGCATGCGCATTCGGAGGAAACACGTTTGTGCAGAAACAGAAAGTAAAGAAGAAGATCGTTAAGAAATGTAAATTCACCTTCAGAAATCTTGAAATAAACATATCACATCACGGTGAGATAATTTCTCTGCTTCTTATATCATGTCATATTGTCATATTAAACTCGAACTTCAAATATTTATAGGCCTATTTGAGTTGTGAAACATGTAAAAGTGAACAATTTTATCTTCAGGATTATAATGATATCGAGCCCTATGGATTCTGCTTTTAGCGTAGATTAATTTACAAATTCTTTACAAGCTTGCCAGAAAACTAAATAATAAGAAGAAGAGTGATGGGCAGTGTTTCTGCGCATGCGCATTCACAGAAACGGAAACGAAGTAACCGAAAGTTAAGAAGATCATTACTCAGAAGTCTTGAAACAGACATAAATATCACATCACGGTAAGATCATTTATCTGCTTCTCATATAACATATTATTCTGCAATGTTTTCGCATCGATATCATATTAAACTCGATCTTCTCGATTAGCATACTCATTTTATGGTGTTGTTGCGACGCAAATTGTTCAAACTAGTTCATCTTCAGGATTATAATAATATCAAGATCTATGGCTTCTGCTTTTAGCTGAGATTAATTGATGGATTCTTTACAATGTGAAATATACAAAGGTAGACATGTAAACATTTAACTAAATAAGAAGAAGAGTGAACATTTCCGGTCTTCTGTAAGCCAGATTCACAGACGATCAGCTTTAGTGAGAAGATTATGACAAACTATGTGAGGGTCTGAAGCAAAACAAATGTGTGTGGATCATCCTCCAGAACCTTTTACCTTTTATCTTTCCAAAAAATTCCATGTCCCTGCCTTAATACCTTCTTTCCCCCAGCTCAGTGCTAAAAGGGAAGAAATTGCCCCTTTTCACTTGTTCTGGGTACAAGCCAAGGCCCATCACTAAAAAAGTGTATCACAGAAACCTCTGGGTGTGTTGCCTCAGCCTGCACATAATCCTGTACAGGGTTCAGATAGTGTGTCTGTATAGCGCTCAAACTGTGAGGTTTTTTACACTAGCTGCGCGCCGCCTCATTTTATTATGACCCTCAGCTGTGTGATTACAAAGTATATTACAATGGGATCAAACACAGCTCAGCAAATAATCATCAAGAACTGGAAGTGACACTTTTGTCTAGTGAGAAGATTATGACAAACAAGTGTATTTTGATTATAAAGTGTAAAAGTCTCCATGTGTAAGTGTTCAGAGAGTTCTTCATCAGTGTGAGGATCAGTTAGTGTGAGATGAGCTCTGACACACAGAAGCTGTCAGTGAGTCTCTTTACAAGCATCCTCCTCAAACTGCTGCAGCTACACACACACACACACATCTCCAGAGTCTCAGTGTGTGTGTAGTGTTGGGGTTTGATACTGTACTGGAATAATCTTGATCTGTATGATCTGTTCTCTGTTTCCATGCGCAGATCTGAAGTCAGTTTCTCATTATGGAGAGCAGAGGGAGATCTTCATCTCCAGATTCCAGCGGTGTGTCTCTGAAGAGTGACAGATCCATGGAGAAGGCTCCTAAACTCAGTGATGGAGGAGTGACCTCTGACCCCAGTGAGAAAGCAGTGACGTCTGACCCCAGTGATGAAGCAGTGACCTCTGACCCCAGGTGAGTGTAAACCTGTAGTTTGGGAGTCCCAAACACACTGAATTCACACAGAGAGATGAGATTTGCAATAGGGCTGCAACTAATGATTATTTCAATAATGGAATCATTTGTCTATTTCCCCCCCCCCAATTAATCTGTTACTCAATTATCAATTAATCATTAAACCGTATAATCCCAAATATAGAATAAATATGAATTCTTAAAGATGTATTTTTTGGTAAAATGTTCAATGTTGTCCTCCACACAATGTGTAATATGAAGACTGTGAACACAAATACAGTGAATGAATCTCTGTAGGCTGTGCTGTACATTATATGTAGAAAAAAGGGTTAAAATACAAACATTACATTCCCAACTAAAACACAACTGATTGCTTACCATTAAAAGCAGAAGATGAAATGAGTAAATTATAAATGATAATGAACAAAAACAAGAGCATGAGGTCGGCTCTGAGAAACACACACTCGTCTGAACACAGTCATTATATTGCATTAATAGGCTATTCCAACAGTATCCCTGCTTTCTTAAAATATGATTACTTGTGTTACATGTACGACTTTAAAATAAAATGTATATTTTATTCAGACAGTAGTTTATTCAAAATGCATATGCTTATTTGCATCTTCATTCGTTCATGTTATCGTTTTATGCTAAATAGAAATACGTTGGAAGTCCTTTCTAGCATTTACAGATAAAGATGTAGCTGTGAAATGTAAGTTATACACTGATAAAAATACGTCTCAAAGGTAATAAAACGTACACACATCTGTCAAAGCACAACAGTGCTAGCCGCCGTGAACGCTTACGCCCGTTTCACACATACTCCGTTTGCAGTGCGTATGCGGTCCGTATTTTTTTCCGTACCCATGTTAACAGGTTCGAGCTTTCACACTGCACGCGGATGCAGTCCGTCAATCCGTTCCAGTTGCGGTGCGTATACAGCAGTGCAGAGATCGTTTCCGTACCGAGTCTATTTCTGCTGTGCTGCAAACGCAGAAATAAAGTGACAGCGCAAGGTTCGTGGTCAAAATGAACTCAGATTGACCTCGAAATGTAGTAGTTTCACCATAAATGCATTTAATTCAATAAAATGTAATAATCTCTCCATAAAGGTATTTAATTGTTTCATATTTTTACTTTAAGACATCTTAATATATAAGTAATGCATGGAATTGTATGCATCGTGTTTAAACGAGCATGCGTCCATTCAAGTTTGTTAAAAAGAATCGCAAAGCCATGGCAAAACTTTTATTTTAATAAAAGTTGCTGCATATGGTGAACATATTTTGATTACCAAAAACCAGGACACATGGCCCAGAAAACAAATGATACTCGAAGTTTACTCAAAGATGCCTTATTAATTTCAGTACAATTAAAATAGGCTATGCCCCCTCTGTGGAGAAAATTGTTGTATTAAGACACAAATTCAGATAGGCTTCTCAGAGGATACTCAACATGTTTTATTATGACAGGTTGGTTTAAAAAATAATGAATGAAATAATGATTAAAAAATAATGTCTCTTCTGTATTAGAAAAATAAATATATAATATTAATTAACTAAAAGAAATACCTTCAAATTGAACAAAAATACCTCTCACAAACGTACAAAAACGAACTAGTTTCCTTCCTCTTTATCCTGTTTTTCCTCCTCATCCTCCTTGTTTGCTCATCTCCTATATTTTGCTATAAAGCTGATCTTTTCCAGCGTTTTTTAAATTTTTTTTTGAAAACCAGGACATCACTTTATAAAAAACGGCCAGGAAGGACGTGAAAACAGGACTGGGATAACAGGACTGTTGGTCACTGGTCACGCTATTGCTGCATAACTTCTGATTTTGAAATAAAAATAGCGAGTGTTTGTGGTACAGCTCATGCACTGCAAACGCAGCATATGTGAAAGCACTTTAGCGCGTGCGGCTCCTGTACCGGATACGCACCGCAACACTCACCGCATACGCACTGCAAACGGAGTATGTGTGAAACGGGCGTGAAACGGGCGTTATGCTTTAGTTTAAAGAGCTTATAAATATAAAGGTAACTTGGGTCCTGCACCTTTCCTGCAGAAGATCTCTGTCCTCCGCTAATTTCCATATGTGTTTCATCCATAGAAATGTGTTCTCAGTACTGTAAACCGACGGGACTGTCCCAAATCCATAATCAAATTCATCATCAATTATTCTATTTATCTAGTATCATCCATTTAATAAATTAGTTATTGCAGCCCGACATAAAATAAATGAAACCGCAGACAGGAAGATGTATTTCTTTGTGTTTTCTCTGGATCTGTAGTTTCTCATTTGTCATCATGTCATTTTTCATGTTCTTTAATCTGTGCACTTTTGTTCTCCGCAGAGTTTATAGAGATGATCAGACTGGAGACCAGTGTTCTCCTCAGCCAGTGAATGAGGAACTACAGAGAGTCAAACACAGACACAAAACCAGCATGAAGATCAAGTATGAGAGATTATTTGAGGGCCTGAATCTCCAAGAGAATGATACCCTCCTGAACAGGATCTACACACAGCTCTACATCATAGAGGGAGAGAGAGGAGGAGTGAATGAAGAACATGAGGTTTTACAGATGGAGAAATCAGCCAGAACACAACACTCACAAGACACTCCAATCCACTGCAATGACATCTTTAAAGCCTCTCCTGAACCAGGACGCCAGGAGAAAGACCAAATCAAGACTGTTCTTACTAAAGGCATCGCTGGAATCGGGAAAACCGTCTCTGTGCAGAAGTTCATTCTGGACTGGGCCGAGGGGAAAGACCATCAGGATGTAGATTTCATGTTTGTGCTTTCATTTCGAGAGCTGAACTTGATCCGAGATCATCAGTACAGTCTTCACACACTTCTGCTGGACTTTCATCCTGAACTTCAAGATCTGGACTCAAAGATGTATGAGGAGTGTAGAGTTGTGTTCATCTTTGATGGTCTGGATGAAAGCAGAATCACACTGATGTTTTCAGACGCTCAGAAAGTTTCTGATGTGACTGAGTCTTCATCAGTGGGTATGTTGATGTCAAACCTCATGAAAGGAGATCTGCTTCCCTCGGCTCTCATCTGGATCACCTCCAGACCAGCAGCAGCCAATCAGATCCCCTCCAAATACATCCACCGTCTGACAGAGATTCAGGGATTCAGTGATCCTCAGAAGGAGGAATATTTCAGGAAGAGAATCAGTGACGAGCATCAAGCCAGCAGAATCGTCTCTCACATCAGAAGAGCAAGAAGCCTCCACATCATGTGCCACATACCCGTCTTCTGCTGGATCTCCTCCACTGTGCTTCAGAAGCTCCTGGAAGAAGATCTGAGTGCAGAAATCCCTCAAACTCTGACTGAAATGTACATCCACTTCCTGCTGATTCAGATCAACATGAGGAATCAGAAGTATGAAGAGAGAGATCCAGAGAAACTCCTGCAGTCCAACAGAGAAGTGATTGTGAAACTTGCTGAAGTGGCTTTCCATCAGCTGATGAAGGGCAATGTGATGTTCTATGAGGAGGACCTGATTGAGAGCGGCGTAGACGTCACTGATGCCTCAGTGTATTCTGGGATTTGCACTGAGATCTTTAAGGAGGAATCTGTGATTCATCAGAGGAAAGTCTACAGCTTCATTCATCTGAGCGTTCAGGAGTTTCTCGCTGCTTTCTATCAGTTTTACTCGCATGTGGTCAAGAACAAGGAACCACTCCATGTTCTGTGTGCAAACCTTGAATATGATTCTGAAAGTGATTCTGACTCTGAAAATGGATCTGATGAAGTCTCTCTGTATAGTCTACTAAGATCAGCAGTATATAAAGCCCTCAAGAGTGAGAATGGCCATCTGGATCTGTTCCTGCGGTTCCTGCTGGGCGTCTCACTGGAGTCCAATCAGAGACTCTTACAGGATCTACTGACACACACAGAGAACAGCTCAGAGAGCATCAGGAGAATCACACAGTACATTAAAGAGAAGATCAAAGATGGACATGGACTCTCCACTGAAAGATCCATCAATCTGTTCCTCTGTCTGCTGGAAGTGAAAGATCAGACTCTGTCCAGAGAGATTCAGGAGTTTGTGAAATCAGACAAACACTCAGAGAAGAAACTCTCTCCTGCTCACTGCTCAACAATCGCCTACATGCTTCAGATCTCAGAGGAGCCGCTGGATGAGCTGGACCTCAACAAATACAACACATCAGATGAGGGGAGAAGAAGACTGATACCAGCTGTGATCAACTGCAGTAAAGCTCTGTGAGTGTTTAATCATTAATAGTTGAATAATCCTTTAATAACACATCTTACATCTCTACAGGGGTCATGACATGGAGTTTATATCATTGTAATATATTCCTTGAGGTTCACTTACACTAGTGCTGCCAAACTCAGTTCCCTAGAGCAGGAGTTCTCAACCCCAGTCCTCACGACCCACTGCTCAGCATATTGTGTATGTCTCCCTTATTTAACACACCTGATTCAGATCCTCAGCTCGTTAGGATAGACTATAGAGTCTCAGTTTTAGGCTCTGGCCGTATTGATCTGAATATATTTCAAAACATATTTTTCCTCTCCACACTGAGACCGTGGTTCAGCAGAAACAGCTTCTTAAAGATGTTATTTCAAGTGGATAAACACATTTACATGTTTAAAAATGTTTTTGTAGGGCAATGTGCATATTATTCTTGATAACAGGGAAATCCCTGTTAATTTAATGAATGAATGAATAAATTAGCCATTTATATAGTAATAACTTGCATTTTGATCAAGGGGGTCATCCATCAGCTGGAAATTGAAGCCTCCTTAGGGCCGCCATTAGCTAGCAAGACAAAACTGCTGTCAGCATCCCATTGGCTCCCATTCATTATGGTGTCACTTTGACAGCGAATAACTTTACATCTGAGGCGTTTAAAGACTCCATTTGTCCTTTATTTATTTCTAAAGAAACACGACAATGCATAAAAGGCCCCATTACTTTGTATCTTACGTTATGGCTCTTTTTTTTGTTGTTGTAAAAATAGGCTAACGATTGCGTCATAACACGTGACTCTCTGTCGCACAGTAGAGAAATTACCGTATAGACAGGAGGAGAAGCTTGTGTCAATCAGGGGGACATGGAGGCATAAAGTCAAGGGAGAAGCCCATAGAGATTCATAAAGTTGTTCCTGCTGCTCATGTACAACTCTACTCACGCTCTCCATCACTCTCCATGGCACAGCTACTAGAAGACTTACGCCGGGTTCACACCGGACACTGAAGCGACGCGGAAGCAGGCCGCGGACCGGAGGCCGCTTCCTTTCGGTGCCCATTTTAACCTGTGGTGTCGTTCACACCAGACGCGGAGCGCCGCGCCGTGAAGCGCCAGTTTCGGCGTCTGTTCTATTTTTTACACGAGCCGCGAGTGATACACGACAATTCCGGCAGGAAGTTACACCTAGAAACACTCGACCATCTAGTCAATTTGTCAAAATATAAACAATTTTCAAATTAAAATGCGAACACACATACAAACAGGGAAACAACGAGAGAGGCAGGCAGGAGTTGATAAGTGAAAATGGATTTGAAGAGAGGATGTATATTTCAACACCACGGTAAATACACTACTATAACTGTCTACCATATTCTCTCTCTGGCTGCGTGTGTGTCTCGACAACGAATTAATAAAAGAAGTGTACAAACTTCTTGGTTACAGAAACATGGTGTATTTATATTATGAGGTTATTTACTTACCCATGATGTAAAAAAAATTGCTCTGAATAAACAACTGAGCAGAAGCGCTTGTCAACCTCCGTGAAGAATACGCGTCTGGTGTGAACAGGCAGGCGCCGGACCGCGCGTGATTTTCCGTTCCGCGCCACTTCCGCATCCGGTCTGAACAGGTTGTCAGACAGGTTGCTCACATCACATCTACGTCGTCAAGCTCAGTGTGAGCTCAGTGTCAGCCATTAGGGATTGAGCGCTTCTAAATGACTTCACTTTTCTCCGTTGAAGTCTATGGGGTTGCTGTGTCCATTTCTTTTACTGTCTATGATTTTGATCTGGTATAACCCCCTTTTCTGGTTCATTCTTTCGACCCTCCCAGAAAGGACCACACAGAGACGAAGTCGAGACGATTTAACACCCATCACGTGTTTACTGGAGATATGTGACATAACACCATACAGACTTGAAATACAGCTCATCCGGTCACATAACATTCTCCTCAACAGCTCGCATGAACTCTTTCATCAATTCAACAAACAACAAATCACGTTTTTATCGTAATTAAAAGCTCAGTTTCTTTTCTTTTTTTTTCTCTGAACACAGAAAACATAACATACAAACAGTACATCATACCTGGAAATAACACCACAAAGACTTGAAATACAGCTCATCCGGTCACATAACTGTCAAAAATAAATATGAAGTAAATTACATGTGAATATAAGCAACGGGAAATACAACGAAAACCATGTGCTCATAATGAGCTCGACTATGAGTTTCAGTATAAAATAAATTATTCATCAACTCTATGTCTCTTATGACTCAATTATGAAATAAAATACTTTCAAAAGAATAATTCTGATCTTAAGAGAGAAATAAAGTCATCACTGACAACACTTTTTTTTCACTGTTTCTGTTTGACCGGAGAGAGATTTTCCACCTACCATTCTCCTCAACAGCTCGCATAAACTGAAGAGAAAATGGCAGATTGCACTGATGGGTACTCTATTCGCCTGTAGGTGTCCCCATATCCATTTCTTAGATGCACTTGATTCATTATATTTAACGAATATTTTAGGAACATTATAGAACATGAACAAACATTTTGGCATAATTCATTACAAATTTCTTTTACCCGTTACACTTGCACCATATAATTGAGCTTTTATGTCGTTTTATGCTGGTGCTGTTAACGGATTTAAGCATTTTTAGATGATTTAGTGTAGACAGACAATTTTTGGAAACTGCTAGTGTGGACTATAGACTGTATAAAAAGATGAATGACGGCCCTTCATTCTCTTCCATTGGAGAAAGTGAAGCCCTAATATGGTGCTGACATCTTGGCCAGATTTGTGACCCCAGTCTACGCATTATTCACTGTGTGAAATAAACAGTTATGGACATGTAGAAATTAAAGTTTAAGCTCCTCCAGACAATCCCCAAAAATGTTTGTTGGTGCCTACTTGACTAAATGACTACTTCATTTAGAGAAGTTGTCAATCATGACGTCACTGGGGATTAGCCTCTGGGGATAATGCACCTGTAACTTCACCTGGGGGTGTGCCCAGAGCCGAAAGTGACAGGCTTTGACCTCACGGCCCAACTCCATTTGAAACAGATTCGATCTACATTATATCTGGGCAATCCTTTATTTACTTGAAATTGATTTTTGATTTTTTTTTCTATACATATATATATATATATATATATTTATAAATACTTTCATCGACCAATGTCGACATCGACTTCTCCAAAATGACCACATATTTCACAATATTTGACTTTATTTGATCTTTGTATTGCCAATTATTTATTCATCTATTTTTCTGTTGCCCCTTTAAAAAGAAAAGCACACTGAACCCCAACTTATTGTGCAGTATTTACTCTCTTCTAGTCTTGCTGGCTGTAATCTCACTGGTCAGGATTGTGAAATTGTGTCATCAGCTCTACAATCCTCAAACTTTGTTCTGAGAGAGCTGGATCTGAGTAACAATCCCCTGCGGAATTCAGGAGTGAAGATTATTTCTGATGGACTGAAAAGCCCAAACTGTCAGCTGCAGATACTGAGGTATTTCAGAATATATGAGAGGTTATTTACAGTGTGCTGGTCATAATGTTGATGTGTGTCTGTATATGGTCTGACTGTGTGTGTCTGTAGGTTGTCCGGCTGTATGGTGACAGAGGAAGGCTGTGGTTATGTGTCTTCAGCTCTGAGTTCAAACCCCTCACACCTGAGAGAGCTGGATCTGAACTACAATCACCCTGGAGATTCAGGAGTGAAGATTATTTCTGCAGGACTGAAGAGCCCAAACTGTCAGCTGCAGATACTGAGGTATTTATGAACATATGAGAGATGATTTACAGTGTGCTGGTCATAATGTTGATGTGTGTCTGTATATGGTCTGACTGTGTGTTTCTGTAGGTTGTTTGGGTGTATGGTGACAGAGGAAGGCTGTGGTTATGTGTCTTCAGCTCTGAGTTCAAACTCACACCTGAGAGAGCTGGATCTGAGTAACAATGACCTGCAGGATTCAGGAGTGAAGATTATTTCTGATGGACTGAAGAGCCCAAACTGTCAGCTGCAGATACTGAGGTATTTAAGAACATATGATAGATTATTTAAGTCTGCCGTTCATAATGTTGATGTGTGTCTGTAGATGATCAGTCTGTTGATGTGTGTGTGTAGGTTGTCCGGCTGTATGGTGACAGAGGAAGGCTGTGGTTATGTGTCTTCAGCTCTGAGTTCAAACCCCTCACACCTGAGAGAGCTGGATCTGAGCTACAATCACCCTGGAGAATCAGGAGTCAAGCTGCTCTCCGACAAACTGAAGGATCCAAACTGCTCACTCCAGATACTCAAGTATGTGGGACAAAAAGAGGTGCGGTTTACACCTGGTATTAAGATCCTCCTGAGTTGATCTGACCACAGGTCAGTTACTCTCATTTGGATGTAGAGCAATTCCAGTGTTATGGACGTGACATTTACAGTCAAAAATTGAAATGTAAATTCTTATAGAATGTATTCATTACCAATATATTGAATAGGGCTATCAGCAGTTAATTTTTTAAAATCTAATTAATTGCAAGATGTGGCGATTAATTAATCTAATTTATCGCAAATTAGTCACACATCAAGTCATTGTACTGTAAAATATAGACATTACATAAAGTAACTTCAGAAAGAAATCTATGATTCAGCATAGAATTTATTACAGATACACTTTTGGATGATAAGGTTGAGTAAATGATGACTGAATTTCATGTTTGGATGAACTAGACCTTTAATGTTTTTTTTTTTTTAATAATAACTCAGAACAAACCTTAATGAGAACCGACAACAGAAGACTGAAACACAGGCAGATATATACTGGGAGAAAACAAAGAACTAATTAGGCAACAACTGAAAATAATGACTAATCATATTAGAAACCATGGTGACAAATAAACAAGCTAACTGAGGTAGGGTGGTTATTCAATCTCTTGTTTCGTTCAAATGGCTGATTCATTCACGAATAAGTTATCTTTATGAGTGGTCTATTGAATCATTGGTTCATCCGATTGTCCAAAGCGCAGATTCAGAAATGAAACGCTGCTGTAACAGCGCTGTGAACACACGAATAAGCCATATCTCAGCTGAATAGGCCATATCTCAGCACCAGAATATCGTACAGACATGGTTGTTGGCTGGTATTCAATAATGTACCACACTCTAGCAAACAGGTGGTGAGTTTTGCCACTGCAAGCACCACTTCACATTTTCTTCTAGCAATATACATTCTAGTTACTTATCCCATACTGTGAGGTGATTATTTGAAATGGTAAAAAATTACAGTTATGGATTAAATGCTCTAAATATTTAACTTCTTTGTTTTTCCATTGGATGAAATTATTCATATTTTTGTTCTTAATAAATAAACCACAGATTTGAACTTCAAATAACTACATTGGCAAGGCAAGGCAAGTTTATTTATATAGCACATTTCATACACAGTGGCAATTCAAAGTGCTTTACATGGAAGGAATTAAAATAATCAAAATAAATCAGAATAATTAAAACAGTTTAGAATAAAAAAATCATAATACATAAAATAAAATACAGTAAATAATTAAAACAATTTAGAATCAAAAATAAAATGAAGTACAGTAACAGTTGGACGAACAGTGGCACTGTGCTCATTCAGTAAATGCACAGCTAAACAGATGTGTTTTGAGTCTGGATTTGAATGTGACTAGTGACTACTGTAGGAGCACACCTGCACAGTAAATTCCCCGGTGTTAAATTAACACCGCTCGGTGTTCATATGGGAACCACCAGCAAGGTGTTAAAAGTAATACTGAGGCAGTGTTAGAGTTAATGAGATAATTAAGTAATTAATTGAGTGATGATTGTTTGATCATTGAAAACACCTGATGATGATAAGCAGAATCACTGAAGGAAAGAGAAACACAAGAACTACAACTGACTTCCAGACACAGCCTTAGATTAAATCAACTGGAAATACATGAAATCACTCTAAATCCAGTTGGACCTTATTTCTGTAATTCATTTACAGATATTCTTTTTGAGAATGAACACATTTTTAGATGTTGAAGTTTTATTGATAATAGTTGGTCACTGTTATGGTGATCAGTGTTTCCTCTAGTTGGGTGGTTTGACAATTAATGTATTATGTATTTGAGCTGTTGTCTTTGTAACAGTGTTTACCTAAACACATATTTTGTTGCAAAGGAAACCATAAGCAAAGATGATCAGGTGATATTTTTCATCATCATATTTAAAAATGTTTGACAAATGTCATCACTGACCAAAAGGGGTTACTTTGTTATTAATAGATTTATACCATCAATACTTTTTTTGCCAAAGATTTAACTTCATGGATATACATTTCTAAATTCATTGTGAGAAAATAAACTCTAGACATACACAAACATCAATAATCAGCTCATTAATAACAACAATGGTGACATGCTTCATGCTGCAGTGCATGCTGGGAGCCATTAGTTTTATAATTTGGTGGTTCCCAGCATGCATTGCTGCATGAAGCATGTCACCATTGTTGAGATTCATATGCTAATTCTTGATGTCTGTGTGTGTCTTTAATAATTTGCTCCAGAATGTAAAACTATAAAAAAATTAATCATAATTCAGAATATCTGTTTTGTTGCAAGAAATCATCATTGCTGAAAAATAATCTATTAATAACAAATTACCAATTTTTCATGATGGTTAAAACTACATTACCTGATCATCTTTGTTTCTGGCATCCTTTGTGACAAAATCATGTGTTTTGGTGATCTCTTCTGGAAGCTGGTTCCAGCATAATAGCTAAAAGCAGACTCTCCATGCTTAGAGTGAACCCTTGGTTTTTCTAGCTGGTGTGATCCTAATGATCGGAGTGATCTGTTGGGTTTTTATTCAGTGAGCATATCTGCAATATAGAGGTCCTAAACCCATTAAATGATTTATGTAACAGTAATAATACTTTAAAATCAATCCTAAATGTAACTGGCAGCCAGTGTAAAGACCTGAGGACTGGTGTGATGTGAAAAACTGAAAAGTTTTGTCGACTGAAAAACTACATTTCGTGATACAATCAGAGGACTTTTAAATTTCGCGGCTTTTCTCCTCTGAACGTTAATATTACTAATTATATCATGACCAAATACAACCAGAAACAAATGTTCAGTCTTGCTTGTGAAAGATAATTCCTCGAGATCTGTTTTCAGTTGTGTGGCGATTATACATCCCCAAGAATCACACAAAACAGGGATTTTTCTCAATTCTCGTTATGAGAAAGTTGCCCTCTGCAATATGACAGTGCCGTTGACGTACGCTCCAGCGGCCAATAGGGCGTCTATGTATTTGTTATGTGTATGCACTAGCTTGCTAGATTATCGAATCGATAGTCACGCGCTTGTTTGCCGTGTGAGGTGCTTTGTGTTTTACGTTGCTATGATGTCCACGCGCACGCGATACTACTACGATTGAACCTCAACAACTTCAACATTACACACACACACACATAACGAGTATTAACTCGTTTAATCTGACTCCATAAAATGAAAAAGGTTTATCAATGATATCTGTGCATCATTAAATGTACGTTAATGTTTGACTATTCCTTTTAACTCTAATGAAAATAAAGTCAAAGTCTGTTAGAATAATCGAATATAACAATTTATTATGTCAGGTAAATTTATAATTACAATTCCACAAGACAATCAATGCAAACTAGGGTTGTGCCGATAGACGATAGTATCGTGTATCGACGATAGTCTGACATATCGCCGATGGCAGATGCCTTTGACGATATCAATACGATAATTGGCTCGTTTTACCATAATGTATTAAATTATTAATAATATTTATTATTAGGTCTATTATTATTATTATAAAGCTAGTATTGTTATTAAATGAATATTAGGAACTACAATTAATTTGCCTTGCCTAAATTTACAACGACATCACCTCATAACAATTGCAACAACACACACACTAATGAGGACTCCTCTAAGAGAATGTTTTTAAAACAGACTAAAAAACATCCCACATCAAAATATAATTGCAAGGTGATCCATTCACAAATTATCAAGTGTGCTCGTTTTAACAGACGCAAAATTAAATTTCCTACAGATCCAAGATGAAAACGGCATCGTTGTTCGTCAGTATTTGTTTCTGTAACACATTAACAAAACGTTTAATGACACTAACACTAAAAACAATACAATTACTAAATAGTATTAATAATAATATCACTAAAATAGTATTATAGTTACCGTTATCATCGTCGTCTCTGAGGGAACGCGGCGTTAATGCAGATGCCGAAAGCAGTCCGTTTTTACTTTCACTTTCAGAGATTGAGCGCGTTTACATGCGACGACGTTCTTAACCTGATTATGTTGAATAAACTTGACAATGCATGTGGTCATGTAAACGTTTCCTTTATCAGAGTCAAGTCATAAGTATAAGTATAAACCGATCGACTCAGCTAGACGTTTGGCCCTTGCTCTTGTTTCTATCGGCATTTAAAACACATTAACCCGCGTACTTCGTGCTTACTGAAGTGCGCATGTGAAGTGCGCAGAGAACGCACAGGGGGGCACGCAAACTCCGACTCTTTCTGACCCAAGAAATTATTAAAACGTGTTTTCATCTCGTGCAGAAATAGACCAAAATGCTGCATGTAACGGCATGAGGATAGGCTAATGTGTCCGTAAATTTCCCGTTGACAAACAAAAGGATTAGGATCTCTTTTTTTTACTTCACTATACCAGGAAATAACCTGATCCTATTAATAAACACTCCACCTTTGCTAGCAAAATAGAAAAAAGATTCTCGTATATAAAACGAAGTAGGCTAATAAAACAAGCAAATTAATGAGTAGGCTAAATAATCAAGTTAATAATCATATAAGTTAGCCCCGCCCCCTCACGATAATATCGTGTATCGCCGATCTCACAGGCTGACGATAGGACGATATGAAAATGGAGCATATCGCCCAACACTAATGCAAACCATCAAATGTTTCTAGAACAAAGAACTTTACCCAACATATTAACCACATGAATGCTGAGCATTGAAGACACAGCAGCTGATCTGATACAGAAAACTGCCCCGAACTATTGTTGCATTTCCTTATATAGTCAGTCCTCATTTCTTATGTAAGTTACAGTAGAAATTTAATAGTAGGTAACTATTTGCATAGTTGTAATTTGCATTCAGACAAAAGGTCAGAAGGTGTTAACTCAAAGACACACCCTTCTGTGTGCAAGATATTTCTATATTCTTAAGAACTTTTATTCTTTTTTTATACTTTTATTCTATATGAACTATTACCTTTTTGTTTTACTTCTTTGGAA